TAGCATACTTGTAAAAGTTGCTTTAAGTCGACGCTCGTAGTGTCTTAAAACCTGTTGGCTCATAGAAACCGTAAAGAATAGTATGAAATCGATATTTATGCCAATATTTTATTATTAGGCTCCTCACTTCTGCTAAAACCATTCTGAGCTAAATTAGAAGTTCAAAACATTGACCTGAGCCAACAGAAAGCACGAGGTGGCTTTATGAACAGAGTCCTTTTAAGAAGGTTATTTTTCTTTGGAGTGTTTTAAGTCTGAGAAGTAGTGAAACACACTAACTTAACGAGCTTTATCAAAATTTCACTAAAGCATCAAATCTGAGTGCAATACGGTAAAGCACGCACTCTATCCTCACATCGAGAGAGTTCAATGCCAAGTTAATAATCTCAATCTCGATTCTCTCTCTTCCCGAACTTTGCAGATTCTGTTTGGTCACCTAAATTATTACGAAACATTTCCTATGCTGTATTTTCCGAGCTATGTTCGTTCTAAAGCTTCCAGTCACATGCGCGTTGTATCCTACCCAACTACTCAAGAATCAACGCATTGACATTTTCAGGTCACCAGCGAGCTTTAAGCTTGGTCATTAGTTTGGTTACCGATTTAGACCGACGTGAAGGAGATATAATGATCATGAAAATGCCACTAGATTTTTTTTAATTGCCTAAATTTTGTCAGAGGACACAAATGTATAATGAGTAATATGTTTCTATGAGAGAATTATATTTATTTGTAATTACATTCAGATATTTTATTTTTATTAAACAGAGCAAATAAAATATTAGTAAGCAAATATTTATATAGAAAATTAAATGCACTAGTTTGTATGCAATTCGACAAAATATTATGCAAATAAAAATGTGTGTTTTAAAATAAATAATTAAAATATTGAATAGATTAATAAAAAATTAAATAAAATTTACACAAAGCATTTAATAATTAAATGAGTAAATAAATTTAATTTAAACATTTAAATATGCATAAAGCATCAATGCCAACGCCACCGTACGCCGTTCACCGTTTGCCCTTGAAATGAAACTTTTTTCTAATTGTAAAACCTATGCATAATATATTACACATACATAAATGTATTCACACATGTATATGTATGTGTGCTATTTACAGTCATGTAGTAAAGTAAACGCACTTCGTTAATTCATTTCAGTGTTGCATTTTATCGTACATGCTCTTGCATAGCGCTTCAAATTAAAACGAAGAAAACTATACTTTACAATAGCAAAAGCTGTCAAAAAGCTCACTAGTACGCGTACACAGACACACACTTAATCTTACTTATTGCCAGCTACCTATGTTTTGTATTGCGACAGTTAGCAAGCAGGCTTAATTTAATGCGCCGTTAAGCGGCACGAAAAAATTGAAAATCCTCGCTTCCAAGTATCAAATATGACTTTTTTTCGTGCTTAGTGTAGTGAAAGTAAATATTTTGTTTTTGAAAAAATAATACGAAAATTTAAAAATAATCATTTTTTTAATAAAAAAAAAATAAAACGAATTATAAATATGTATATACGAAAATTTGGTTAGCCAATATAAATACAAATATAAATAAAAATAAAAAAAAAATTAATAAAGTAGTTAAAGATGTTAAAACTGATGGTATAAAAATTATAAATTTTAAGCTTAGCAATCGTTTGAAAAGTTTGATTGTAGCTTTTTCACTCATCACTGCATAAGAATATTATTTACCGCAGTTTAAATACTTATAATGTAAGTAGTTAAATTCATATATGCTTTTAAATTTTTGCAACAGAATTTTGAAAATTAAAAAAAAAAGTTTATTTTCAAAATATTTTTTTTAAAACAAAAAATATTTAAAAAAAAACAACGAAAATAGAATTTTCTCTGCTTACTATACAGCGATAAAGTGTTTCACAGTTTGACAAGCACTGTTAACATAAAGGTTTGCAAAACTTAATTTAAACTGCAAAAAGTTTATTTTTTGATTTAAATCTTTTCAACAATTTTTTTTTTTATCAATTTAGCGGTTTTTAATTTTTTTTTTTAATAATTGAATTATTAAACTTTAATGTATCCATGATTTTCTCTAACGCAGAGTTGCATGTTTGCACAATTATATAAATAGTAAACATACTTATGTAGAGATTATAAAGAAAAATTGCATGTGTCACGTACACGTATGTAGATGTGTCCGCACTAAAAAAATTAAAAATATAATTTTGTTTTAATTAAAATATTATTAAAAAATTAAACTGCATAAAAGTAAACTATGAAAGCAACGCTTCTTTAATAATATTGGTGACACAGCTAATATTGACCTTCGTACCCCACATTAATTGATGCTGCCGAGCTTGTGCTGGGCCGAGAAAAAGTTTAAGTTGTTGCTTTGTTCGGTTAATTGCCGTATATAGTTTTGTAACAACCCTGTAAAACCTTCCTTGAAGGCATTCGAACTAAAAAAGTGTTCGAAGTCAGCCTTCAATCATAATTGTCATAAAATATTGACATCTTGTGCTTTAACTAATATAATTTTTAAATTTTTAATAAATATATCGGTCATTTTCTTCCTCAAACTTTGCCTCTTTTTCCGATCAAGTGCAATCAGTTTAATAATTATAGCATGCACTGTTTTGCGTAAGCTTTTTTCAGCTTTTCCGTGATGCCAGTGTGTCAATGCATACCAAATATAAGTCCCTATTCTTCATTCAGCATACAAATAGCAAGCTTACAGCCTCCAACTTCATTAAAGGAACATAACCTACAACTCCTACGAACGCCCTGGTAGCTCTCCAAAGTCTACTCTAGTCAGGCCTGTATGGAAAAATTCAGGCAAACTGCAATGTCAAAAGGCTAAATACAACTAAGCGCTAGAGAAACCGCCGTATAAAAGACGCCTAAATACTAAGCTCTACAGCATTCTTGAAAGAGGTGGACTACACCAATTAAGCTTTCTGTATCGACAATACTTGAACCTCTATAGTACAAAAAAAAACAACGTCATGTCACCAGCAATTGAGAAGAGCAAGAGACTTCCAGACCACTTCGTCGCGTCTTAAGCCGTTCTACTCAATTCCGTGATGTTAACTTAACCTATCATTCTCTATTATGACAACAAATCTGTCATTAGATTTCTTCAATACATTCATACATATTCAAAGAAGGCAAGAGCTAGCAATTGGTCAAAGAGAATAGAACAAAGTCTTAACTCGTTTCAAATAGAACCTATATTACCATAACAGCCAGCATAATAAACGGATACTATCTACTTGGGTACTAATGATAAGCGATTGTTATACTTCCCTAATAACATAGAGAAGAAGACGGTAGAGCGTCTCTTCCTCTCCGTGCCTAGCCCTCATTTGGAGGCAGGACACACGCTGAATATATTGAAGTTGAGTTAGACTCTGTCAGAGTTAAATCTGCTAAAGTATGTAGACCTTGCGGAGGAACTTGGGCTCGAGTCAGACGTCGCAATGTTTTGGAAGTGCATAAAGGAAGATATTGATTGACACTCTGTGAACAGCATTCAAAGCCTATCTACGGCATGACGTATCCAATGGATTTGCTACGCATTGCTGAATGGTCTGGTACCAACTGTCAATGTAATAATCACCATCTGCTGCATAGATCTCAAGCAATATAGATTGTGTACAGACTGACCTCAATGGGTTTCTCAACCTCAAGATTGTGTTTTGACTGAATTTCAATTTCTTCACCTGTGACAAGCTTTCTCTCTTTCTATCTCGTATCATCTTTACATTTATAACCTCTTAGGAGATTTTCCACTAAGTTTTTTCTACAGTTTTAACTCGCCTACACAGGGCTAATTATGTTTTGAGAGAAGCAGTTGCTTTACAAGCGGCCGCAAGACTGTTAATGAAAACTTATCCTGTACCCGAAATATGCTGTAAATTTCTCTCCGCCATCCTGCTCAATAGCATGATTTTAATAAAATCTCCAGCGAAGCTTTCATAAAAAACTTTTTTTAGAAAATGCTGATTTATTAAGCTTTAAAAGCGTATACGAATTGAATAAAGTATGCCGAGAGGTACGATAAAAATATTATCTATTGATAGTATTGAATTTTGTTGTAAATTGTATCTAATAATTCGTAAGCTCACTTCATCTTAACGCGTTTGGTGAATTTGAAAAGTGGAGCTTTTTTGAGCTTTAGAGGATTGAACAATTCAATCCTCAGTGAGCCCATTTTAATAATAACACATATTCAGCAAGGCTGCTTTTCACTTAAAAAAAAAACTTGAAATATATCAAAATAATTTTGAGCTACTCTGGAGCTTCAAAGAAATGAATAAAAGACGCAAGCTCATTTAGACTACTCAAAATAGTCAAAATCGAATGAAATAAACCATGATTAATTTATTGATTAATTCGTTATTAATTGAGAATAAAATTAAAACCAAAACTAATATTTAAATAATTTCAAAATATTTAACATTTTTGAAAATATTTTGTTTTCAAAATTTATTTTAATTAAAAAATATATATTTATAACTTTTATTGCCTGGAATGTTAAAAATTATTTATTGTTCGAAAATGGTTGAAAATTAGTAATGCATGCAGTTAGATGCTCGCATCATAGACTTATATGTATGGATGTCTGTAATTATACGTACTTGTGACTAACCTCAACTATCATTGCATCTAAAGCGAATTAAACTTTATCACACACACTACTAAGTAATACTCAATAAAATTGTAAATTCATTACTTCCTATAAACATTAATTTATCTATTGTATTAAACGAATTCTAATACTTATTTAAACATATATACATTTAAAAATCTAAAATATAACTACACTTTAAATATGAACAATCAATACGTTATGTATATAGTATAAATTTAAATTAAAAAAAAAAATCTAATACAGTTTTAAAGGACAATAACTAATAAATTTTTTATCTTTTATTTTTCATTTTTAAATTTCCATTAAATACATTTTTATTTGTTACACAACGAAAATCACTGGAAATAACTAAAAAAAAACCCAACAAAAATAGGCACTTATTTCAATTGCATCATGTTTATGGTGGCATCATCGGTGGTGCTGACGGTTGTTGTACTCAACTATCATCATCGCACTGCGGATATACACGAAATGCCACCCTGGGTAAGTTAAAAGTGCGCGATGTAGACAAAAGTGAAAGCTTACGTAGAAGCTTTTAATGAAAGCTGTTGGAGATTTTTGAATCTTATGTGAAATTTTTTTATTATATTTTCTACTTTTCTATATTTTTCATTAACAAATCGATTATATAAATGAGAGTTAAATTTTATAAATATATAATATCGTGTTAGATTAAATCCGTTTTCCTGCAATGGCTGCCATGGATTTTGCGTATGGGTCGTCCTGGACGTAAAATCACACGAAAAACAATTCTACTAAGCAATCGCATGAAGGAATTGGAATTAAAGGAACGTTCTTCCAAATCACTACTAGCCAATGTGCTGGATATCGATGATGATTTCCGGCATACGATTTCCGGTTCGCAAACGGCGATCGGTTCATCAGCGTAAGTACACTAATAATATTGACAAGAGAATTATAAAAAATATAAATAAAAATTAAAATTAAAATTCAAATTCAAATTCAAATTCAAATTCAAATTCAAATTCAAATTCAAATTCAAATTCAAATTCAAATTCAAATTCAAATTCAAATTCAAATTCGAATTCAAATTCAAATTTAATTTCAAATTCAAAACAAATTCAAATTCAAGTTCAAATTCAAATTCAAATTCAAATTCAAATTCAAATTCATTTTCAAATTCAAATTCAAATTCAAATTCAAATTCAAATTCAAATTCAAATTCAAATTCAAATTCAAATTAAAAATCAAACTAAAATAAAAATTAAAAAAAAAAAACAAGATTTAAATTTATATTCAAATTAAAAACAAAACAGAAAAATGGGAAATACATCTCTTCATTTCAAGCTTGTGTCTGCTTATTATCCATTATCATCCCAATCGAGATTATACAATAACTGTTTCTGATGAAATTCTATTTTCTAAATTTTTTCTTTTCTCAATTTATAGAAGCTTCGGTCGCCCTACAACGGTGGAGGAACATCACAATACAATAGGTTGCAATCATAAAGATTTACATTTGATTCTTAAAGAACTGCAATTCATAACATCGCGTATGCGTAAATCGGATGATGAAGCGGAATTGATAAGCGATTGGAAGTTTGCGGCAATGGTTGTGGATAGGTGAGTACTAAAAACCAATTCAAGTTTCTGAATTGGTTATACCACATTAAATTCAGAGGTTTTACTGGGTTAAAGCTGGGAGAAACGTTATAAAATACCGTTCCTTAATTAACCTTAACAAGCGAATACAGTTCCCAAGCAGAGATCTAGGGATTATTCGTCTTAAACGGTTTCCATATGCTATGGATTTTGCGTATGAGTTGTTCTCAAACATTTTCTGCCTTACCTTTGATATGCAATATCTATTCGGCCTGATAAAAAACGGCTTTTGGAGTGGGTAATGGGATCTATTGGGTAGAGCTAAATCTTAGGCAAGTCTTCAAACTTCCAAAATATTGCGGAGGTCTTTACGAGTATCATAAGAAAAGAGGTTAAGCTAATGACCTGGAATACAGCCTAGATCTTGTAGAATACCAGCGAAGAGCAAAGAACTACTTTTTGCTCACGCAGTCTCGAAAGAACTGTTTGGCAGTGTCACATGCGCGGATAATTGGGCAGATATGTAAGCAGGCAGGCCTGCCTCCCCTGTTTCTGTTCGAACTCATTTAGAACCCATCTAACACATTTAGAAGCTTTCACTGTTCGAAGAATTTACAATACTGGATAACAAAGTCATCTTAAACTTCGCAAAAAGTACGACGAGTACTTCAACTCGACTTAAATTGAACCTCCATCTGTCACCATATAGCACCAACAGCTATATGCGGTCTGTATAATCGAGCCTACCATAAGCTCATAATTTTATACAGTTTTATCAATCCGTCGAAGCCTTTTTTTTTTGCATTTCTCTTCACACATAAATCTCACTTTAAGTAAGTGATAAACTTAAATTGCGTAATATGTTACAAGTTAACAAGCAAATAAATGCTCAATAAAATCAGCCAAATTAATTGTTGTCCCTTAATTATTGCATTATCGTCCTATCCACATACGAGTATGTTTTGTAAGTAATAACTTTTCATAATCACAATTAAATCTAAGTTACGCGTGATTTATTGTATTGAGAGTGTGTATTTGTGTGTGTTGTATGACATTATTTAATTGAGAAACGAGTAATAATAAATGCAATTTGTGCATAATTGAACATTTACAATTTAAACAACCACATCAGCTCTAATTAACTGATTGCAAAATAAATATTTATGCAACAAACACAAATGTTTATATACATATGTATATACATATTTGCAAACGAAACCAGAAATTGTATTGCATCTAGAAATGCTTCTTTTTTTTTGTTTGGTGGCAAATTTAATTATTCCATGAAATTTGGATTATATCACATCTCTAATACTTGTATTAATTGGTTTAAATCGTAAATAATAAAAATTGTAATTTATTTTCTATAAACTCATATAAATATGTATTTCCAAACGGAAGTTATTTCATTTAAATTGCAACGACAGATCAAAACCTAATTTTTCCGCTGAGTCACAAATGTGTCACAAATAGCGTTGCCAACTACTCGTATCAATATTTCAGTGGTGTTATTTGAGCAAAGTAAGAAGAAGCAAACAAATTGGATAGCCAAATTAAGGCAGTGATTATTTGCTTTATTATATTTTATCCAACAACTATACATTTTTTCCAGAATTTCACCACATTTTTTTGGCTTCCAAATAAAAGGTTTTCTCAGGATGTTCGCTTCAGTTATGAATTCTGTATTTAACGCTCGAATTTTTTAAAGACGAGACATTTTTTTATGTGTGAAAATTAAAAATAGTAGCAGGAGGAAATTTACAATTGATCAAGTAATAAATCATCTATTATTTTTACATTACATTGAAGGCTTCACGAACCAAAGTTAGAATTATCCGATTTATGTGAAATATGCATCCTCTTCCGCGATAATTTTTTGCCATTTTGAATTTAATGCCATTATGCTCTCTCTCTTGTCACTAATAGCAAAAAATTTGGTTAAATAATCTTCCCAGGCTGATCTTCAGATCAACTGTTCACCAGCCAAATACAGGAGCAGCTGGTAATTGGTTATTGCGAGGTCTGATTCATAAAATGGATGCATAAAACCATTTCAAACAAGCTCTCGGAGCTTCTAATGATTCATTATCGATGTGGGTGGTCAAGAGTTGTTCTAATTATACGCAATTCCCTTCCAGTTCTGAGCGGTTGATTCCTTCACGGGTCAAAACTAAGAGTTTGGCTGCAGGGGAGCAGCTCATAATGGTTGATTCCTAGCGAATCTACTCAAGCTCACAACTAAGCCTTCCTGACCGCCAATCCTATCTTGGAGACCGTTTGTGCCTGCTCGCTGCCCTTAGCCCACGATAGTTTTCGTTTGATGTTGCTGTAAATGATCCACTTTTCCCAAAGTGATCACAAGTCATCATCCTCTTTAGAAAGGGTCGATTCTGTTACGATTCAAAAGCGAATCACAGATGAAAACTCGGTACAGTCGTTAGCTCAAGTGGTTTCAAACTATGATTTTCCAACAAATTGTTTCTTAAAAGTACTTTTATTTCATGTCAGAAATTTACTCGGAAGGATTGAATTCCCTGCCAAGTAGCGACCGCATTTCGAGAAATTAACTGACTACTGTACTGAATGAGCTGGCAGCTTGTAGCCGAATTTATGAATGTTTTTTTTTTCAAATGCAATCGTTTCCCATTAAAAGTTATCCATATGAATGACGCCACTTGGAGTCCAAAAAATGTTGACATTTTTAGCCAACAGCGCACCTGCAACTTCTTTGCTGAATGTTCACTCGAAAATCCCACTGTGTTGATTGTTTCTTGCTTGTAAAAAGGCAAGCTGGCTATGCTAGATCAGCTCTTTCTATATATAGTATAAAAGACCTGCATTTTCCTGAACAAATGATCGGAACAAAAGTTGCTCTGTTTAAGAGGCAAGTGTTTCTGGTTATCGGAATGTTGACTGTCTCGTTTTCACTTCAGACGATCTGCTGGGCTCGATAAACTGCTTCGAAGTAAACCCTTCACTGTGGAGCCAACCTCATAGCTTCCACAAGAGTTATTCTCGAACTAACTACTTGGACCCTACTGGAATTGTTCTTTTAATATCAACTATTTGGATGGGATCTCGTTCTAAAGTACGTCCTTTTCGAAACGTTATGCTCACTATAAGCTCACCAAAGTTTATTGAACCTTACTTATCCATCCGCAATGAATAGCCCTTTGCACGGCAATAACGCAGTACATGTAGATATGTATAAAATAAATCGTTTTCAGAGATTAATTCACTAAGAAATAAAGTGCAGCTCAAGAGAAACTTAGCAAATACTCAGGTATATTAAGCTTACAGACTTATCAGCACACACATGGTACTTGCATTTAAGTGCGTATCATCATCGGATACGCATTCGAAACTCAACTGAAGTAGCTCGCATTAGGAAATTGCATCCTTTACAGATTCACTTAACGCAACATAATGCCGTCGAAGACATTGTCGGTCAAGCTCATGTGCGTGGCAACATACACTTATGTACGTACATTTCTACACATGGTGAGTTAACCATGCAGCCAAGTAAACTAGTTGAAAACTACTTTGAGACTGGGTGTGCCAAAATAAAACTTAAAACTATAAAAAATTCATCCCTGCTGCTGAGGCTGATTAAGCAAAACTGACGCATCTGACGCTCGGAAAACTCAAAACAAGATGACACTACGTGAACGACGATTTAACACTCGAAAAGGTGATCGCAATTGGCCACAGATTAAACACCTTCCGGCCGTTTTCTTTGAAGCCATGTGAAAGATAGGGTATACGCCGACAAGCCAATGTCGATTCAAGACCTTAAAGATGGAAATTGTGAAGATATTGAGGCCATACAGCAGTAACTTTGCAATTTTTTAATAAAAATGTCATAAAAAAGGTTGTGGTCCTGTAAACGTCGCCAGGGCGGACATTTGGCTAATATTGTTTTCTTCCTCTTTACATCCGAACATTTCTCTTAAAAAAGTTATTTTTCTTTGAGTATCAAAACAGCATCACTTTTTGGAAAATCCTGTACTAATAGCATACTAGTTCAAAAGGGGACAAAAAAGATACCAGTGCGATTTTAAAGCTAAGTAGTTCTACAAACAATTTGCATTAATTAATTACTTTGTGACTAGTATCAGTTTGGTATTTTCCAAACTAGTAGAATACTAATCGAGAATTTCTAGTAACAAAGTACTACCTTATCGACCAGTTTGCATATACTTCACACAATCTTACATTTTCAATCAACTAGGAGTACATATCCCCCCTTGTGCATACATATGTATGTACATACAAAAACACTACTAATCGCACTATGTGACACCATAAAATGGATTCAGCTTACAAATTTCCTACGTATATAAATGTAACAAAAACATGGTTTTCTTTACTTAGCTCTAATGTGAGTGTGTGTACAGTTTCTGTCATCTCCAATTTTGTTGGTCTTATATTAATATTGAAAATGGTCAGCGCCTCCTTCTACTCCTGCTTCATCTTCATCAGCCAAATAAATATCTTCTTTCGTTTATGCCTCACGGGATCCATTACATTTGGCACTGAGCTCATTTTGAGCATTTAAAAAGATTACTTTACGGCTTTACGGCCACTTGTAACTGCGATTATCGAAGAGCGTTTGTCGATAAATTGTCGATATCATTGAAAGTATTTAGTTGTGTATAAGGCTGAAAGTATGTACGATACCTGCATACATACAACTTGATGTCAATTTGTATTAATCGATTTTATTCAATTGAACAGATTTGTATGAATGTATGTATGTAGATACGACTATGCAGTAGCACTTTAGCAAATGCAAGTAGATTAACTCTGTAGTATTTTCGTTATTACAGGGAATGAAGTTACTTATAAAAGTTTTGCTCCTAATATTTTAGTCATAAATATATCTCAGTGCGGTATAGACACCAATTACCAGATCATCTCGTTGGTTTTTCCCAACTGTAAGCCTTTAGTTAGTGGCCACAATTTTTAATTGAGCAAATTCGCCAGGCATCCCTCATCAGTACTCGGTATCTGTATCATATGACATGTGTTTAAGCCGATCTGAACGTTGCGAGATAGACAGTCCTCTTCTTCCCACTAAAGTTTGAGAGTCTCTCGTGGCACCAGCTCTTCTTTCCATTTGTTTCTCTGGTTGAGGTATGTTGGCAGATTCAAAAGCGTTCCACTTATGTATGTATATCGTGTTATTGACGAGTGGCCCGAGTCGATGTTAGGGTCGCTGAAAGTATGTATGTATATTCAGGAAACCTAAGCCATATTCGAGGTTCAAACTAATTAGGTCCGTTCCCGCAAGACACTCCACCAACCTTTCCAAAAAGGAAACAATAGCATAGGGATAAAAAATTTATCAGCGATGATGAAACCACGAAAGCATAAAGAGAAAAAATGTAAATTAATTAATTGAGAGAATATATCCGGCTTTTAGGTGAATATAATCCAAAGGAAAAATAATTTGTTTTCTTTTTTATTTCCAACCCTTATCTTACCTTCCGTGGACATAAAAACGCTCCCTCAAGTAAACTTTTTCTGTACATACATACATACATGCCTATAACATATGTATATAGGCATATTTATGATGAAAATTCTAACGAAATTCAATTTCTTTGCAGATTTTGTTTAATTGTTTTCACGCTCTTTACAATTATCGCAACGGTAACCGTTCTACTATCAGCTCCGCACATAATAGTCCAATAAGCCTAAAGGAAATTGAGGTTTAAGGATAGACCTAGAATAGAAATATTCAAACTACAACAGAGAGAATACTTTACAAAGAGGGATCTACTTGTTTCCAGACGAAAAACAATTACTTACACATACACAACAAGCATACCAATCAATGGATGGAAAATGGAGTTCTAATATCTACAACAAAGTCAAAGAGAGGAGATCGTACACTCAATTGTAGTTTAGTGATGAAGAAACTACACAATAATTATTAAATCACACGAAGGACAATTGATTAAGAAGAATATTATAAAGAGAGAAAAAAAATATTACAAAAAAATTGTTAATTAAATTTTTAAGAAAAAACTGCAAAATAGTTACAAATTAGGAACAAAGAAAAATCAATGTTATATTTAAAATATATGTACATATATACAGTAGTGTTAGTTTGTAAGGCAAATTAGCAACAAAATGGTTACTTAATACATACACACAAGCAAATTCAAATGCGATGAATGTGGAAGAAAAATTTCGAAACAAACTGCCGAACCCAAATATGTTGAATATTAAATATAATAAAAAATTAAGTAAATGCATAATGTAAAGTACTAAAAAAAATTATGTTATACAAATAGATATGTATGCATAAGTAAAATTAATATAAATTAGAGCAAGACGAAAAAACAAATTGCATACAAATCAATTTGCACTAACTAAAACTAATTACATAAAGCAAAATATGAAATAAAATTAAGTAAAATAATGTAGAAGAAGAATTTTCAAAGAAAATAGAAATATATAAATGACAGCGCATTCGTTATAGTGAAACAAATTGTGGCATAAATGTTTAATTATTTTCTAAACTATTTATGTAATATGAATGTTGAAAATCATGCATCTTAAAAACAAACCAAAAAAAAATAACAATACAAAAAGAGAATGAATTCTACTACGTGTAGATGAATGTAAGGTAATTATTTTTTTAATTAGCATAGTTATAAGCATTAAAAATAAATATGTTAAATGTATAAGAGACAGAGATTGTTCCTATGAAACATAGAAAAACATACACAAACACGAAAACAAAAAAAAATAAAAAAATGCGAAAAAAGTAATTTGAAAGATATTGAAGGCATGTGCAAATTAAAATTGTTAATATTCTACATAATTTAAAATAGGACTTACAATTAAGTATGAGAAAAATAGTGAATAACCTAAAATCGGGCGGGCAATAGAATAACGCCGCGGCTCATGCTTTTCAAGCAAGAGGCAAATATAAATTGATATGCAAGATTTATAGGTACCAAACTATATATTTATTTTAGCTGAGTTAAAAATTATTAATTATAATATATTAAATCCAATATTTTTATTAAAAAGATATGGTATTTAAATTATTAATTTTTTTTTTGCACTTTTATTTGAAATTGCGCTCTGTTACTACCAACTAAAATAAACATTTGAATTTAAAATATTCCACTTCTAATTTTTTAAAATTTCTTTGTGATTGCAAAAATATCTTATAAATAGCACTTACTTTCATTTGGGCATTGCGCCATAAAAATGCCATCAATTTCCACAATAATTCACTTAAAAATACAAATTCATTTTAAATATCCCACTTCTAATTTTTTTTAACTTGTTTATACTCCATTTTCGATGCAGGACTTACCTAAACGTAGCACGTAACATAGAAACTAAATTAGAAATTGCCATATCAGCTGTTGTTTGCTTACACTATGTTCACATTCCTTACCGCATTGCCATTAATAGCAAAATAATTATAGTATACATATATTTAATTTAGCCACTGTTTCTTAGTTAAAGATTACAATTTTTGAAACAAACATAATTTTTCTAAAAAACTTTACACTCGAAATAAACAAAACCCGATGTTTGGCTCGTAAAAAAGTCGCATTAGGCTTCACGTATATATTTTAAAAAGAAATAGTTAAAAACGAGAGCACAAAAAAGAGTACTACATATAGATAAAATAAAGCATAAAAATATCTGAAATTGATTAAAACTAAACAACAAACAAAGTGCAATGTACGAGTAGAACAAAAAAGAACGAAAGAGCGTAAGTGCGTTAGATGCGAGGTGAAACAAATTAAACGAGTAAAAAGAGAAATGAAATATTTTTTATGCGCATTTATGTATTGTAGAGAATTTAATATTAAACAAAAAAATGATCTTATTGAAAATTCAATACAAGAAAGTAACGAGAACAAGTAAATAAAGTAAAATTCAACAAAGCACACAACTGGTTGCAGTGTTAAGTGGGAGAGGAACAATAATAATTGCAGGTGCAACAACTATTTAATGTACGGAAATAAAAAGGAAATATAAATATATAACTACTATACCATAGTACACATACTTATAGTACAGTTTAAATGAAATTAAAAAATACAACAAATACATACATACAAAGGATGTTGCAAAAATAGAAGCGCATATTGTAATAATAAATAAAAAAAATTACAATTATAAGTTTAGTTGTGTTTGTGATATATGACGCAAAAATAGTTTAACAATTAAGAAAAACTAAACCAAAAAAAGAAAGCAAATAAAAATAAAAATAAATAAAACAAATAAAAAAAAATAGTGCAATTTTTCGAGTTACACACAAACACCATAAAAGCAAATAGCAAAGCAAAAATAGTTAAAATACACTAAATAAATATTTTTGTAACAAAACCAAGCACACAAACACGTTAAGCTATACTTTATATCCATAATTTAAATTGTTATTTTTTGTGTTGTATTTGTCAAATTTTCAACGCATGATTTCCATCATTTGAATTTGAACACCATTCAAAAATTACAATTTTGTTTAAACTGCTCAAGTTCGTGATTTAGCTATATGTGTATATTTATGTACTTTGCAACTAGTGGACTGCCGCTCAGACTATTGCAAGTCGTGCTTCTTAATTTTTAGCATGGACTTCGCTTAAAAGATTGCTTTTATACCACTTTTTCGTTGTTAAAATATTTTAAATTATCTTTACTTAGTCTTTCTTAAACTTATGACCGATTCAATCATTATATAATATTAAATATTATATTAATTCAATAGGCATTTTCAGTTCAGTCACAATAAACAATTTTCAGAGTTGTATCCATGAATTTAAAGCAAGTTTCTCGCGATTTCGCTAAAATTAAAATTTGTACACAACTATAGTGAGTTGTTTTATTTTTGCAAAAAATGTTTTATTTAATAATATTTAAAGTATATTATTGACGAACAACTAAACTTTTGCAAAACTCTCAAGTTTCGTCGCTCACACAGTTATTACAAATAATATCATAAATGCAGAACTCTACTATTTTTCTGCTCTTTAACTAGCTATTTTTTTATTTTTTATTTTTTTATTTTTTATTTTTATTTTTTTTATTACTTTTTTTTGTATTGCGCGCTCTTAAGTTTATACTTAGTTTTATTATTACGATTTTAATTGCTGAAGTTTTTTTTATTGATTTTCACGTTTTCCCAGTGCAATAAATATTTTAATTAATCATTAATTAGATTCTCTCTTTTCTTAACTCCATTACAATATCGATTTTCGTTGTTATTACGAAAGCTGAATTCCAGAATCCGATTGGGATACAATGTGAAATTTTACGCCTTTTATTAAAATATGTATGTACATACATACATATGTGTTTTGCATGGGCAAAATCATTAAAGAATTGGATGTGAAAACATAATCTTTAAAAACAATCAAAATGTATCCATTTGGGATTTCGTTTACACTTTTATATGCCTAACAAAACATTTACCACAAATTGTGTAATTCGTAAATGAAAGATAAAAAATATGATTTCCAGATCCAACTTGAGCGCTATTTTTCAAAAGTAACCTGTTGCAACACATTAGATCACAAATTGTGCGCACCACATACTGAATATATGAAAATTGCAATTAGCGAGTTAACACCTTTCATTTTATTCACCACTTTCCTAAAAAGTACTTTCATTGTACTTTTGCCCGCAACTAACCGGCAGCGCACAAACAATTTGTTTGGAAGTGCTGCTCCGATTTTTGCAAAGAAAATAGTAAACACGAAAATAATTTACTTACACTCGAGATATATAATAAATGTAATAAATATACAGTTAAACCTTTTGTTCGCTTTTTGCCTTTCATACAAACGTGCAAATGAAAAATGTTTGTTTTATTATTATTTGATTTGACGCGCAATAACTGCCGCTTTTCTGACAGATCGTACGCTACAATGTTGCCATACTCTTACTGTCACATGAAATCAAGCAACACAGCGGTTGCGATGACAATTCGAACAAGCACAATGTTGCTAACGTCCAGCAGAGGATATTTCTTATATATTTTAATAAATCTTTTGTTTCAATGAGTTGCACTGCTTACTGAAAACAGTCAGTCATATGACGGCGAACGAAATTTCTACAAAACATTATATATATATATATATATATATATGTACTCGTATAAATGTATTTTACAAACAAACTTTCTTCATATCATTTCTAGGCGTTTCATTTAATGCAGGTTTTTATAAATATTATTTAAAATATTACTAAAAAAAATAAATATACATATATATTATGCATTATTTACCTTCTATACTATAAAACTAACTAACCCCACTAATTTGCGATTGTAATCAAATCCCTCCACAAGAACTTAAATAAACTCAACTGACAACTGTGTACTTTAATAGTTATAATAGGTTTTTTGTTTTTTCTAAAACAAAAAATAAGCAATTTTGTAATCAAATTTTTCTAAAAAACAATGAACAATGAAAAAATCAAGGTTGTTTACGACGAGACCCACACTTTTCATAAAAGATACATTAATCTAAGTATATACAAACATACGTACTTTCCTGAAAAACTTTAGTAAATACTTTTGCATTTGATAATATTTGAATTTATATTATATGTATGTATAAGACTATATACTATGTATCTGTAGAACCCAAGCTGATACCGAGAGATACTCGTATGCCGAAAAACTTTAAATTATAAAAATTACGAGTATGAACTCGCACATCTAGGTTAGAGCAGCTAAATATTTTCAAATTTGTAAAGCCAACATCTTAGTGTATTGTTTGCTGTCGCAGAATTATCTCTTACCGTTAGTTAATTACACGTACTCTACGTACTACCAACAGAAGTGAGTTAGAAACATGTTTAATATGAAAATCTCTTAGTAAGTTTTTACAAAAAAAAAAAAACAAAAACAACATTTATTACATGTAAGATTGAGTGTACGTAGGTTTTTCGTTTACAAATACAAAACAAAGCAGTAAGAATACAAAAAAGGTATACATTTTAATTAGCAATACACTTTTCTATGAAACTGTCTACATGTTAAGCATTAAAAGTTTATAATACTAATCTTACTAAAATCTAATCTAACTATTAGAAAATTATAAAATAAAAAACAACAAACAAGCAAATACTATTTGTAATTAAGTTAGAACTAAAGAATATCCTTTTCCCAAAGATAAATGTAAAAAAGACATAAGAAAATAACAAATCACAGCCGAAAAAGGATACCAAAGACGAATTTAATGGAAAAACTGAGGAAGATAACTATTATAAAAAAAGAAATTAATTAATAGCAAACAGGTAAACAAAATTGAAAAAGCGCTATACTCTAAGCTATGTACTATCTTCGACAGATTTATGTAGTTTGAAACTAATTTTTTTTTTTAAATATGTTGTATTAAAATTATTTATACTTGTATTACACTACACAGCTACACATAATTAATAATGACAAAAAAATGAAATAAAGTAATATGCATCTACACATTTACGTTAAATTAAAAAATAGTTCGGAAAAATTGGCAGCACTTCTAATATTAAACGATGATGATGAAATTATTTTGCTGAAAGTCAAAACGTTTTGCAAGACGGCTTAAATAAGAAATAATTAATTTCTCATCGCTTTGGATTACCAACTTGAATTAAAAAAATATTTGGCTATCCCAAAGCAAGTTCACCCTAATTCGCCTTAGGCTATTTAGGAATAAAAAGAAGATTCTAACGGTCTGTCAAAATTCATTTGTTTTGTTTTTGCGTGCATTGAATGTCTTTGTTGTTCGTTGTAACAATTTTGCTTGTAAAAAGATTATTATTATTATTGTTATTATTGAAAAATTTACATAACCAAAGGTCGTACAAAATTTGCCTTTAATTTGTTAAAGTTATTGAATAAAATGGAGAAAATTAAAAAGGGCGACCATAGCAGTCCACCAATGGCAGATGTAAACATCCAATCAAGTCATTGCACTGTTTCCAACATTATGGACATTGTGTTCCAATATACACATGCACATACATAGGTACTTGAATTGAAACTTTGTCAAAACAGGATATATGTACATACATATGCTTGTACATAAGCAGCTGAATGTGCCAGAAAGCGTGAGACACTAATGTAAATTAAATTATTTTAATGATTTCACTCAAATTGAATTATAAAGTCCAAGCGATGAACGATCACTCAAATTACAAGAGAACGAGTTATTTCATTTCATTTCTATATGAACACGCAGACTACTGAAGCCCACTTTTGTCGTTGCTGTTCGACTTGCACTCGAAGGCACTTTGCTGTGACCTTTGCATTACCATAATATACCATAATACCATTAATTCTAGTAATGCCGCAGTTTGTGCTACACTTTTGTGCTTGCCTCTTTCTACAAAAATACCGATCAATATTTGTAAAGCTTGGAAAATGAACTTTATGCCAGCATTTCATTGCCTTCTGTTGTGCTTGAATAAAAACTTTCAACCAATGAACTAATTATCCGTCAACGGAAATTTAGATTTATCGATATGCAAAGCATCAAATGCATTGAATTAGCGGATTCCGACATAGATTTCGATAAATTGGATGCGATGATATTAAAGAAGACGACTACTCAATTCCGTTTCTAATGTAGATCTCAGTTTAGTACAGAATATTCTGTGAGAAATCATATTTTCATCTATCTACCAAGATAATCAATTATTGTTCCGAAATAGAATAAATTAATAATAATAATCGATAAGTTAGCATCAGAACAACTGTTGATTTGGCTTTTATTATTCATTTTACAGCCGAAACGAAAACTAAATACATACATATTTACGTATGTGTATTTTTTGTTTCGTTGCTAATGTTGATCATTGTTAATCTAAATATATGCAATTATTTTATACAAAAGTCTCAGTATTTATAGTAAAAAAAGTCATTTGAGTATGCCATTTTGCTCTTCAGCGATTGTCAATAGAAGAGATCGAATTTTTTTTACTAAAACACTAACAAAATTTACTTTAAATTCGGTAATGAGGAAAAAAATAATATCAGGGCATGCTTGCTTTTTTATAATTGATTGTCGTTGTTAATATGGTAATAGCGTGGCAGTAAAATGAGTAACACTACTAAAATGTTATTAAGCGATGAAATGAAAAGAAAAGAAAATGTTAAAAAAGTTAGTTCAAAGGGCTAATTTCAATAAATATTGAGTTATCAGTTACACTTGTTTAAATTTTACACAAATTTATGCACAAACCTTATTGTTAAACATACATACAAGCATTTTAAGTAAATATAGTACTTTATCATAAAAAGCTAAATATAATTAGGCCGCCGGTTGGGGAAAAGCATATTTTTTTAACTTATTAATGCAGACATTTAATTTAAAACTTACTTACTTATCACATTTAAGTCACAAAAACAATACCGTCGCGAATTTTTATGATTTTAACGTGCAGAAACTAATCAACTATTTGGAAACGAACCTACAAGGCAAGGCGAATATTATTTAGTTTTAATTATATTTTGAATTCGCCTTGCTACAAGCGGTATTCTTGTTAGTTGCGCTGTAAGAAATTATTTTCCTATGCAATATTATGCCAGAAATCATGCTCATGTTATCAAAAATAAAAAAATCATTAACAAAATCTTACGTATTGCATTAGTTACATTTACAATAATGTTTGTATGTAAACCTAAAGGTTAGTAAATAAATGGAATTCTCCGCTAAATCATATTTGGAGTGAACACTAAAGGAATCAATTGTTTTTGAAAAATAAGTAGATTTTAGGTCATTAAAAAAAGTGTATTATTTAATAAACGAACTAAAGCAATTTCTATGATTTACGCTTAATAATTAACAAAAAAATCTAGCAAATGTATAAACAATGATTAGAGCTAAATACTTAAAAAATATACCTGCCAATATTGTTATGTTTTAATGCAAAAAAATACTTAAAAACATTAAAAAAAAAAACATATAAAAACGAACCCACCCTAAATGCAAATAGTGCACATTTTATTTGAAAAAATCACAATAATTCACCCACTGTTAAAATATTTCTTTTAATATTTTGTGCAGCTGTCTAACTTATTTAATATTAATTACTTTAAATTAAATAACAAAAAAAATGACAATGTACGACCAATTCGATAATAATATTACGTTTTAAATAACTAAATAATTAAAACTAAAAAATAGAGCATAAATTGAAAATTGAAATTCCAAAACAATTACAAATATTACATACTAAATTGCATGTAAAAACACAATTCAAAAATAAACAAATACCGACAATTAATTATATCTTAATTTAAAATCTAAGTAAGTAAAAAGTATTAAAATTTAAAATAAGTTGTAATGCATACAAGGTCTGTTGTCGATCGACCGTTATTGACAGACAAAAAACTGTTTCGTCACATTGACGATAATTAATACATTAAATATTAAAATAATTTAAATAAAATTATTAGCATAAAATTAGTTTATGAAATTGATGAAAAGAAATTACAAAAAATTAAAACAAATGAATGATTAAGAAAAAAGTAATTAAGAAAATGAGAAATAAGAATAAATATTTTCTTTTTGGAAAAAATATAACAATAATCAATGAAGTTTTCTTTACCATTGCCATTTTCTAGCGCCACAGTAGGACAACGAAAAAATATAACTAAATAATTTTTTATTTTAGAATTGATTTCGCCTCGGAATCGGAAAAGTGCTTGGCAGTCCTAACGAAATTTTGAAATTCGAACAAAAACAAATCTTAAATGCAAGTCAAATTCATACACGGTAGTAGCAAGAATACAAAAACAAAAAGCCCATGCATTTGTTTGTGTAATTATAGTTTCGAAAAGTCAAAAACAAAAGTTGTTCAATGTATTTTGTTTGTGTAAACGAACTTTCGAAATGCCAAAACCTATTTTTCATGTATTTTGCTTGTGTAATTTTTGAAATAGAAGGAAGAACAAGCAATCATATGATGTGACAACTTCACCATTTAATAAATTTCCCTTGCTTAAATGCTTTTATTCCATGTCAGAAATCCTCTTATGCTTTCATAAAATTAAAATCTATAAAAATCGGACCAAAACTCGAATCCAATCTTTACTGTAAGCAAATTAGTATAAGTTTGTTTGTATGTATATGAAGAAACTTTCACAACAACATGTTTTATAGGCTCATGTCCCCACAAAGTAACCAAATTTAGGTTAGTCGTGCTGAGCTCCTTTATTTTACATCGAATTACATCGAAATTATTGATTAATGTGAGAAAAAATTTTACAAATGTTCTTTAAAAAGTGTACAAATTGTACGGAAATGTCACTTGAAATATATCGTATATATATATGCATGTAATTGCCCGACTTGTAATGCCTGAAATGCTTGTAAAATTTAAAATATCTTCCAATATCTAATGAAATAGTAGGGAAAGCACCATTTAATGTTATTACTCGGTTAACTAATTTGTTAGTGTGGCGTGGTAATTTATAAATGTCGTAGTCTCTCTCACTTGTTATTACTTTAAAATTCTTCTTTCTGCTGACCACTGCTGAAATTCAGTAAGAATTTTCTTGTTTCAAGTAGAAGGTTTTGTATAAAATTTCCGTTTTTGCCAGGTGACTTTTATTGATGAGCCTATAGAAAAGTCAAAATTTTTTTTTTTCTGTTCGGAAATAAAATAACTTCATATATCGCAAATAACTTTTCTCTATTAATAGGAAATGGTAAGTGTAGACAGCTCATAAAACTATACGTTGTCATCTGCCTCCATCTGGCAACTTTCACTTTTTCGCCGGAAGAATATATTTTTGTTTTCAGCGTCACTAACATTTCGTATATAATAACAATTAAAATTTGTTAGTAAATATGGATGAGTTTAGTGAAATTTTAATTTCAAAAGTAAGTGCCCATCGGTATCTTTATGACAATCAGCATAAGGAATATAAAAATTTGATTGCCAAAGAGCAAGCATGGGCAAAGATTGGGGAAGAATTGAAAATGTCGCGTAAGTATATCCTCTAAACCAACAAGTTGATAATTTCATAGCCTGGATGGGAAAATGTAGTAAGAATTGAGGTCATAAAATACTTTCATATATTTCCTTAACATACAACTAAATGAGTATGCCAGATCCTTCTTGGAAATAGTAACAAATATTAACCCAAATTTCATGGAATTCATCATTGGTACACTAATTGTCAATTCAAATATTTGGTGGTGAGAAATGCTAAGCATTTCCTTAACGAAGTGATTTCATACTCTCAATACCATTTTTTTTCTCTTTTTAGCCATGAAAGTGAAGACCAGATGGAAGAATTTGCGCGACTCATATGTAAAATATAGGAATCAATTAAATAAAGTTACCGACGATGCCAGCAAAGAAGCTATAAATAATCGTTTTTCGAAATGGACTAGTCGTCCATATTTATCTTTTTTAGATGAAACTTTATCACGGCGCTCACAGTCCATGGCACAGGTACCTACCAAACTCGAAAGCAAATCGCCACCGGCAAAACGTACCAGAGGTATGCTAGATGATGAAAGCATTCGAGAAAGCAAAAGAATTGATTTGAGTATAGTAAAAAAGAATGGTCAAAGCAAATTACGTTCTATTTTACATGAAGAACAACCAAATGCTAGTGAGGATTCTAACGATTCTTCAGAATCTAAAATTACGACTATTGAAATACAAAATACTAAACCGGAAAACTGTCTCGTGTTTTCTAACACGAACGGAATTGTTGCAAGCGAAAAAAACAATACTTTAATACCAAAATCGGCCAATGAAGGCGAAGGCGATGCAGTTGATCTTTTATTTAGCAGTTATGCAAAAACATTTCGAGTGCTATCTTTAATGCAACAAATTAATGTTAAAGTTGAAATGGCAAAACTATTTGCCAGTGCCGAACTTCGGAGTCAGCATACAAAGTAGTAGTATTTTAATTATTAATACGTATTTTTCTAATGTGAAATTTAGTGTTTTATAATAAAATATAATTAAATCTGTAAATATATATATAAATGAACGTTTTTGAATTATATAAATTTAAAAAATACGCACAGATGTTGGTGTATGGGTACGTAGTTAAAAAATTTGGTTCACCAATATTTTTCTTATGGAAATGCTTACAAAAACGTTAGACGTTTACATACTCCAGGACTATTCAGACATTCCTGTCGTCAGCGAATCTCTTTTCCCATTATTCAGATTCTTTCGTAATAGTTTAGAAGTCTCGTTTTTTAAATCCGGTCGATGGCTGACACTTCAGTAACGAATATCAGTATGTATGGTGCCAGTTTAAGACACAAGCAAGTAATCGCTAAAGTTGAAGTTTTAAATACTAGAAGGGCAACATCAAAAGCTAATTGCATACCTTCTTAATCCCACACAGCTCTTGTTTACCACGGCATAATATTTGATTCTTATAAGTCCGTATATAAAAAGAATTGTTTACATATCTTCAGAAAATCTTTATAAGATGTAATTTATTGGCCAAATATCACAAACTTAATAACCAACTGATGAAAACATTAAATATAAATGTATGTATAGAGTGTGTGAAGAATGTGGATTTTAGAAATATTTAAAAAGAATGCAATATTATTTGAAATTCATATGAAAGATAAAGAAATAAGTTAATAAAAATGAATGTAATGTCTGTTTGTGGCGTTTACTTTGATAAATTGTGTACATATGTAACTGCAATATGGGGAATAATCGAGAATTCTCAGGTTGAGATTAATATACAATGAAATGTACCTCAACAATCGATAGGTAACTTTTTTTTTTTTTTTGAAGTTCTCCTTACTGAGTTAAATGCTTCTATTAGTTTTTAAATTTCATTCGAGTAATACAAATACTTTTTTTATGGCAACATGTGCGCATGTAATGTTCGTACTTTTACACATTTCAATGGATTTCTTCTTGACCCTTTTTAGCAGACCATTGCAAGTAATTTGGCTGTGTTGCCGCTTCATATTCCTGCACCAAACAATCGACAACATCACGTGAATCATCTAATTCAGACAAATCATCTTTGAAAATATCTTCACGCCGAAATTGATCAAGAAAGGCGCCACGTTTCTTAAGTTTATCATATTGTCCTAACGCTCGTTCGAAAAGTGAGCAAATACTTGTATGGTTGGCGAGCATAAGACCTGAAACTCGATGACTACTTTGTACGTATGGAGATGAACGCGAGAGTGCCACTTGTATGCTAGCTGGACCCCAAGGTATAAACTGTGCCAATTTTCGTTCGCGTATACGTTGCAGTGACTTGTGCACTTGTGTAGGATCAACTTCACCCTTAATAACAAAGTACACGAAAAATTTTACTGAATATTCAATTCAAATAAATAGCAGTCTCACCTGTATTATATTCAAAATGGATATATAGCAATGATGATTTGTTTTATCTGGTCCAGTTGACACCATCATATTTTTTGGTTGCAATAGACGCCGCATAACATCCAAAACAGTAGTTTTACGTACATTAACGGTTTGCTAAAAAAAAAATACTAATTAATCATCCTTTGCTATTAATTTAGAAAAATATATTACATCATTATCAGTTGTCAAAGGTGTATATCCAGTCATCAAGAAGTGCAACTGTGGTGTTGGTATTAAGGGCGCTGTTAATCCAATTAGATTATTATTCATGTAAGATGGGTAGCGTAGCGTTGTGGTGCTAACTGACATTATTGTCGATACCAAAGTGTTGATTTGGGTAAAACTTGGATTTTGTATGTGTAAGCGATCAGTAGCTATACGATTTAGGGCTGTGTTGTCCAACACAACAACACAATCAGCGCAACTAGTAAGTCGGCGTAGCGTCAACATTGAGTTGTAAGGCTGCACAACAACATCACTGATTTCGTCCTGATTCGGGAAAACGCTGTAGGTTTGTATTAACTTTTTAGGAAAACGATCAGATAAACGTTCCATTATATATGAACCCATTCCAGAGCCAGTGCCACCGGCTATAGAATGACAGAGTACAAATCCCTCTAAAGAATCACTGCCATCTGCTTCGCGATCGATTATATCGAATACTTCTTCTTGTAATTTTTCACCCTGACTGTAACCAGAGGCCCAATTATTGCCAGCACCACCGCCATGTTTTGATAAGTAAACATTTTCAGGATTATAAAGCTATAAAAAGGACCGTAAATTTATGAACTTTACAATTAATTATATATTTGTCAATAGACTAGATTAACCTTTGCATATGGTGAACTCATTATAGAGTGTATAACTCGGGGTTCTAAATCCAATAAAACCGCACGCGGAATATAATGATCATCATCCGCTTGATAAAAGAAAACATCCTTGCGATCTACGCCATCAGTGGCAAAATCTTCTAAAACACCACTTGGCGATATGCCGTGTTCGAGACATAATCGTTTCCAGAACTCAAACCCAACTAATATAAAAACAATCAAGAAGATAGAAGATATATCACAATGTACGTAAATATTTACATCTCTTTAGTCGCGCCAGAAATACAAGTTTCAAAGCCAAATGAACAATACGTACTTTGATTGCCGCATTGGCCCAATTGCAGTGTAATTATCTCGCTTGGCATATCTTCACAATATAGATGCTTTGCTTTTATAAAATTTTCATTTGTTTACTAAGTACGCTTACTAGATTTTAGTGAATTATATCCTGGAACACACTAGTTTTTTTAAATTAAATTGACAGCAGCGTTATATGTTTTAACTCTTGTATACTTTGCTTTTTTTTTGTCTTACAGCGAATTCATTATTGACATATGTATATATGTGTTTTGGCAAAAAATTCAAACCAAGCTGCCAGATTTCGAAGCGAAATTCCAAGTAAATTAAAAAAACAATGTGTTACTTCACGGATTATGATTTTGAATAAATAGTTGTTCATTATGAAATTCACATATGTTCTAATAAAAGCAAACATACTAATTACGTTCGGAACAGGCTTCTCAAAGTTGTGTCGGAATACGGCATTTTTCTAATTACGACAAATACGATGTATTATGAACAGCCGCGAACAAAAAATGCGCTAAAAACTTATTATAAATATTTGATGATGAAAACAAAGTGATTTAAGTATACTCAGGATGTAATAAATATATATATATATATCTCCGTATAATAATATATAGGTTATAATGAATATATTCTCTGCGAGGTATCTTTAAGAAATATATGAGGGAGATGTTTTTGTAATCATGTCCGTTAAGTTCAAGTTTCTTTGCTCAATTTTTAATCTAAAATCGATTTAACTAGGTTATCGCTATTTAATGCAATCAACTGGCAATCGCATTTCCCAACAGCTGACTAATTACAATATTCGAGGAACGGGAGTAAAAAAATAAACAAAGCTTCCTCAATAGCCAAGTATTTTGATTATATCAGCCTGATAATAAAATTAAAATAAATTATGGCATTGTGTGAAGAAAGCTCAAAATCTGCTGATCGCCGCATTGCCTCCTTTGTTGTGCTGGATTTGGAAACAAATGATTTACCACATTCCTTTTCTAAAGTCGCTATTACGGAGTTGTGTATGTATGGTTTTGCGGCTAGTGAATTAGAAACACTTCCTACAAGAGAAGAAAGCAATGACAAGCAAACAAATCTCCCAGACCGGCCTCGAAATTTGCATAAGTTGACATTGTTATTCAATCCAAGGCGACTGATTCATCCGCATGCTGAGGAAATTACCGGTATGTAATTATATATATAGCTATTGTTATAAAACAATATATGATGGTTATTTGCAGGATTAAGTAATTACAGTCTTGAAAAGGAAAAACATTTTGATGAAAATGCAGCACATATGATCCTTAACTTCCTTAAACATATGCAACAACCAGTATGTTTAGTTGCACATAATGGTGATATGTTTGATTTTCCGGTAGTCAAACAAACTTTTAATAAGTTAAATTTGGTACGCAAATTAAATTTTATGTATGTATATTTGCTATATAATTTTTCTCATAATAAAATTTTATTTGTCTGGAACTAGGAACTCCCCAGTGACACACTTTGCGTAGATTCTTTACGGGCATTTTGGAGCATAGATGAACAGTTAAAATCAGTGTCCAGTGTTTCTCAAACTGAAGAGGAAGAACCGAAATTGCTACCATTGCAAGATACGGATAATTCTCAGGAAATTACAAAGACGAAACCAACACTTGCAGAGCAACTAGACGCCGAAGGAAAGTCCAACTGGCAAGCAATTAACGAAACAACGCCCATGCGCCAGCAAGGTGTTAAAAGAAAGCATTGTGATGAAACAACTCCAAAAAAGGCGAAGCGTGGAGTTATACTTAAATCTAGGCGTAAACTTTTTGAAAGCAAGCAATGCGGAAAATACCCGCCTAAAGGAGTTTATAAATTGGGAAATATGTATGAACGAATTTTTAAAGAAACTCATAAAGATGCTCACTACGCAGAAGCAGATGTGGAGTCGTTGATGCGTTTGATGCTAACGTACGGTCATGATTTTCTCGCTTATACAGAAAACCATGCAACTCCATTCAAGGAAATTTGCTTAAAACGTTAATCAGTCCAAGCTGACTGAGAAAGCTTAGATAAAAATCATTAGGTAGACACTTAAAAAAATTAAAAAGTAACCACATTATTTTATTATATTATGTATTCAAGTAAAATACCAGTGAAGCATTTAGCTAATAAGTATGTTTATTTTACAAATTTGTACAATAAATAATAATCTATACATCAATTGTATGTTTTTTTTGTTTTAGTATTGCAGTAGAATTTAATTAAAGGCGATTAATCTTATCTCGATCAAGGCTATAAAAGTGTATTATTTCCACTCTGGTAGCTCTGGTTGCACCAGTACCAGAGCAGAGAACGTAAATATAACGAGAAGGTTCAATTGAGGACCAGCGTGCAGGCGTGTAACTGTCAAAAGCTGCCAAGTTACGATGGATGCATTTCACCACAGGCCGCCAGAAAGTAACAGAGTTTTCTATTGATGCATAACATTACTGAGTGCAGCAAAATTAAATATGCTCAGAAATGTACTGATCTGTCTGCAACTAACACAAGTGCTCTACGTGCTCATGCGGCGTTTTTGGCAAATATCTCCTTAGCGCGCACTACAATCTCTGTGGTTGTAACAGAAATGCTGATTCCGACAACAATCTGTTTCTGTAGATTTTAGCTTGTCTTTCATACGGAGTAGGCTGCTTCTTCTGTCCCTACCGGCGAGTCCTGTAAATATGTCAGTGTCCTACACCATGTAAACCACATCGTTTCATCGACAACGGTACTAATCCCCACTCCCAATGCGCAAAGAATCATAAGTCTTGCTTTTTCTCGAAAAAGTTTGCTGCCGACTATGTAATGGTGAAAGAATTGTAGGACAGAGTTTGATATTTGTTCGTCGAAATAGGATTTTACTTTCCAATTGCCTACTCAGTCCAAAACAGCACCTGTTAGCACAGTCGACTCTGGTTGGTAAGAGTAGATTTTGGTCGGATACAATGCGAAGTAACCACATTTCTATGTTCTATTGAATTTCTGCTAGAGACTGTTTTTGACCGGCCGGTTCCTTGTAAGTTAAGAGGAACGTTTTTTTTGTATTCTCCTGCTGCTTTCGGCTAGCGACTTGAGGATACTGCGGCTCTGCACCTTGGTGAAAATTGTGCTCGCAGGCGGACTAGGAGTGCAGACTGTGGAATGTTACACTATGTACCTATAGGTTATTAAGAGTAGAAAATTAATTCCTGGTCAACCTCATCGACTTCGTGCGTTCATTTGTACCAAAGGCTTTCGACAAGCCTTAATCTTCTTTGTAGAGAAACCTAGTGGCGAATTACTTGTCGTTTCGTTCCGTTCAGCGAAGGGTACGGTATACAAAGTTAGCTTAAGTCACTTCTTCGGATCTTAGGAGGTGTGGGTACTGAATGAAATTTCCACCCCTCTGGTTAGACAGTTATTTGAAGGAGGCTCAAAACTTGGTTACACCAGAGTAGATGTTGCAACACCTTGAGTGTACTTCCCATATGCTCCGCTTTCGTTGATTTTGCATTGTAGTGGATTACCGCAATTCGGTCTACTGGTACGAAAAGAGTCATCGAGACTGTTACCAATGATAACTTCGGCTGATGTGGGAAGCCCAGTGAATATGTTCTGGGTAAATTTTGTAAAGCGTACCAATCACTGGACATATATCTGGTGATCCGCGCAAAAATAAAATTTGGGGCCGGTTGTTGTTGTTGTAGCGGTTCACTAGCCCCGCTTAGGCACAGGTTTGATCAGTCTAAGTCGCCGAGGTCATCTAATGGTAGGTCCAGGAAACGAGCTGTTTCGACGGGGTTGTACCAAGGGAGAGGGGGGTTAGATGAGTTGATTTGAAAGGGCATGTGAAGAGGTGGTTAGTGTCGTGCGGAGACTCTCCACACGCAGGTCATACGTTGGGTATGCTGGGGTCTAGTCTGAATAAGTAGGAGTTTAACCTGCTACAGTATCCAGACCTGAGTTGTGTTGGGGCCGGTCGATCGAGATAATTATGATCAGATGCTCTGATGCGAGAAGCAGTATAGGTCGTTGTGCCCACAATTTGGTCATTAGTGCATAATGTCTAACCGTCTATGTATTTTGTCAGCTCCATTCTCGCTCACCTTCCTTACGTATTACGATTAAACCGGCACAGCTCAGAAGATCTAGGCAGCAGTTTAGTTTGTTCGTTTGCACCACAGCTCGCGAATCATAAAGTACACTATCTCAATCAAACCCGGGAGCCCGCTGAAATTAAATTGTAAGAGTTTGGTTGTTATTGTTATAGCGATTTGCTAACCACGCTTAGGAGCGGGTTAGATCAGTCTAAGACATCGTGGTCTTCAAACGCGAAAGCCAGGAAACGAGCAAGTTCGGACCTTTCGGCGAACTATCTTCGCTTAGGGCAACAGGCGAACATAATGTCCCAGCCAGCGCTGCAGCTGACACTTACATATTTTCCGACATACTAATAGACGCCCCGCCATATGGGAAGTGAAACTGGCTGTTGTTTGGAAATTCGGTGTAAAAACAAAAGGCTGTCAACAGTGGTTCTACCTACGCCTTATTACTGAAATTTATTAAAAGAATTTTTTTTTTAATTATAACGACGTTTATATTTTATTTGATTACAGATGTCTATAAATGAATAATAAAAATATAACTCATAATTTAACTTAAGTCACTGCAGCAATAGCAATGCAAATATGTATTTCAAATATTTCAATTCATTTTTAATTGCTTTTCTTTACGGGTTTTACTTTCTTTTACTTAATTTTTTTTTTTTTTTTTTTTTTTTTTTTTTTTGTTTTTTTTTTTTTTTTTTTTTTTTTTTTTTTTTTTTTTTTTTTTTGCTAACGGCCAGAAGGGCGTGAATAAATAAGGTGTGTATTTTTTTTTTATTAATTTTTTATATATATGTATATTTTTTATTTTAATATCTTTTTCAATCATCCTTAACTATGTATGTATCTGCACCATTATTCTTCTTCTTACTATACACAAGTCTATGCTTTTTACTCTATAGGAAAATAAAGTATTTCTATTTTTTTTTATTTCTCCCTGGCCGCAATTATTTTACGTTGGTTTTTCGGTTTTTATTAGTTTTCCATTTATTTATATTTTATTTATTTATACCAAGCAAAAGCAATGTAGTTACTGAAATGAATATCACAAGTGATAGATATTTCCAATGCGATAAGCATACATAAATATGCATATGCATGTATATATGCTGATGTATGTATGTATTTATGGGCATATCAAACATATCTGCGTACATGTATGTAAGTATGTACATACGCAACTTTATTAGCACCATTAGATGTAAATTATGCCATTCCATTTTTTTTTTTTTTTTTTTGCAATTTTTACGTAGTGACTGTGCTACCTCCTTTCATTTACGTATTTTCCACTTAAAATTAATATAGTTGTTGTTTTTTTTTTAAATATATTTATTTGAAATGCACTACGACTGACCACGCTCGCTACTTTGCATATTCGTCAACCAAACTAGACTTTATGTCTGTACATACAAACATATGTGTGTATAGTTCGGCGAGAACGCAAAAAAAATACTAGTAACAAAAACAATATTAGATTTATGTATGTACATCACAATATTTCATTTACAAACTAAAAATTGAATTGAATTACTTTTTAGCAACGAATAGCGAAGAGCGACGAGGCTTGTGTTTCTAAGGAAGAGTGAAAAGACTAGAAAAATCATTTAAAAGAAGAAAAAAAAAGTATTTAATAATGCCTAATGAACAAGTGTAATTTTTTTTTAATTAATTCTTAACAATATTCAATGCTTTGAATGTTTTTTTGTAAACAAGATTTTCAAGCGTCATAATTTTATTATTATTTTTGAAATATCCTTTTTGCAAACAACAAAATTATTTTTAGTTGTATAAACAACTCCCAGGCATATGCAGATGCAGCGAAAATACTTGAAACTTATTAATTATTAATTTCTAAAAGCTCGAAAAGTTTCTTTTTCATTTACATTCGTATATATATAGAAACTAAATACCGTTTGCCGTTTGTTAAATTAATAAAAATAAATACATACATACATATATAATTAAGTAATTATAAAGCGTAACCAAAAAAAAAAAGAAAACAACTGAGCAAAAATGCTACTCATGAAATTGAATGCATAACTTTGTAACATTTTGTGTTGTAAAATTAAGCGTTTAGGCGCGTAATTGCAATATACATACAGTTGTATGGAACTATTGGTCTACAAGCAAAAAAAAACGACTTTTAACTATGTACTCCTCATTAACTACACGCAAGGTAGCTATAAAAAAAAAAACCGTGTTCCAGTGACGCCAACGATCAACATTTTTATATGAAAAAAATAAAAATAAAATATTAAAAAAAAATATTAAAAAAAAATAAAAATGNTTTTAATTAGAATAACGTAAGCAATATTATTTAAAAATCCTTGGACAAAATTGAAAAGCGGGAAATTTTCTTCTTTATGTCTGCCTAATCACTTTTTGAGCAGTATTTATGTAAATATATAAAATTTTTAATATACCGCGAACACAGTTCAAAATATTACGATTTTGGAGCATTTCAAAATTTATTAAATGATGCATTTGCTGACGCTATAAAAGTAATTTTTACATGCGAGGAGTATACATATGTATGTACATCAGTGTACAAATTCTTTTCGACCAACATAAACAACTAAAGTATGTATGTATATTTTAATGTAAGCCTTTTTACAGAACAACAGTGCTGCCTCAAAATGCATTTTTCAAATTAAGCGTAATATTCTATGTACATATGTATGTGTATATAAAGGCAGTAATAAAATATTTAGCGTACTCATACTTGCACCGCCATGTGAATGTAGTATATTATATAATATATACCAAAGTGAGCATAAAGTAGTATTTCTTCATTTAAAATTTAAACGCAATGAGAAATGAAATGTTTACAAAAAAAAAAAAATTATGAATAAAATAAATTTAAAAAATATTATTTAAAAAAATTAGCAAATAATAATAAAAATAATAAAAAACTTTAAAATTAAATAGTAAAACGAAACATATTTCTCTATAAATTATATGCATGATAAAATTAAATAAAACTTTTAGATTCATCTAACTTAAAATGAATTAATACTAAAAAAAATTATGTATGAGTTGAAATATTACATATAATTAAATAGCACAGGTTGGTTACAACTGCCAACCATAATAAATGTATGCAACTCCCCTCACTTGCATATACATTTATACCTAAACAGTGATAAATAGCTACGGTTTGTGAAGGTTGTATGAAGCAGTTAAAAGTAATCATTTTTACTAATATTTATGAGCATTTCTAAATGCTTTACTTACGAGTATATGCCATAATGTGCTCAAAAAAAAAAAAAATAATAATAAATAAATTATTATTGACCTACGCATTCATATGCAGCATTACCCCTCTTCACTATATCGTTGCAATCAATTCTAAAAACAAAGCACACATTTTGCAAGCGTTCATTATCATTACTATCATTAACATTTTAGCTGTCCGGCTTTCTACATATGTACAACAATGTCGGCACATACAAAATTGTTAATAGAAAATAAGATTGCGCTTAAGCACGTTTGTATGTATATGTAAATTGTTTGTTTACCTAGTATGTGTAGTACGTAGTATGTCGTGGGTGGTTAGCTTTTTCCCGTTTTACACTTTGCGTCCACTTATTTGTTCGTTATCCGTTTATCATTACAGATTTTCGTTTTAGACACTATCAAACTATGTAAATTATTTAGTACAGTATATATTGGTATTATTTTAATTATATACATATGTATATGTATATATATATATATATTTATCATTATATTCTCATCATACTTAATATAATCATATTTAGTAAAATAAATATTGTTGCTCTACAGCCAACCGCCTTTACGTCCAAATAGTAATGAACTCACAGTGCCGACTACTGTTTGTGTTATACTTTGTTGTTCACGTGCTTTATTGTGTGCACTTTTCTTTGATTGTGCCAACAACTCTGCTCTATTTGCCCGGTCGGCCTTTGCCGCCGCCGCCGCCGCAGTTGTTGAGGGTCCTGTAGACACTTTGCCTAAATCGGGACGTACACGACCAGCAGCAGCACCGCCCGCGCCTTGGCCACCAGCAGCACCATTTATAGTACCCAAATCTGGTCGCTGACCAGCAATGCCATTCTTGAGATTACGTCGCGATTTCTGTCGCTGTAATTGTTTTATGCGTGACTCTGTTGTGCTTGTGGCAGAGATAGGCGCCGTTGCGGCTGTCGTTACATTTTGTTGTAACTGTTGCTGTTGCTGTAGTTGTTGCTCATTTCTTACAGTTCGTTCTGCTGTGCTTATAACACTGGCCACCGACTCGGTATCATCGCTTCTCCCGCTCAAGCTGCTACTACCGCCTGCAGTTGGTGTATTCAGTCCCTTATTTAATACGGTTTTTATTTGATCTCGATCGAAATGTATATCGTCGACTACGTTGTTAGCGCATGTGTGCAAATTCTTAAGGCTAATCAATTGTGCCATTGGACTGGAGCTACGACTCGCTATACCGCTAGCTAACGGCGACATAGAATTTGGTTGTGCAACAATAATATTCTCTAAGCCAATACTCTCGACTTTCTCAACCAACTTCAACGAACGCAACGCTCGTCGTTCCAAGCGTGATAACATTATTTTCTGCTGTTTTTGAGCTTGATTACGATTTGGTCTTTCGATATCACCAATCAGTTTGCGTCGAATTAGATCCGCACCGGTCGATAGTATGCCGAATAAGGGTTCGGGTGATGAGGAGCGCGGTGGAGAACCCTCTGAAAGATTAAAATCAAATTAACAAGTTGTATAAACATAGAAAAGCGGGAATGATGGCATTAACAAAACTGATTTACAATTAATATAAATTAATAAGAATTCAATTAAGTATTTATTTCATTAAACACCGTAAAGTCAGATTCTACTAATTTATTGCTAAGAAATTAACTTGCGAAACGACCAAAATTTTTAAGTTTAAACAAAAAATTAAGAGCATTAAGAATAAAAATATATTTTCAAACAAAAATGTACTATTAAGCTGATTTTTAATACTATTTTTTTGATAGTTTTTTTGTTCGAGATAAAATAATTTTTTTTTGTTAATTTTTTTTGTTAATTTTTTTTTTTTTTTTGTTAAAATTATTTTTTTTTTGTTAATATTATTTTTTTTTGTAAAAATTATTTTTTTTTGTTAAAACTATTTTTTTTTTGTTAAAATAATTTTTTTTTTGCTAAAATTATTTTTTTTTGTTAAATTTTTTTTTTTATTTTCTTATATTATCTTTTTTTGTTTTTTGATAAAATCATTCTTTTTTTTGATAATTTTTTTTTTGTTAAAAAATATTGTGGTTTTTTTATTAATAAAAAAATTTGATTTTTATTGCTGGCAAAGATTTAAGTAAAAAATTATTACTAATTAATTATTAATTTACACTAATTTTAAGTTTTATTAATTTTTTTTTTTGGTCAAGGCTTACTGAAATGTTTGCTGATATCCAGCTAAAACTTACCGGGACTATTGCAAGGTGTCACAGTCGGCGAGAAGTTCGGTCCGGCCGGTGTATTCAGTGCACTTGGCGTCACAGCCTTAATGCCACGCTCGTTCAGCATTGAAGCCAAACCCAGATTAACGGAAAATGTCGAACACGAGTTTTTACGTGAGAGACCACCACGTGGAGTGGGCGGACAGCTGGGTTGACGCGATGTAGATGCAGAAGCCATGCGTGATGACAATTGCGATTGTGACAAGAATGACAAATCATTTAAACCGTCATCGGGATGCATAACCATGCTCGTTGTATAAGTGTAAGTACAGCCAGAAAGTTCGAATTGTTTTCCAGGTAAATCGTCACTCACATCTTCCTCCACATCGGATAACGTATACACTTGCATGCCCAAATCATCGAGGCCACGTCCACCACGTATAGTTACACCAGGTCGTTCCTCAAGTAGACCACTTAGCGTTGGCGTTGCCAATCTGGACCAATGATGCAATGTTTGTGAGCCTTCAATGGGTTTCACAATTTGTAATTTTTCAGGCAGTCGCCATTGTTGCATTGATGCCGACATATTTGTCGATGATATACCCGACGAACCTGTCGACATAATACTATCTGGCGTACGCAACCCCTGTGGAAGTGTATTTGTGGTGGTGGGCTGCTCATCATACGTATATGTACCAACTGGTGCGTACGAGAGCATTGCACGTCGCGCTAACACTTCAGCCGGTGTGAGCCGTTTCAGAGCAGCTTCTAAATCTTTAGCACCAGGCGCACCAGGAACACCACTTGGTGCCGCTGGATAGCCGTCATCCGATTGTGATGCCAGACTTTCACACGACAAGGTTTTCAAACCCATACAGTTGTCGTCGAAGGCGGCACCACGATACGGCATAGACGACATCCGTGGTCCCACGGAACTACTCATCGCCATGGCGCCCAATTGCGTCATTGACGAATTACCGCTATCCATATAATTGCCATTTTTGCTAGCACAACGCACTGTCTCAAAGACACGTTTATATGGTGGTACAACACCGACACCTGGTCCATATGCAGATCCGGCAGCACCAGTCCCACCACCATAAATACCAGGCAATTGTGACATTAAACGACCCATACGATCGGCACGTTGTGTATCACCCGAAATACCAGAATCGAGACTATTCTCAGAATACATAGATGACTCCATTAATTCGCATTGTAAGGACTCTGGTTGCAGTAAACCCGAGCTGGACATAAAGGAGCTGCGCGCTTGTGGCATTGTTTTCTTACGTTGATTACGCAACTGTTCCTGCGCTTCCTGCAACAGTGCCAGCACTTCCTGATATCGTTGTTTGAATTCAAGTAACTCCACTGCTAATGAATTTTGATTCTCCTTGGTAATATTTAATAGTGTAATATGTTCGTCATTGTCATGTGTTAACTGATGTAACCTCATTTCGGCCTCTGACAATCTGGCGGTTAAACTGATTATTTGTTCATGTTGCAAACGGTTTTCCTCCCGTTGTCGCTCCAAATCCAGATTCATACTGTCGTATCGGCCGTTGGCTTCGTTCAATTGTGAAGTTATATCTGCCATGAGTTGACGCTCTTGCGCTTCAACATCATCAGTTTGCGAGGCAAGTTGAAAGGCTTCAAGTTTCAACGACTTATTCTCATCCTGCAAGTTAGCAATTTTCTTTTGCAATAGATCCAGCGTAATAGATTTAGAAAATGTTGGCGTATCTAGAACATAGCAAAGACATAAATTTAAAAAATAGTAATGAGAAAATTGAAAACGTATGGGTTGTATGCATAAATAAATATTTAAATGTATTTAGCATATTCAATAACGAATTTTGCAAACCTTTAAATTTTTTTTTTACATACAAATGACGTGATAAATAATACAAAAATTTAAAAGCTGTCAATAAATATTCCAGTACTATAAAGGTGTGAACAATTTTTTCGCTCAAACGTTTTAGTTGATTTACTTATATTGAAGTACACAAGATGTGAAAATTTAAGTTTCTTTAGCAGTAAGCTTTAAAAATATGTACGTGTATGTACTGCATTTAGTAGTCTATATATCATTTGTTATATATATATATATATATATTTACTATTTAACTCACCATTTTCGCTTCCTTCATCCGAGTCACTCGTTAAAACTGCAATAAGTTCATTTTTCTTGTGTAGTTCATGCACTAATTGTGCACGATCCTCATTGGATGCTTTTAAATCTGCCTCTAATTCATTGATTCTATTTTCCAAAGTATTATTTTGCGTTAAAAGCTCCTTTCCGATTTGTACTGTCAATTCCAAGTCCTTCTCTTTCTCTTCCAGCAACCGCGTTACTGCTTCTATGTCATCATATGCACGCGTCATTTGGCTTACACGATTTCCGCATAGAACTGTGAATAAATTTTTAAAATTTTAATAAAATTACGAATTAAAAATATATTGTTTCAAAAATAATGTTTCTTATATCAACTGGATCTGTAGAAAATTTGGATGCTTATTTTAGTATATGAATAAATATACAATAACTTAATTTCAGCAATAAATATTACGGGTATAGTATCCCATTTCAGCCTATTCCATGTTATGTTTACCCGTCGACAAACTGAATTTTAAATTAAATGAACAAGCAAAGCTTACAAATATGCGACTGTCAACCCTGTTGAGTCATATACATATGTAGGTATATACATATACACATATGAACCTGTTTCATTTTTCGCATTATTGTTATTTTTTCTATATTCTTACTACCATACCATCATGATACACAAATATAATAATGACGACAATTTTACATATATGTAGGTATATCAGACAACTATAAATAATAGTTATTTGCACTAAAATTAGACATTTTACTACCTTCGTAAAGTAATTGTTCATTCTCAATTAAAGATTGATTATTAAAACGCACTTCGGGTAAGGCAATATCATTTATTGTGGTATCATTATGAAATGAATTCAACACATCGGAAGTAAACATAGACGAAGTACATAACAATTCGTCCTCATACTCCAATTGAGCAGCATCCACGTCGTCTTCGATATTGAAATTTTCTAACCATTGTAAATCAACAATATCGTTATCTGTGTTTGTATTCACCACTGTGCTTTCCACATCGCTCTCTGTCGCGCTATATCGATTTTTAGGAGACCAAGAGGCATTACGTCTATGTTGCAGTCGGTCACTACTTTCAACACAACCACTGGAAGCGGCAATATCCATTGTTTGTATAGCAAAGAGTTAGTGAAAATATGTTTAAATTTGCACTTAATAAAAAAATATGTGTATACTACTTTACAATTTCAATTTGTTTTATAATTTTAATCAAAAATTGATTATATAACAGCAAGAGTTGCGTGCTAGTTACTTAGGCACGAGGGTGTACAATACATAGAATTTAGAAGACAAAGAAATTTGATTCTGGAAAAGCGCACTTCAGTAGTCTGTTTTCGTTGATTTTATCACAAACTTCAATGATAGCAAATTCGTTTCGACATTTAAAGCATTTCTAAATTTATTTGTATTTATTTTAGAGTATAATTTAAAAATTTCACAATTTGACACATCATATTTTCCGAGCAGAGGAGTAGTCACTAATTGATACGTAACATAATAAGGGATGTGCGAATTTGCATGGAAATGCACAAGTTTTCCACAAAATAGAGAGTATTTTTTATTTGTTCTTACACGCCTGCGCTGGGATTATGCACACTTTCATGGGTGTTAAATTGCAATTTTAATGTAGAGAACAAATTGCTTAAATAAAAATTTAAAATTCATAAAGCCAAACTTTTTTACAATACTCACTTTCAATAAATAAAATTGTTATATTTGTTCACACATATGCAAAAATGTGCCGTATTCCTTAACTACTATAATGAACTAAATCGCGAGATTATTGTGAAGACATTGATTGCTAGGTCCCGTGACGCAGTCTTTCAAATTCTACAAAATTGAGCAGCTTCAGCATAGGTTTTGCACTATTTTCAAAATATATTACGTTTAATGTACTAAAAATATTCCTTTAAACGTTCTCTTTCGCAATATAATTGCACACAATATTATAAATTTTACAAATGTGAGCTGAAATTAAGCTCGCCTCAATTTTTTGCCAAACATAAACTTCCTATCCTATCACTTCGCAAATGCAAATGTTCATTTATACTCTAACATGGAATGAACCTTGGAACAAATGTCAAAAAATAATTGTGCAGTGTTGTATAACGCATAAATAACACAAACACTTGAACACAGCTCACAAGTAAAATTCTGTGTTGACTGACTTCACTTGTGCAAGCTATTACCATAATATTGCGTTTATTTATTGAATTAGCACCAGTCATCTAAATCTTGATTTATGCACAAATTAGTAACTTCTTATAAAAAAAATTGCATTGAAAAAAATTCAATATTTACACAAATTCAAGAGAATTATTCTGCCTCTATTAAAAGGTTCCACAAGTCCATATTTTTAGAACTATTAAACAAACCTTAAGTATTGAACACGGTCATTTATGATGCGTTAAATAAATGCATTGCATGTACAATAGTTCTGCCTGCGAGCAGGAATTTTCTTCGCATGGTATGCATATGTATGTGGACAAACATATGTTATAGATATGTACGTATGTATCTAATCTACCGGCACATATACTTCTGTAAAGTAGGGTATTCACAATCCGTCGTATTCCTTCGCTCATGTTTCGCACAATATAATAAGTATGAAAAACAAATATTCTCTCAGAATTGACGATAAAGAATAACCAACAACAACTATCATTCGTAAGTAAAATATTAAACTTAACATACATACTGAAGAGACATACTTTTTACATTTTGGATATTTATTACTGACTTTAATTTTTCTAACACATCCACACATATTCATATCTTATTCAAAATTATGATGATACTCGAGATTTTTATTTGTTTAGTTTAAGTTGATTACGAAGATATTTAAAAAAAAAAAACTTTAAAGACTATTAAACGAAAGTTGCTTTTCCAATTAACTTGATACTTAATGTATTCGAGAACGCATACAAATGCAATATCTAATTACTTGTAATACTTACAACCTTTATATATATGAGATTACGATTCGATTTTTATTGAAAATTAAACGAATACGTGTGCATTTGCACGAAATACTTGAAAAAGTGTGCCATTTTATGTAGAAAAGCACTTAACACCTATTTTTACAAATGAAGGATTAGTTGTAAAAGTGTATAGATAAGATGGCGTTTGTATTTATAGATTGGAAATGTAATTAACTTTGAATGCAGAAATGCGCAATTAGTATAAAATTTATTCAATAAAATAAATATGGTGCATATGAATAAGTATGTAAATATTTACATAAATTATTAGCATGCATACCTTGTTCGGAATATAACGTCCTCACAACTTTTAAACAATTCTTCCCGTCACAATTACGTGCTGCATGATACATTAATTCAGGCTCAATATTTTTGGCATAATTGTCGTGAATAAATTGTTTACTATTCATTTCTTCTTTGCATTGTCCTTTCGAAACAAAATCACATAACAGTGCTACAAATCGCGGTGAAATATTTTGATTTGCCTTATTCGTAGCCAAGCTACGTACACGTTCCATTGCTTCCAGCTCTAGTTCTAAATGTGTGGCTGGTTCTTCAGATTCGCAAATTGAAGCTAATGAACAGGCCCCACTACTTAGCAATGATGTATCCATTTTGAAAGACTCCATAACGCTTATGGCTTTTTTAGCATTATTCTCAACTTGAGTTTGTAACAATTTAAACGTATTCTCAAATCCTTTGCTTGTTTGTGATGGTTTTGTGGTTATAAGAAACGATTTTTCCATTGTATCGTCAAATTTAGAATCAATGGGAGAGGATGACTTTGTTGGCGTTGATGACGTTAAATTAAGTAGACCTCCTTTAAAATCGGAGCTCGTATCAATTGTTGAAATATTCGCAAGCGGTAATTTTGAATTTTCGGTAAATTTATTTTTTTTACCCGCCTCACAATCATCATTACGCTTTCGACGTTTTGAACAAATATCCGCGTCACCATATTTAAAATCGGTTGGTGCAATTATATTGCTTTGTGGCACATGTGTATATTCATTAGACATATTTTACAACAATTATATAGTTTCTTAGATATTTTTCATATTAGTTTTAAAACAATATAATTTTGTACGAATTCTCATGTTTTGTTAAGACAAATTCAATTTTTTTTTTTTCACTTTTGGCACAATTTATATATAGATTTAGTTAATCCGGTGTACCTTAATACATACAAATGTAGATATAAGATGCACAGACTTTGTTGGGCTGGACGTGTGTAGTTGTTGCAGTTCTGTAAGCAATTGAATATATTTCCAAATCGAAATTTATTCTGCTTGTGTCATTATATAATTATAATTGCGTATAACGAATTTGTAAACAAAAACGTATTGGTGTTGCATATAGGCACATTTGCGCTTCCTAAAAACTGCTACCCGTAAGTTTATTACATTGAACACCGCGTTTTAAAAAATTGTTAATCGTTCACTGCATTTTCACTAATTTTTATATATCTGCTAATATGTTTAATACAATTTGTGCACCATGTTGGGAATACCCTTCACGCATATAAGAGTGTAAGTTGGCAGCTTTTTCTTGTCTCCGTACATCGACGAGTCATATGGCATAGTTTATTTGCTTATCATGACGTAATGAATATCTTGCTTTGGCTCTCTTTGACTTATGAGAAGACTGGCGATTTGCTTTTGTTAACAATGGGTGTTGAAAAGTGCGGTACTTTCAAATTTTTACAATTTCAAGGAAATTGTTCCCCGAAAATATTAAGCAGCTGATCAATATAGTCTCATGATAGCGAATAGAAAAACATTACTCTTCACTTCATCCATCACGAAAGTAATTTCGATTAGTTGCTTATCTGTTAACGACATAAATACGCATACATCAATGCCACTCACACACGGAAAAGCAGAAATTATTAATAATTCTGCTCTGAAATGGTTTTATGTAACTTGAATAGAAAGAACCATGCTAGAAAAATTGTATGTATTAATAATCTTTATGTGGCCTTAATAACAAATACAATTCTTTTGTTACTTTGACACACTATAAAAATACATACTTAAGTGAAGAAGACAGTACAATGGGTGGTTCAATTAAATTCCGTTAATGCTTGCACAACCAACACTGAATTGGTACACTTTGCAGTGAAAAGATTTTCGACTCTTCCGAGTTCCATATTTCGTTCCGTCCAGCCCAATTAATCATATCTATGAATGATCACTAGCCCATAGTTGGGTCATACAATGAAAAACAAATATTTTCGCATATTACTGTGTATTGATCTTATGCCAACACCATATTTATAACTATTTTCACTGGAATTTTAACACTTGGCATTTGCTTTTTTTCATAATTTCATTTACATTAAGAACAGCCGCAAGACATTTCAACGCACTAGAAAAAAAACGCGAACCGTACGTCATTCAATCATACATTCATATCCATAGTCCACGCTCGCAAATGAACACTGAGTGGACAGTGGAATGAAACAAATTGCCGTAATGAAATTTCTTCAAGTAAACGCATTCCAAATTCAAACAAAACTAAACCAGCACAGCAAAATCACACTACACTACACTTTGGCAGAGATGTATTTGAATTATGTGATTTAAAAAGCCTGCACACAACAAAGTCTTGATAAATAATACAACGTGGGAAATTTTTTTATAAAAGAATGTATAAACAATTATGATAAAAGTTTAATTGGAAGTGTTTGACATTTATCAATTTGGACGTTTGACAGTCCACTCACACACGACTATGCAGATAAACTGCTTTATCAACATGCACAGTAAAGGCTTCAACAAAATTAACCCAATTATCGATATAACGCAAACTGAGTGATTAACATACATACTTAGAAATTAAGTGATATTTTTATCACTGATTTAAGTTCTTATCACTGATATAGATAAACATGTGATATATACATAAGTAGAGCTCTTAAGCCAAAGACGGAACATACCGTTACAGATTGCTTTTGCTAACAAATATTGTTGAATGCCGTTGTTATTCCTATCAGGAGTGACTTAATTCAATTTGACTGTATTTAAAGATGCACAACTGTATTCTTTGCTGACCTCACACTATTAAACTAATTCGAAAATTAAATATATGGTGAACGTAAAAAATTTACTGTAAAATTTTTACACATACGTATATAAATGGCGTGACGTCGTAGAAGGGTGAACTCATTGTCAAAGTTTGTAACTGTAAATGATTATGATTGGTGCAATCAGATACTATATACAATAATTCTGGACAAATAATTCGTCAAATGGTCGACAAAGCAGTTCTTGTCACAAAGAATACAATCTCACAAAATCTTCTGTTAAGAATTTAAAAAGTTAAATTTTTAATATGACGCATACGTTACCTAATGCACGTTTTTAAGAAAACACTAGATGTGTATAATATTTTTCGTTAAAATACATCTTTAACTAAACTAATGCCTGCGATTTATGTATGTACATATATATGAAATAAAGAAAAGAAAATTGAGCAGATATTATTGTATTTAAAAATAAATATCACGTACGCCTTATTTGTATACATACAGTTATATGTATATAGAATATGTTAGGATGGGTAGGTACATATATTTATTTTGCAAATACAAAAAATATAAAACTGACTGTGGACAAAAATATTAAAGGCTGTTTTGGGCCAAAAAAAAAAGCTCTAAAAACTGGGAATAAAGGTAATTTTAAGAAATTGAGGGGAAAGTATTCATAATAAAAATTATGATTAATTAATTAAGCTGTCAATACTGTCCCAACCTAATATACATACATCGCATATGTGATTAAAAAATTTTATACTTAAAAATATTCCCAACTCATAACGTATTGAGTCATTGCTGGAATATAGCGTAGATAATAAAAATGATTTTTTATGTATGTATGTATGTATGTAGTTAAAAAAAGCAATTATTAGATAAAAAGAAATTTAGACAATACGTATCGCCTTTCATAGATTAATTGAAATTGCGCATTTAGACTTAATGAGTGTGAGCAAAATATTGTATATTCATCCAGAAATCGCACGCTAAAACACGCTAAAAGTTTTAGCGTCAGTGTTGCATACGCGCGTGCACATGCATAGATATGCCACACACGTGTATGTAGATATTAGGAGGAAGACTTTCACAAGCACTTGTAATTTTTGTGTTAACAAAATTACAATACACCGAATGTTTTGGAAACGAAATTATTTAAAAACCTTTATAAAAAGATATTTAATTTTTCCCGTAAATTGAGGCTATAATTTAGCTATGAAACTTCTGTATAAACATTTATAATTTTATTTTCATTATCTTATTTTATATTTAAACATTTTCAAATTAAAATTTTAGCTTTGGATCAATGAACCCATATTGGATAATCTGATTTTGTAAAACTCGTTTATATCCAAACGGAAGTTTGTAAGAAAAAATTATCGAAATTTATTTAAAAACGCAAGGCAAAAGCTGGAAACTGAACAACATTGTATATGTATATGCACAAATATAAATGTGATATACAAACAGTATAAATGTATGAATGAATTAATGTAACGTACTGTTTATAAACAGTTTTTCGTTTCTTTCTTTTTTGTATAGAAAAATACTCTGAAAGATAATTATTTATTAATATATGTATGTATATTTTAGGATTTTGATGATTTTTATTATACTAGTTAGCATTTCGATAAAATCTCACAGTGCAGATAAAGGCATAAAGCGGTTAATTATTTTTTGCACTAAAGGAGTCTCTATTGTTTAAACAATAAATCGAAATAATAATACTACTCAAAAGTAGTATTTGTATCTTTACTCGTATAGCTAATACCGTTCTAAATTTATTAAAATCTGTCAAACTAAAACAATATGACATTTAATATATTATTACTTTTTTATCTTTATTTTTAATTTATTTTATTTTATTTTTATTTTATTTTTATTTTATTTTTATTTTATTTTTATTTTATTTTTATTTTATTTTTATTTTATTTTTANTTTTTTTTTTTTTTTTTTTTTTTTTTTTTTTTTGTCTCTCGGTTTTGAGTGAAGCAAAGTGACATTTCGATTTAAAATCTTATCAAATCGTTAAATGAATTGTTTAGTACAAAAATTATTGCAAAAAAATATATATACAAGGCTGTTCTAAAAACTTTTTAATCGTCCAAAATTCTTTTATTGAAACAATTGGAATTAGTTCCAGAAAGAGAGCAATACTTAGCTCGATTTTCTTTTGATTTTTCTTAAAATCTGAGTATGTAATGTTCGATTATACACGAGCTAGCTCACCTTTAATACTTGCTTTAATATTTTCATTGCAAAAAAATTACCTAAAATTAAACAATCTACAAAAAAGAAAAAATAATCATGAAATGTAAGTCCTAATCAAATTGGTTACTCACATTTTTTCTAAATAATATAATTAACACTTTTCCATATGCAACGACGCACAGACTTTATATTCAAAGTTTTCAACGTATTTCAATTTAAAAATAAAACTTGGAGAATATTAAAGGTCAGTCGATAAATTAGTTCCGATTGGCAAAATACTTTTTTTTTATAAAGAAAATAATTAATTAACTTGAAAATCGCAAAAGATAAGATAATATAAGTCGAGAAACGATAACACAATACAAATGGTCTCGAAGAAAAAACTGATTGAAATAAAAGAGAAACATATTGAATACATTCATACACACTTACACATCGATACGCATAAAAAAAGAATATTATCAACTGATTGACGACACAATTTTATATTCGATAAATGTATATGTATACAATTTACATACAGACAGTAAAATAATAATCAGAAATAACAAATTGATATAACCGATAAAAGCTCAAGCTCTGTGAACAAACACTTAACATTTAGTGATGTTAAAAAATTAATTTGAACTTCAAAATTTTTTTGTTTGCTTTCAACTGCAAAGCTTTTAATACCCATACACGTTTATGAAGTTGTATCATTTATAAAAACAATGCGATGATACAGGGTGTTATAAATTCTTGTGCAGATAAACCTTTAGAGATTTTAGTTTTTGCAGACAAATATTTCTAATAATTTCATTTTGACAGTATGGTGTGATCAGTCATCTTTAGACTAACTAGGCACTCCCTAAGCGGGATTGGAACAATCGCTACAACAACAAAAACAGTAAATTCATCTTACTTTTACACTTGGAACAGTCGAACTTTAATGGTAGTAAATCGATGACACACGAAATTGCTGAACTTCAATCAAAAACAAACAAGTAAAAAATAAAAATATAATTCTTATTTTAAAAATTCACCTTTTTATCTAGAGTTAAATTATATAATATAATTCCCAGACCGACACTACAAAAATAAAGAGGCAGTTTCATCCAAAAGGTGCTGATTTTACTTAAATAACAACAAATACGTTGCTATAGATGACACCGTTCTATGATTTCACCATGACTCAAATAAAAGAATTACGTATTTTTTTACAACGGATGTATAGTATTGAAAAGTAAAATTGGAGGTTTGGCCTTCAATGCATAGCGTCGAGACTCATACCCATCAAACGGGTATTTTATACCTGTCATCCGGCATATGAAATGTTCAAAATTAAATATTGAAAATTAAATTTAGTACCAACATTCATTTACTAATTTATTTTTCGCTAAATAACGATAATAAATAGCAGACGGATATCTATTTTTATAATTCTAACCGACCTCCATCTTTCGAAGAAACTCTTTCAAACTTTTTTATTATCTAAAAACCGAGACGGCTGTTGGATTTTATGAAAAGCTTCTTTTAATGTCACGACTTGACCTAACCTGCTGAAGGGCGACCGTAATTAGAAAAATAATTTTTGGATGAGCACATTTCGTCTTGGAAAGATCAGATATTAGGATGTACGATTGCGGACTATCATAAAGCCAGAAATTGTATTTTTCTTTGCAAACTCATCATGACTCAATCACCTAGTTATCTTTTTTCCAAGTTATCGTTTACTCGGTCAGCCAGAGTAGGTAATATAATAATACCTTTTCATAGATCACAGCAATCATCAAGGCTGTTCTTTGTCAATGCTAGTCGATTATGGAACTCTCTTCCTGCTTATTTAAGGAGGAAATTAAACAGAAGCAATTTCAAGAACCACATATATATGCATTTTAAAGGCCAAATTTCAAACATAGACTGACCATTCAATAATTGTTTAAGTTTTTGTCATACTCAACTCATTATATATTATAATTATTTTTATTTTTATTATTATTTTTGTTAAGGTATCTGTAAAGTAATATTTACTTATTCTTCACACTATCTCTGTTTACTAAAAAAGATATGGAAATCTTATTGTACTAATGCTTTGTTATTATTATTAAATAAATAAATAACTATGTGATGTTAGTTGCACCAGGACTCGAACCGTGGCCATCCGAATGACAGTGCGCGATGCTGACCACTTGGCTTTTGCGCCCGCTGTGGTCAGCATTACAAAGCGCCAATTATAGATTAAGAACTTAGTCTATGAGTGTTAAGTATATATCAATCTTTTTTTTATCCCCCTAATAAGCATAAAAGAAATCGGTAAGATGTCATGTTGAAACTTATATATACGTATAAACAATATATTTTCATATTGGTTTGGCCATGTTTGGGTTGGTTTTGGCCACAGTGCTAATTAGTTAGAAACTACGGCCGCCTAAATTGTTTCTGTCTCTTAGTCGAAGTCAACTAGCTTTTTTTTTAATTTACAACTGAAAATTAGCCTACTAATCGGACAATAAAATAGCTATTTATTTAATAACTGATTTTTCCGAGTATACTCTGTTGTTATTGTTGTAGACGCGAAACACTTCCCCAATTGGTTTTTGGGAATCATGTGTGTCACATACTCCAGCAAAAAAAAAAAAAATCATTGCCTTTTTCTGAATAAAACTCGGATCATCTTAGGGACAATAGGATTTTAAGTGTCTTTATCCAACGAACGATGGATGATATTTAGCACTGATAGTGCTGTTTAAATATGATCGACCCCGATATACAATAGACAACAACTTATTTTTCAAAAGTGGTAAATAAGCATCCTTTTACAAACAGTTTCTAATTAGTCCTTAAAGCTTTCCCTTAAGATTTTGTTTTAAATTTTAAAAGTATACTTACGAAAGTAGTTAAGCGTTTCACGTGTTTGTTCTTTTGTTAAACCTAAACCCTCGGTAGGTATTTGTAATGCTGGTGCGGGTACAAACCAATCCTGATTTGAATAGCCAGAGAAATCTGTTAAGAAATCTGAACGCACTTTATATTTAGGTATTTGCTCCTCCAAAAGTGAAAAGATCTCCACCTCGGGTAAATTTTCGCTACTACATAATTCTGCAAAGAATAAGAATGTCATTTATATATTATTTCTTATGCGATTTATTACTTTTATTATACCTGTAATACAGCCAGCATCGACCATTTGCACTGGGGCTTTAACATTTTGTGTCTGCTGGGTAAGGCGCTTCGTTGATAATTTGGGTAAATGTTTATTAAGCGTAGCTTGTGCTGAAGGACTTAGCGGTGCGGAGGACCTCATAGGTGTTGATAGCATATAAATGCCTGATTCCTACAGAAATAAAATTTTATTCAGTATATCATTTAGTATTCAAAATAAAATACACTATTATTGGTTATACAAATGCACTTTTATTTAGAACTAAATTTTCAATTAATACTCGCAGTTGTCTATTTGGCATATTTTAAGGCTTGTAAGATGCCTCAATATCTTATCTTGCGGGGCAATAAAAATTAGTCAGCCATTTGTTCTACCCTTATAGAGTTGCTATGTAAAAAGCAATATTGTTTATTTAAATATATTATTGATTGAAACAATTATATTCAATAAATATTATAGCAATTGCAAACACACGTAAATTGTAGATGTGTTAATATAGTAATAAATAAATAGAGTACATATGTGTATAAATATGTATGTATGTGCATATATTACAAATCATATGGGACAACCGGTCGAGGTGATAATTACAAAAATGTGTTGATATTTTAGGTAAACTTCTGACTTGTTTTGATACTTTCAGAAATGCGAGTTTTTGGTTGGAAACGAGATGACATACTACCAGCATTGATCTTCAAATGATCGGCTGCATGCATACATACGTATATTTATACATATGTACATACTTTTATAAATTATACAAATCACACTTTTTTGTTTGGTACTTCTTTACCAAATTATGAGATAAGTAAGTTGCCTACGTGCAGAAGTGGTGATACCCCAACTGCTCCATCAAACAATGACGTTTGCATATACCTATTGATCATGAACAACTGCCTTCATATATTCATATATTTGTGCATGAGTATGTGTATGTAAAAATTCAAACTTGAAGCAAACAACCAAGTAGCAGTGAATTCGAAGTTGCTTAAAGAAGTACAGATCAGATCAGCAAAATAGCAGTGTCAAAATACTATGCTTATGTTTTATACACAAAATGAAGATTATTAAGCCAAGTAGATACAATACAATAAGTATCAATAATATTATACCCTTCCACACGTTTTATTAAACTTGTATTGTATATTACAATTGCGTTTAAATAAACAAGAAATTTGTTATAATATCTTTAGGTAATTAAAAAAAATATTGTAATTGGCTTTATATTTTAAGTGCACATATTTAAGGAAGTTAATTTCATTTTATGTAAAGTTGGAAAAGACCTTTCGGTAGTAGAATAGATATATAAATACATTAGTAATTAGTGCTTATGCTGGTGTCGCTCCCTAGCCGTTCAAGGTACAGAAAATTATAAATTACGATAAGGGGAATCAAATGCTGTCGTAAAATAAATAATGAATTATTTAATATATTACTTATATGTTATCACTTTCACCGATAACTTTTTATCGCCTTTATTTTATTGTAATGAATGCACAATATTAAATTGAGTGGAAACATGCGAAAAAATTTAAAACAGACATTTAAGTAAGGATCTCTCAACAATTGCATAATAGCATTTAACATTTTAACTAGTTTTCGCATATACATACATATGCATCTGTATGCAAACAATCAATGCACGTGTGCATGCATTTCTTCAATGGAAGCATAACAATTCAATTCGCAATCGAATTATTAAAATTTTGCAAACCACTCAAATCTACGTTTAGGTTGTCACGTATATAGCTATAACTTTTATTATATGTTCTTTCACACTCAAAATTATACATATCGGCAAATTTTAATAACAAATAAACTTTTTGCCCAAACAAACACAAATAATGTATACTGATGACAACGATAAATTATTGGCGATTAAGTATGCGTAAGCTTTGCAAATAGAGCATCTACAGTTCTTATATAAGAGCAGAGAAATCCAAACAACCATCACTACTCTTAAACATAAAAATAAATTAAGAAATATATATTTGCGTGAAAATCATAAAGTTATGTAGGCGTTTGTGTCACTGAACGATTACAAAATCATTTCCTCACACTATACAGACACCTAAATAAAAATAATTTTCTATCATAAAAACCTTATTACCATTGTCTATTATAATTATCCAAAAGGAATTCTTGTCGACCTGGTAATCCTTGGGTTGAGTGGCAAGTTGTATTAATTAATTATTTTAAAGTCGTTTTAAGTTAATGTTAGATTAGAAAAATCGAATTTTCCGCTTTTCATTACGAATGACCGTATTTTATTATTGTTGCAACTACTTTATTCGTTTCTGCTTGTATGGGGTTCGCTTTTTTCACTTAGCGCACACTGGATACGATTACGCACACATTATTTTTATTTTTTTTCCATTTTCACTTCATTTTGCCGTCACAGGTTATTGCGTAAAAGTGTAAACCTTTTAAAAACAAAATAATTGCCTTAAATGTTAACTACTTGCACCAAGTTTAACTATGTTTTATCCTATATTTGTTTAAATATTGATGATTTAATTGTGCGAAACTAAAAAAATAATGCCCGCAAATGACACTGGACAAGGAAAATGATTGAGCTGTGTTTAATTAGTACTGAATGAAGTTCTGTTCAGGGAACACTGCTGTAGTATGTTCGGAAACAAAAATAATGTTTAGACATTTGGTGAACAGTAGAGTAGAGTTTGACACAAGGTGAATTCACAGATGATTTAATTTTTTATATAAAATTTGAAAAAGGATGATGATTAATAAATTATTTTTCATTCTTAATAATTACCAACTTTAGTTAACATGTTCATGCTGTATTATACTAGTCTTCTTATATTTTTTATAATATGTCGTTATGTGTGTTTTTATAAAAGATAATAGGGTGTAGTCTACAGTTACAGGTGCGAGGCCTCCATAGTCCACGTCGCGCATCCTTTAAGCCAATGTGCAACCACCATATCAACTCTCTCCAATTGTAGCAATCCTTGTTGAAGGCTTACAACAGGTCCAATGCCACGAAAATAGTTTGCGGTCAGGATTGGTTTTTGGCCACGAGTTATCGGAGTGAGGGTACTCCGAAGATATCGTGTCACACAGATTTCATAGTGGTAGGTCCTAGAAACAAACTGTTTAGACGGGTTCGAATTAAAAAGAAAGATGGTTGGTGTCGTGCGAGGTCTCGTCGGGTAGGTAGGTGATAAGTAGGAAATTAGTTGACTGCAATATCCAGAACTTAATAGCCAGTATTACTCGGGATTACTGGTGATTTGACTTCGAGAACGCCGTTCACAGGGAGAGTTCAAGATTTTATTAAAGGACTGTTGAATGACGTTTAAAGCCCGTCGGTAACTGGTAACATAAATGCTTGTAGTTGTTGTTGTAGCGGTTCGCTAACCCCGCTTAGGCACAGGTTTGATCAGTCTAAGTCGCCGAGGTCATCTAGTGGCGAGCTGTTTCGACGGGGTTGGATCAAAGGGAGAGGGGGGGTCAGAAAAATGGAATTTAGGGGGCATGTGAAGAGGTGGTTAGTGTCGTGCGGAGACTCTCCACATGCAGGGCATACGTTGGATATACTGGGGTCTAGTCTGGGTAGGTAGGAGTTTAACCTGCTACAATATCCAGACCTGAGTTGTGTCAGAGTCACGCGGGTCTCTCGAGGCAGCTCGAGCTCGTTGTCTGCTAAGGACGGTGGTATTTCTCCGAGTACGCCATTCACTGGAAGGGAGTCCTTGAAGGTGTTGACTGACTACTGGTGAATGGCGCTCAATGCATGTCGGTACGCCGTCCTGTCCAGCGGTTGTTGTATGTGTTGCTGGATTGTGTCCTTTAGATCTAGTACTCCCTTTCTGATGTGCCTGGGTGGAGGTTCAGCCTCTATTAGGTGCCTACTGGGGTGCTCCCTGCGGTAACATCCCAATAGGAACTGCTTGCACATCAAAGCATTATGCTCGTATGCGGAGTGAAGGAAGGCAGGCTGTCTAGGGTTACTCCCAATATTTTTGGGTTATTTACCGTCGGAATATTTGTGTCATCCACCCTCACATCTAGTTCAAGCCTGTATTCCTTGGTCCAGCTGGTGAAGAGGGTAGCCGAGGATTTTGTCGATTGAATTCGTAGTTGTCTTGCAGTGAAGAAGTGGGAGAGATCAGCGAGGTAGCCGTTTACTTTCGAGCAGAGATCATCAATATCCTGTCCAGACACCATTATCGTACAATCATCGGCATACGAGGTTAGGGAAACTCCTTCTGGTGGTGGAGGGAGTTTCGAGTTGTAAAAGTTAAGCAGTAGCGGGGAGAGGACACCACCCTATTTCTAGGTTTAGATTAGCTTCTGCGGCGGCTTTGAGGACAGCCGAACAAACGTATTGAAGTTGAAACCGATGTTTTTATTGACTAAGTAAAATAGATTCTTTAATTTTCTTCTCAAAATTGGATTCTATTGCGGCATTGTCTATTAGTATATCTTTCATATCTTCCTTCCTTTTAATAACTGTTACGATTGATGTCTTTGCTGGGTTTATGTTTAGGTTTTCGCTACCTAATATACGAGAGATATTAATTTTAAGTCTTTTATTCATCATATTGTTCAAATATATGTATGATTATGTGTATTGTACAGTATATCAAATTCCAAAGTTTTACTAAAATACAAATAAGCAGAAAGATTAGATAAATAGGCAAATCTTGAATAAAATCCCATGCAGTTAATCAGCTAAGGGTGTTGTGTCTCTACAAAAACGTTGCAATTCGATAGCGTGAGCCGCATATTCCAACTAAGAGAGAGCAGGAATGCATGGTGAACATAACGTGGATATGCCCAAGCGACCAGTCGATGGACTTTGACATAAGGATTTTATTAATATACCTATTATTAATATGTATGATATAGTTTGAAAATTTATTCTCCTGACTTCCGTTTAGACGCCATTAAATTAACTGCTGTTATCGCATCGGGAAATAAAGAGTGATAATTTAGTAAGGGTACATAGGCTGCGGTAATTACACGACCAGCAAACCATCGTCCATGTAACGCATTAACTGCGAGCACGGCGGTTGTTATGCTTGGACATTTCAAATAAACATTGCCTGTTGGTGATGCTTTGTCAACAAATATATGTAGTACACCACCATGTTTGGAACATTCATCAATGACATCATCTCGTATTTCACTATCGAATGAAGGAGTTGTTTCTGAACGGGGATCGAACATGTTGGACAACATAAAACATTGCGTAGCTATTGCCGGAGTTTGCGCCTGTGTTTGAATGGGTGCTGGCTGTGGTGCAGTGGCTAATAACGCATTTGCCGCAGCTTGTGGTACTGCTAAGCCAGCGCCTTCTGCTAGTTTGAACATTAATTGTAATCTGCCCGTTGCACCCAAATCTATACCACTTCGATCCATTTCATCGGTATCCAAAGAAGATGTATTCATATCTAAACGTTCAGTCACATTTCCGACTTTCATGGGCCGACCAGCCAATTCAAAACCATTTAATTGCTCCAAAGCCTTCTTGGCATCATCCGCGTTGTGGTACTAGGAGATTGATATTAATTTAATTATATATGCAAATATATACTAATTAGGTCAATCATTTTCTCATATCTTACCGTAATAAATCCGTATCCCTTAGAACGACCAGTTTCAGTATCCATAATCAACTGAATTGAATCTATTTTTCCAAATGGTTCAAAAATACCTCGAAGCATATCCTCAGTTATATTAAAATGCAGCGAACCTACATACAAACGCATTGGTCCTGTGTGATTTTTAGGTGTGAAAGTGGGTACAGCATTTGCAATACGATTTTTCTCAGCCTGTGTATGTTGTACAGAAATTGGAATGCCCAATAATTTTTGACCAGACAAACCCAGTGCAAGTGCAACGGATTCTGGATCTTTGAATTCAATGTATGCTATACCCTTAAATCGTTTTGTTTTATTGCAGGTGATTAGGCGAACATCTCGTACTTTGCCAACACTGGAGAAAAACTCTTCCAAGTCGCGTGCGCGTATGCGTTGTGATAGTTGCATACAAAATACGGTACGTGCATCACGTTCCTCTGGACTAAGATCAGCACGAGGCGAACGATCGCCAAGACCATTGGGTGGAGTTCGGCCGCGTCGGAAAGGTCGGGGTGAATTACTGCGACGCCTGCTGCTGAGAATATTAAAAGTGTTATTTATTCCGATTTATAACATTGATTTTTCGATTATTATAAGTGGGCTCGAAATAATAGTAAACATACTAAAATAATATTAAAGATTGGAGACACCCTAAATGGAGAGCTTATTTCGCTTTGAAAGAATATTATTTTGAATGATTTTTTACTATTACTTTTAGTCGTTTGTTTACTTGAATATCATACCTTTTTTCCCTTGAGCCATAACCTGGACGACCTCCTTTGAATTCACGTATGGGACTCAGTTTTTTATCTCTAGAGCGACGATCACGTATAGGCGAGCGACTACGTCGTCGTTCCGATTGTGGTCTACTACCACGCCTTTCTCTGGAATGTCGATCACGATCCCGTGATCTACTGCTGCGACGTCTGTCCTTAGAGCGGCTTCGGCGCTTCTCAGGTTCCCGATCACGATCACGTTCCCGTTCCCGTTCACGATCTTGTGAACCATAACGTCGCTCACGTTCACCGTTACGATCTCGATCGCGATCACGGTCACGTGTGCGATCTTTGTCGCGTGGACGATCTCTATCTCTTGAATAACGGCTTTCGTCTCTATCACGAGTACGTTCACTATCCTTCGATTTATGCAACTTGCGTTCGTCTGTAGAAGCATGTGGTGAACCAGAACGACTTCTGCAAAGTGATATATAGCGTTAATAAAGATTTCAGCTGAAAAGCTAAAAAGATGTTTCTCTTTACTCACCGAGAGTATTGTTTTCGACCATTCAAGTGAGCAGATGATGATGATTTGCTTCCACCCTTGCCGCTACCGCTCTCCTCATATTCCCTGCATGGTGATTTTCGGCTGCTGCTGGAATCACGATCTCCCCGGCTGACATTCTATTTTACATATATTTATAGGAGAAGGAAGTGTGGTAGGACGCAATTGACGTGCAATTTGCGGTTTGCCGTCAATCGAATTTGGTTCGTTAAAAATTTGATGTTGAGCGAATGAGAGAAAGCAAATCAAAGGAATTAGTTAGTTCTTTTTTCTGTGAAAACAAAAATTATTATTGTTTTAATTAGCAGCAATGGGCTTAAATTTGATGGCTAATTTCCCACCACTCATTTGTCCATTGCTTCAGTCATTACATTTGCTATTTTTATGTATTACGATTATTTATATATATATATATATATATATTTTTTTTTTTTGTTTATTTGATGTAGCATCATTCTATTTGCAATATACACTCTTGTTCATTTGTTTGCTTCAGAATATTCAGTGGAACCTTCGCTCGGCAGCGAAATATCTCACAAACATATTCTCATGCAATTTGCTCAAGCATTCGATTTCGATTCGAAAAGTTGAAGTGGTATATTTTGGGGTGAAGTAGGTAGGTGGTAGATAATGTGAATTGGTTTTGCCCTTCAAAATCCTGTTTAAGACAAGTGCTGCCACACAGACGCAAATTTGTACGAGATTATCTGAAATTTAGTTCACGTTCAGTTCATTTTATATTTTAAAACGTTTCAAATGTTTTTTTTTTAAGATATAATTATGTATGTATTTAATTTTAGCACAAAAAAGAAAACTAAGTTTTTTGCTTGACATACAAAATTCATCGATACAATGTTTCTTAGTACAATATTATACGTTTTTTTTTTAAGGCGAAATATTTTTCTGGCGCATTCAAACTTACCAAATGGTCTCCGGCTTTAATCGTTAGAATGACCAAAACAATCACTAGCAACAAATTGAGCTTTTACGTTTTCTGCAAAGACATTTCACCCTTGAGAATTATTTCATATTTTTTTCGAGTTATGAATGTGTCTTTTTTTTTTTTTTTGACTTGTTTGAATTTTAACAAAAAAAAAAGGTTTGATTATCCTGAGTGGATGATGAGGAAACATACAGAAGCAAGCAACCACATTATTCATAAATGTGCCAGCAAGATAAAAATCAAAAAAGACCTGTACTAGGTACATATTATATAACCCACCCAAGGTAGTCAGTGACTACTTGGACAACATTTTCAAATTTTATGGAAACTTAAGTATGCACATGAATTAAATTAAGTAAATAAAGAAAAATTATAAAATCTAATGCTGTTTTAATGCAATTTTCCCCACTAAAACACACAATACATATACATATGTAATACATAACTTGCATTTTTTTTATTTTCACAAGTGTTTGTCGCAAAACAAAGCGAGGAACTTATGCTATTTATAAGCTAATAAAAGGAACTCCAAAATTCTATAGCAATTTTGCTGTGTATATGTGTTAAATGTTAAAGCTTCGATTGCTTGACTATAAGGTTACACAGATGAAAGTCCCGTTCTACCGTAGTATTTAGTAAAGAGTTTTCAATTACTAAATATGGAGTGGCGTCTGTATACGACATTTAAAATTACTTTTGATTGTAAAAATTATATTCTCCATTCTCAAAATATAACGCTGGATGAAATACATACATATGTATATTATTCTATCAAAACAATAACTATAAATACTTTTTTTCAAATTATTTGATAATCGAATCAGAATGATAAAAGCCTGAGATAAAAAGTTGAGATAAAAATATGCTCTATAAAATCTTCTTAGATTTGCGAAGAATTTAAAATATGCATGTCCTCGATTTGTGTGAAAATAACGTTTTGATCATAACATTTATAATAAAAAAACTGAGCGACATCCGAAATGTAGCTAAATACATATATATATTTTTTAATGTTGTTAATATATAGAGTTAAGTATGATTAGCAATCACAAATCTCATGGAATTTTTTGAAAATATGCAGCAATCTAAGTCAAAAAAAGTACCTGGCATTTTTCGTTGTTGAACAAGTGCTAGTGTAAAGAAGTTGTATTGAAGATAAAAACAAAGATTAATAATGCAACGACGTTTCAAAACTATAATCGCCACAGAAGCTATCGTGTACAATTACTACATAAAACAATTATAGTAAGGGTATATAATAATATTCCAGTATATTTTTAACGACAAAGATTACGTCAACTTTAATCAAAACAATTTTGACATAGAATAACATTTGAAAGGAGAAATTTTAGAAGCCACTGACGAAGGATGCTGGTTATAAAATTCTGTGTGAGGCGTCCGAAGGAAAAGTAGCGCGAATTCATTCAAGTAGTATAGTAGCCGATGGGCGAACTGCACCAGAATGTTTCATTACGCATATAGTCTAATAAATTTCAGTAAAAAAAACTGTCAAGACAATGGGAGCAAATTCGAGTTTAATAAAATGCTACATTTTACGAAAGCCCACTTTCCTTTTAAGACGATGCACAATTATTTTCTTAAAATGTAATGTTGTTACAAAGTAATGGGCTTAATTTTTTTTTACTGTAAACCACTTCACTTTCTTATCTTTCACTTTTCATATAGACGAGATGGGCATCTAGAGAAATTTTCTATTTTATACTTACATTTTTCATGTACGGCGCCTCCAGCATTGCTTCTACATCAAAATCTTCGGCCATGTTTCTGCTTAAATGATTTGACCCTGTCCTTTCCTTTGCAAATTGCTATTAAACTCTCCAAGTCCTATTTCGTAAAAACAGTATTATATTCTTTAAAAATAATATGTTTCCCAAGTCAAATTCTATACTTGTTTCAAGTTTAACAAAGTAAATAAATTGCTAATTCCGCTGTAAAGATGTGAAAAAGCATGGAAACTTCTATATTTTTATTAAGACGAAGGAAAACGAAGAACGCACGACGCAAAGCATTCCGAGTCTCGATTTTTACCGATACATCTTTTGCGTTCACACTTCAATGTAATAAAAATGAAATACTAGAATGAGGACATAAAAAATGGCAGAACAAAGCAGCATTTACCAAAGAACGTTTATTGAAAAATTATTTAATTAATGAATATACGTTTGTTTGCTTTTAATAAAAAATCTTTTAATGTAATGGTTAATGTAGAACAATTGCGTTAACATTATGAGCAAGTTTTTCGTCTAATTTCAAACAGATCAACGTTTTAAAACTGTAAATTTCGCTGTGAAATATTAAGCCAATTATATATAAAACAAATTTGAAAAGAAAGTATATTATTCTAAGTTCTTTTTTGTAATCTCCATAAATTGTAGAATCTTTTTGTTCCAATTTATCGAAAATACAACTTGACAGATAAGCCATGAACACAGCCCTTACAGTAAATTCGCGAGGGTTGGTCAGCAAAACAGGTATCATATATGCATAAATAACATCACATATAGTAGTGTGCAACACAACATTTATCACTCGTTAAAGTGGGCCAGAAAATCCACCCAAGATAAAAAGTAAATAAAATATCTGTACTAAAATTAGTAGCGAATTTACTTAGAAATATGTAACTAGTTTACTTTAGATGTATTAGATATAAACGCATATAACGCCTTTCTGTGCGGTCTTCACTGTTTTTTGTTTACGTCCTCCAATTTGTAAGACTTGGATTATTGGATGTATTCCTAAACAAATTTAAACTGATTTTATAGCAAAAGAGAATTTTAATTTATATATGTACATATATAAATTGCATATAAAATTGAACAAGCCAAAATAAATAGCTTTATATCATAGAAAATACACAGTTTTTCAGTGAAGAAAGAGAAAAAAAAATAGTTGAGTCACCAATTTCTACTCTTATACAGGGACAGGTGCGTAATTTAAAAACCAATTGCTTAAAATTCTTTATTTGAGAGATTTCGGCTTCACTATACGGTGGACGCAGTATTGATCATCCAATACCAAAAGTTTATGTACATCTCTAGATATGTAAATCCACATTAAATGTTAAGGAAGAAATTCGCTAAACCATGATGTCATATTAGAAAGTATAATGTATATATACAAGGCGAATGTAAACATAATGTATTCTAAAAGTTTTGTAAAAATTTAGATTTAATGTAAGTGTGGGCATAAGAAGCCTCTGCCAACTACGCCATACTTATGATTGTTTTTATAGGCCATAATAACTAAATAAGGATATAATAATGACTGTTATTCCCAGCATTACGAGATCGAACTAAAGGACTTTGAATCCTCCTGATCTTATAATTAAAAATCATACATCGAAAATGAGTACATACAAATATTAATTTAAATTTATTATGCATTATCCTTTTTTAATAGATAAAAATGGAGGATTATAAATTTCTCTTTAAAATTGTACTTGTTGGAAACGCGGGTGTTGGAAAAACATGTTTAGTACGTCGCTTCACACAGGGATTATTTCCACCCGGACAAGGAGCAACAATAGGTGTTGACTTTATGATCAAAACCGTTGAAGTGGAAGGTGAAAAGATCAAGGTATAATATAATAGAATTATAAATATATACATACATATACAGCTTAACGGCAGGCATATTATTATACTTAGCTACAAATATGGGACACTGCCGGCCAAGAACGTTTCCGTTCAATAACTCAAAGCTATTATCGCTCTGCACACGCATTGATACTGGTTTACGATATAAGCTGCCAGCCTACATTCGACTGCTTGCCAGATTGGTTACGTGAAATCCAAGAATACGCTAATTCTAAGGTGTTGAAAATTCTTGTTGGCAATAAAACTGATCGTGATGATCGCGAAATACCAACACAAATTGGAGAAGAATTTGCCAAACAACATGATATGTATTTCCTTGAAACTTCTGCCAAAGAGGCTGAAAATGTTGAACGTTTATTTTATGAGATTGCGGCTGAACTTATTGATCAGGCGCGTAATAAGGATGGTGCAAATGTGAACAAAACTACCACAGATTCAATTGGGCTTGGCAATTTTGGCACAAAAGCTACGCAAAATAGTTGTTGCAGTAGTTTTAGTAGTAACACTAGTCAATCAACAAATGAAAATAATAATAGTAGAAACAACACTTAGGCGAAAGTAGTAGAAAAATACATAAAAAATATTTGGCGAAAATAGTTTCTATGTAGATGTAAAGTTAAGGTTAACATACACATATGTATGTAACCATTTTAATAAAAAATTAAAAAAAAACTACAAGTTGAAACACAAACTTTGATTCACAAAATGAATGATTCAGTCGCATTAACACCAATCTGTAATAATAAGTGCATACGTATTAGCAGGATTTGTTAGCCTTTTCAGCAAAAAATTCGCATCACAGCTTATATTTTATTTACCTTAAGTGATACACCAAAGAAGTTTTCCATAGCGTCTAAAATATGCCCCGCTGCATTTCCTAGTTATCAATATATGTATGAATATATAATTTTTTTATTTATATATAAAAAAAAACGCAAAAAGGAATTATATAATAGTGTTCGGGAGGCAAAGGTGTTAGCCGTTGACCAAACATAATGAAAACCAAAGCAATTACTCCAGTAGCGTTGATTACTAAAATTAAAAATACACACATACTTAAATATAATAGTATACATACGAGTTTTAAAATAAAAATGTTAGTCGTTATTTTTTATATAAAGACACAATACAAAACTAGCATGCGTACACATACATATGTACATATGTAATTTATAAATACATATGTATGTATATTATTTATTTAAAGATGTTTTTGTTCAGTTTAAAATACTAAATTAGACAACTATTTTTTATTGATTAAAACTATTATAATTATTTGGCATCTATAGGTTTACACTTCATCCGTCCTTATAATATTAATTTAGGTTATGCATATACTCGTATTATTAATAAAAAGCTTTTGTCAACTCATTTCAGCAGATGTATTTGCTTATTTTAACGGTAGTTTATACATACTTTTCGATTATTCAAATATCAAAACTTACAATGAAATTATTATCATGCAAGACTAATATCTTGCACTGTTACTTTATAGAGAGTTTTACCTAGTGCTTTATTAGCAAATTTGTTTCGAACATAGCTTTTAATGCTTTTTACCTAAAAGTGATAAATATTCCTACACCAGCTAAAAAAAAAATTACTGTCCACTCATGAATTTATTAACACTCCCCCTCTTGTGTCATTGTTTTGTGCACAAAAGCCATGCAATATGCCGATGTGCATACGCATGTACGTAACTAATGAAATCCGTCTATTTTAAAAGTGCAAATCAATAGTAATAAAGCCTTATCTTTTAATTAAGTTTTTTGTTTGTATATTGTTTGTTTCTAATAATTATTTTAATAAAAAAATATATACATTTTTGTATTCAAATATAATATATTTGTCATAGCTTATAAAAAATATATTACTATTTCATATTTAAGGCTAAATCCTCAGCTATTTACTTATATTGTAATTTTGATCATGATTATTGTGCACCGCTTTTTGTTTAAATATTTATCTTTTATTTCTTTATTAATAATAACTTTGTAAGAATTTTTTATGAAACAAGTAATTAATCACATTAGAATATTATTGAAATAATTTCTAATACCTTTGTATCAAAGAAATAAAGCGCAGAAAAAAAGATTGGAAAGGACAAAATAAAAATATCGCATGTTTTGTTTTTTTTTTATTTGTTTATTTCATATTTTTTTTATATATTTTAAGGGTTTAAAAAGTATTATACAAAATACCTTTATTGCAAAATCCTTATTTACCAGCACTAATTCTACTTATTTATACTTTAAAAATGCAAAATGTCAAATGCAAAAATTAAATTATAATATTAATGCAATTCTTTAATTTTTAATGCATTCACAAAAAGATCTCTTTGTGCAAAACTGTAAACTCAAAATGGAAATACGAAAATAAACAAATATAATAATTGATAAAAATTAATAGTATTTATCGCATTTTTTTTTTAGTAGAAAATTTTTCATTAAGGTTTTATTCGGAATTGTATTCTTAGTCAGTTATTGCATTTTTTTTATTGAATTCGCTTATTTGTATGAATTTTGTATGTATTTTTTACGCTTTATACAGGAGTTGAGAAAGTAAGTCATTATTTTTTTGTAAAAGCTTAATAATTTTTTCGTCATTTTCTAATGAATTTTTAAAATATTTCTTCATATTTTTTTGCTCTTCCTTGGCTATTTTCAGAAACTCCACCTCGTACAACTTTCTCTTGCTCCTGGAACCGCTGGCGACACTCTCCTCTCTTTTTAATTCTTCGCTAGCTGATTGTTCATAAATATCAGGTTCTTTATCTACAAAAACATACACTGATATATAGATATAATTATAACAAAGCCAAAATGGCGCAACCGCTAATTTTGATTTGTAGAAAAGTTCTTACCATGACTTTTTTCTGATTTATTGGTGTTTCCTTCTTCCAGTAGTTCATTTACTTTTTTGAAGTATGGCCAGGTAGATGCGCGACCACATAGTTCACTTTTCTTTTCAATTCTAGAAAGTTGAATAAAAATATTTAGATACAATCGCATTTTGATTAAGCCAACTTTACAAAACCTTACTTAAATTGTTTCTTTAAATTAGCAATTCGACTCCTGATTTCTTCGCAGCTCAGCGTTAAGCGATGTCGCGCCCGTAACTCCAAACTCATACTTTTATACACTTCCTTGTTTCTGAATGTCCTACGTAATTGATCTATGTGCTCTGCCCATATATCTATCAGCTTGTATACTTCTTGTCGGCTTAAAAAATTTCGCTGCTTCTTTTTCATTTTGAACTATACTATGTCATATATTTTTACTTGTTTCAAAGCTAATATTTTTTAAACTTTGGAGCCTGTGTTTTTTTTTCCGCAATATTGTTACTTTTATTCACGAAATGCTACTCAAATAATTGTTACCACAACTGCAATATGCTCGTACAGGTACAATCAAATCATCTATTGTATTAAATACATCCTGAAACTAAGGTTTGTTTATGGTATCCATACGATGATAATAATGCAAGGCGAATTCACATATGACAATGGTCAAGGCGAATTTACAGAAGCAGAAACTCAAATCCAAAACTAAGGCTACGCCGCAAAGAAAATCGAATGTTTTGGTTGTATAAAGTTGAATTTATCGTAAGTTTTTCGACAAGATCTTTTAATTTTTTTTTTTTTTCAGAAATTAATCACGGTAACAAAATAACAAGGTATGACTCTTCTAAGCAATACAAAATTAGATTCTTGTGTCTCAAAAACCGCGGGGTGTTAAATACTAATATAAGTTGTGTTCGGTAAGAAACGTCAGTAAGAGTCAGATGTAAGTTAGGACAAATTTTACCGAATTTTTGACTTTTTGGATATAACTTAATAGAAATATCTAATTAACGGAGCGGGGAGCGGCAACGTAAACGAAAAGCCAAAATTAACGCATAATTAATGACTTTTATGTATTATAGGTTTCAATGAAAAATGGCAATCTGAGTTTTTTATTTAATTAAAATCTTACGTTAATTTTGGTACTCACTGAAATGTACTAATTTTATAATAAATATATATATTATATATATATATTTATATATTATATATATATATTTATATATTACATATATATATATATTTATATATTATATTTATATATTATATATTTTTGTGTTTGCTCATTTGCTTTGAAATAATGATAATGCATATGTTAGTAATTTGAGTTAAAAATAATAAAAAAGACGAAACCAATTTAAATTTAAATTTTATGCTTTATGCATGAGTTGTGAAATTAAGTCATTATTTTTTTCTAAAAGCTTAATAATTTTTTGCTCATTTTCTAATGAATTCTCAAAATATTTCTTCATATTTTTTTGTTCTTCCTTGGCTATTTTCAAAAATTCTTCCTCGAAAAATTTTCCCTGGTGGTTTGTACCAATAGAACTGCTAGCGTCGTCTTCATCTTCTTTTAATTTCTCCAAAAGTTCAGGAATTCGAAATGATTCTCCAACACAAGGTCTAGTATTATCAGCTTCTTCTTCTAAATTAGAAGACATAGATAAACACATATTAACGTAACGGCGCTTTTTGAGATGTTGTAGAAAGAGTTCCTACCATCAGCATAGCTCTCTTCAAAACTTTCTCCTAATCTGCTGGGTTTCCCTTCTACCAGTATTTTATGTACCTTTAGATAGTATGGCCATTTAGATGCACCACGTCCAGATAGTACATTTTTCCTTTCTAATCTGCAAAGTTGAATAAAAATATTTAGATGAACAGTTATAATTTGGTTAGGCTTTTGTTTTTTTATATTACTTAAATTTTTTCTTTAAATTATTAATTCGAGTCCTGATTTCACCACTGCTCAGCGTTAAACGGTACCGCCTCCGAAATTCTAAGCTCATATCTTTATATATATCTTTGTTTCTGTGCTTTGCGTGTAATTGATCGATGTACTCTCCCCATAAATCTATCATTTTGTATATTTCCTGCCTACTTAGAATAGTTCGTAACTTATTTTCCATTTTAAATAATTAGCACTTGTGCTATATATAATATTTGTGAGACTTCTATTTGGTCCTAATGCTGGTATTTTTGTAGTACCGAAGTTTTTTTGGTTATCTATTTTTGTGGTATCTTTACCATGTTATTGAAATGAACTAACATATGATAGACAAGGCGAATTTAACCAAAACTAAGGTTGTATTCAGACGTGACAAGGAATAACAAATATTTTTGTAGTACAAAAGTTTAATTTCTCGTATGTAAGTTGTATCGACAAGTTATTTTCATTCTTACAGAAATTCATTTAGAAAATAAAATTATTGTAACTATTGAAAAAATATTTTGCTAGCAATTTTTATGTAAAGATCAACCACCAGTTTCATTTCGTATTTTATCCGCAACGAATTTGGACAGACTTCAAAATCCAGGCAAGGTACAGAAACGGAAGACGGACGTAGGACCTCTTAATATACATATACTACATCGGATTTTTTTAACATAACGCATCTTTGTGACCAGGTTCCGATGGAATAGGAGGTCTATGTGGAGTAAGAGTCATGCTGCGCGGATCACCGATGGACCGCGGAAGTGACGGGGTGGTTACTTAAAGCGGGTGGGGTTGCTGAAGGTACCGTGAAGACTTGGGCCACAATTTAGCGCTGACAGCATGGAGCCACGTAACGCGTAGTCCACTCTCTAACTGTCTTAAGGCCGGAACAGATCTTAAGATGATTGCCCAGCCATTACACTGGTTGCATCTAAACGAGATGAAAGTATGGTTGAGTCGTCTATGGCACACGAACCAGATATAAATCGTCGCGCCAGGGTTGGGTTCAACAATAGCTCTGATGAGAAGGGTTTGAAGCAATTCTACTGCAAGATAATGCTTCATTGATGCACTTTGCCTAGAAATACCTGTTGACTTATGCGGGTTTGGGTTGCTGAAGGTGCGGTAGCCCTTTGACGAGTAAAATCTGTCTGCTGCGTAAAACTGTTCTCTCTTTCTCTCTAGTTCGAGCCTATCGAAACAGCATACTTGCCTAGACCTTCCGTTGAATGACCTTGATGATTTAGACTAGTCTATACAACAACAAAACAATTGGATTACGTGTGTGCTTCCCAATTAATCTTTACATTTTGTAACAGAGGCATTATATCATAATTTTTAAAACTCCCTGGTATTCAAATTGGATTTCAATAATAACTAAAACGCATATATTAGGATACCTTAGTTTTATATATTTTTATTTTTAAATATTAAAAGGAAAATTTATTTGATCGATTTGTAAAGCGATAAAATACATGGATCACAATAAACCTTGGTTGAATAGTTAATTTGTTAAAGAGGCGTGGATAATATATTATTTTGCTGGTGTATGTATATATGTATATAAAAATATATAGTTTACATTTGTAAATGTTAGTAGAAAATTTGTAAAATCTATTACGTCAACTATGCTGTGTTTGTATGTATGTATATATAAATATTTATAAATATTACACTTTTGTGTATGTATGCATTATAAAAAATGTTGTACAATGCATTTATTGTTTATTCTTTTATTTTTATACTGATATTTTGTGCTATTCCTCTTCAAATAATAATATCGTCCACCACAATATTAACAAATATTATATTCTTTAAACTTTATGCAAATATAATATAATAATTAAAGTATATAAATACAGTATATTTATAAAGTATATTTTTACACCTGAATCTTATATACGATAAGTATAACGTATAAATATTCAAAACAATTTATATTATCTATATATTATATGTACATTAAAATTTTTTATGTTATAATGCAATGTTAGCCCTATCGAAGTAGCATTTTATGGAAAAGAAATTACTTTAAATATATACTCGTATGTAAGTTATGATAGGGGTATCTGCCTTTTGCACTAATACGGCTTTTTTATGCATGCGTGTATGTATGTATATATATATAAATTTAAACAAATGAGATTATATTATTAATGCCGCTTGCTTAATTCGAGCTGAACCTACATTATATTTCTAAATATGCCTATAACGTTTAGGGAAATCAGTATACTCAGATAGCTGCTCATGCATTGCTCATTGTAACATCAATGCATTCAGGTTTCTCTGCAATATCGTATCTTTAACAGAATTAAATACATATTTCATATTTCGAGTGTCTATGGCAGTGGTGAAGTGGTGATAGATGCGGCTTTGAGGACTTTTGTGTACACTCATAAACATTTGCAAAGTAAAATTTTGCACATCGAGCAGTGAATGCGGGTTCCCGCTGAATTGGGGATAATACCAGCGGATATCAGTCTCTGGATTGCGTACTTTTTGCTCAAGCAAATCAGTTTTATTTAGAAATAATATTATTGATATTCCCTTAAACGTATTATTGTTAACGATTGTGTCGAATATATTTTTCGATTCCTCCAAACGATTTGTTTTTCTGTGAAAGATAATACAAAATTTAGTTTGAATTTTATTTTAATTAATTATTTTTCTATATGTATGTGTACCTATCCTCTGCAAGGACTTGATCAAACTCTGAGCTGGAGACGAGGAAAATTATCGATGTTACTGATGAATCAAAACATTTAGTCCACTTTTGTCGTTGAGTACGTTGTCCACCGACATCAACAAACACAAATGGAATGTTCTGAAAGAGAAAACATGAGTTTTTAATACATATGCATTAATATTTAATCGTAAATTAATTATGAATAAATCCCAATCGTGTGTAAATGAATTATGCTAAAAAGAACGTTGGAACGGAAGTGTTTTTTTACAAGATTTATTAGCTACCACATTCGAAAAAGGGACAGAAAACGGAGAATATGTGATAATTGACGTCCTCGCTTCTCTCAATTACTTTATGAATAAATTAAGAATTTGATATAACTAACGGAAATTTCGTAAAGTCACATGAATCTTGGAGGATACGCCCTATTTGAATCAAAATTGTGGATCCCAATATAAAAAATAAAGGTCAAATATACAATATTAAATATTATCGAAAACTTACTTGTATCTTCACACAAAATTCATAAACCCCTTTGGTTGCTTTTCGGCAGTGCAAAATATCTTTCTGAGTTGGCACATAATCATACGTAGCTAGGCGGTCAATATCATTCAGAAAGTAACTGACAGAATCACTCTAAAATTTTAATATAATTATAATATAATTAATTATTAAATTTATTTTATATATTATATACAATAACTGCAATACATACAATTTGAAATTCTCTTCTCCTCTCATAGGCACGCCTTATACCACGATCTTGCCATAGTCTGCGAATGTACGGAGACCATTGTATGAAATTATCAATTTCTACATTACTACATTCGATTAATTTGGCGTAATTTGCGTCGTTTTCTCTTTCGTTGTTTTCCCAAGGGATTTCCAATTTTTGTCGGGCGTCAATCAATACTTGCATTCCTACATTTACAATAAAAAAAATAATAAAAATAAAATTAAGAAATATACTTCAACAATTAATTAAAATTTAATATATATACCTCGCAGTACGTTCTGATATATCACATATTGGTATTCTCGGATTAGCTCAGGTTCAAAATTAATACCATGTATTATACGCATTTGCTTTAGGAAGGTTGATTTTCCAGATTCACCGGCACCAAGTAACAAAAGTTTTACCTAAATAATAACAAAACAAAATTAGTTAAAATTTGTTTATTTCTTTAAACATTAGATATTTAATAAATTTTTCTGCCAATGATTAATATACATATTGCTTTGTGTCCAATGATTGATACATAATTCATAAAAGATGTAACCTAATTGCAACGTTAGTTAACACGTTAGTTTTTAATAAATTAGTTAATATAGTATTAATAAAAGTCTGAATGCTGTGACATAGTATACTGAAGCACATAGCTTAATTTCCCTCTTTCAGCCAACATATTTACCTGTCGTCGAAACGTATGTTTTTCCTTTTCCAAAAATTTGTCGATTTCTCGAGACTTGTATCTTTGTTCCAACTCCTCAGGTGTGTTGCGTAAACGTACTAGATATGAAAGTACGTTTCCACAACAACGAAGGCAAGCAAATCTTGATGCCGCAAGTCCATTACCTTGTCGATTTGTTCTATATGGCTCCGATTCTCGTTGTCCTTCCATTAAATGTGCCATTGTACCCATTTCATTATGCGTAGATGCCAGTGTAGCGCTGCGACGAATCGCTGCGTCACCACCCATATTGTGTATATAGGGCGGGGCAAGGCCGTTCCCGAAATCGTTGCTTGACTATTAAGCTACCTTATATTTGTTCACCGCTGTTCAGGGCTTTATGCCACGCAATTAATTATTTTGATTGTTAATTGTCACCATTTCAACACAATGATAACTCTACTCCTTCAAAACAGCCTCCTTAGGCATATAGTAATCAATCTCGCTTAGCTGCTGCTGCTACGTTTGCTGCAGCAGCCCTAATTGCCGAGTAATAATTAATTGGGAAATAGTACGTTATAGTAAAAAGGATTATAAACGTCAAACACTTTGCGTAAAATCATATACATGGATAAATAAAATTTGACGAGGGCACTTTATTGTTTTTTCGTACATCAAAACAATTTTCCGTAGCTGCACCAAATTTCACTTTTATCCCTGTCTTAGCCCTACTAACGAGAACAGTGACATCTGTCGATCTGTCATTTTCATTTCATCTTGCGACATCTTACGTTTATTACAAGTAGCTTAAATGTGGTTGAAGAAGAGTCTATATTTATAATCAAAATTTAAAATGCTTTTGAAATTATCCTGTTAGTTATTATAACACAAATATTTGATACTTTACAGTTTCTAAAAATATATGCGTATAGGAATTTCGCAGCTATCTCTGTGTCTTGTCATGCATCTGTATCGCTAAAAATCTATTATATTAATAATGGCAGATAAGCCTCCGTTAGATTCGTAGGGAGTATCAACCCTACGAGTATATTTCTAATATTAAAAGAGAATTTCACATAAAAAATATATCAAGAGGTGCATCATAAATTGAAGGCCGAGTATGGCCGAAAATCGCTTGAGCGTTTAAAAACCGTTAAATATACAAGTTGTTTTGGGCCAACTTTGGCCGCATTAATTTTTCTATCAAAATCTTACGTTATATTTATTAATTACTTAGCTTAGTGTCAAGTTTTCTAATTCAATTATATGGAATTCGGAAAAATTAAAAATTATATTGGTGTTAAATATGGCAGCATCTTGTAAATGTCAAACAAAGTGTTTGTTGCTTTTTTTTACTTTTATGAATAAATATGTAAATTAATTGCCAGATTAATTTGTCATTTTCACAAAGTTATTAGCTTGGGAATTAGGAAAAATGTTTACCAATACGAAGAGCATTGTTGCTTCCGCAAATCGGCTTGGTGCAATAAATGCATTGTGCTATAGAAAAGAAATAAATGATATTGGTAGTAAGTATATTGTGAAGAATAAGTGCAGCACCAGTGCGTTTTCTTATTTAAAGGTATTCCAAAAAACTTTATCATGGCGAATAAAATTGAGTTCATCTTAGTAAATTTTTTCATAAAATTAAATATCCTTTATAAATAGGAGTTTTACGTTCTTGCCATGGAAAACATAATATTTCTGAGTACATGCTTTTGTGAATCTAAATATGACGTACTTGACCTTTGGTATTGAATTTTTCTGATATTTATCTACTACGTAAAAGTATAGTGGAAGCGATAGCAAAAGCTTAATTTATAAAAAAAAACTTTAATAAATAATTTCATATATACAAAATTATATTTTTTACGAATAAAAAGAGTACAGCTACAGCATATTTCAAAGGAAAGTTTTATTTTTGTAATCCTCAATTATTAAATCTTCGTAATATATTAAGCTACCAGGCGGCCAAAAATTCTTTATCGGATCTTGTCAGTATAAAAAATCATGGCTCAGCAAGAAAAATATGCAAATATAGAAAAACAAATCGAGTTCGGATACATAATGGAACCACATACATATGCACATACAAAAGAAATGTATGCATACAATTTAAATATGAAAAATATTTACAAACAATAAACATTTGCATTAGCAAACAATGAACTACTAGTGTAAACCGCGCGAATGCATCGCTTTAAAATATTTTTAACAGAAAAAACCGTTTTCCAGTAAAGACAATGAGGATTACTTATAAAGGAATCGGCGACATTACGTGAATTGTCTTTCTTTAAAATAATGTTAAGTCAATTCAATTCATTCAATTGATATACGTATATGTATATATGTATTTATATGTAAATGCACACATGTATGTATGACTTGTTGCACTAATAGAAGCGTGTACATATTGTATGTGCATAAAGTTGTATTAGGGTGAACATCAATTACCATACCTCCATAGAATAAGCAAGTGCAGTGGGCTAGAAGCGTGGAATAGGATAAACATACATACATATATATGTGCGGAACCGAGTTATCTGCTCAATAAAAACAATTATAAAAACTATTAAAAAAGTTGAATCTTTCCCTTTTACTATTCCTTAGAAACAGTTGATTTCTGCTTCTTAATATACAAAAAGATAAAAATAAATTGTAATTTATTTATTCTGCAGGGTACTTAATTTAATAATCATTTCTCCTTTATTTCAGCTTTCAGTGGCTTAAGGAAGTTGCACACAACAACCATGCACCCGAATAAGGCACGCGTTGCTACATTACCACTTCCGAATAACATCGATCCAGCTGAGACTACTCGTTTTTCTCCAAATCGTACTAGGGATATAACTGGTCCAGTAATACTATCACAACAAGCTCAATCAAAGATAGATATTACTACGGATAACTCAATAACTGCAGCAACTACATCGTCCACTAGCAATTATGGTGTACAAGATCCACATGTACAATCGTACGATTGCTTCGGAGCAGTTAGCCTAAACGCAGTTATGCAAAGTAATGTTCCCAATCCTTATGGTGGCATGCACAAGTTCTCGCATTTAAATATGCCTGGCGGTCAGTGGTCACAAGAGGGTAAATTCATGTCAAATAATTTACATAACTCACATTACACTAATTTGCGTAAGGATGTACGTTCCGATTGGCTGACTTATGATCAGGATTACACTATTGATAAGAAAGGTATGAAGAAAGCTTTTAATTATTTATATATACATATATATATATATACATATATATATATACATATATATATGCATGTACTAAACGTAAAATGTTTAAAAAATTTTAATTGTCGCATGTTTTCGTTGAATTTTCACTGCCATTTTTTATATACATATATATTTATGTATATTTAGACTAATAGCAAATGCGTCATTGCACGTTAATTCCATACTAGAGTCTACCGCAAAAGCAACAGCAGCAACATCTAACATACCAATGAATACATTTGTAAAATTAACGCAAATTAAGGACAAACGTTATTATTGTACCAAAGTTGATGGAGACAAACCAGCGCCACCAATTGTACTGAGCAAAAAGGAGCAATTGAAAAAGGCATTTAAAGACTATGGCTCCACTGTGATAATATTTCATGTAACCATATCGTTAGCCTCGCTTGGCGCCTGTTACCTACTAGTATCTGGGTAAGCAAAATATTAAAAAAAAAAAAATAATCTTTCAACGTTTTATGCTCGCAATTTGATTTAATTAATAACAATTTATTGCATGCTTGTGCTTCAGTAAATTTTCTGGTCATCCGCATTTATATTATGTATCACCGTTATTCAATGAAATATACTGATAATGGCTTACGTGTTATTTTGCTATGTAGCATGTTTTATATTGTATATTGATTATTACCAAACATTACATGATTCAGAATTTATTATTTTTTTTTAATTCTTGCATGTCTTTGTCACTTGAATTTACGAGCCATTGGATTTCTTTACTGAATTTCATTGAAGTTGTTCCATTGAAAATGTACCGAGTGCACTTTACGTGTATCTTTTGATTTTAATTTTTTTATGACAAATTTCTAACCAAAATTATAAAAAAAATATGCTACAGATACAGATTGATGCAAACAATATTAGTAAACTAATTTTTCAAACTTCGTTTACTTTCTGGAAGTAAATTTGGGAGATTTTCAAACTGTAACCGAAGCCTTATCCAATCATAAATAATTCATTTTGAAGTGCAATTATACGTGAAATACTGTAATATACATATATGTACACGTACATACATGTGTATACACAATTTTTTATGTGTTCAGTTGATTTAATTTAAATGTCTAAATAAATTTTGTATATATGTATGTATGTACATATATACTTAGAATTTTCAACGTTTTGTTTGGGCAATATGAACTGACAATATATACATATATGCACGTACGAGTATGCATTTAACATAATTTAAGTTTTTCTTAATGTCTTATTTTTCTTTTCGTTTTACAGCGGAATAGATATTGTGCCTTTATTGGAACGTCTAGGTTTTGCATCGACAGCGCTTACGAATAAAATAACAACGGGTGCAAGCACTTTTGTCATTGCATATGCCATACATAAAGTATTTGCGCCCGTACGCATAAGCATTACGTTGGGTGCCACACCGTTTATAGTACGATTTATGCGATCCAAAGGTTATATGAAGCCACCAAAAATATAAAAAAAAAGTTTAAATAAATATTTTTCTTATTACTAACACACTGACACACACGAGATACATATATATATTGTACTATTGTGCTAAAAGCAAAAAAAAAAAAAATAAATACAACAAAATATTTTTATATACATACGTATTAAATACTTTTACATAATGCACATACAAATGTATTAGTTTTGTTTAAAATATTATATATCTGTACCAATTACATTGTACATTAACTAATAAATTGAAAGCGAAAAAAACTAGTTGTTGAAGAATCGTTTTTTAATTTTGCCAAATTTTACTTAAAAAAAAAATTCCTCAGGCATTCATTGGAAGAAGTCTGAAGTAATTATTTTGCTTAAACATTCCCGTTACAAGAATCACTGTGGACCGCTGAACACTATTCAATTTGACCAAACGGCGACGGCGTAGAAAATCTGATCTTCGAGTCTTCTATTAGTGGAAATTCAAACCAATTTAGCCAAGGTGATGTTTAATCCGCTTCTTTAAAACATTTTGCAGTAGATCACTTACCATCTTGGAAGGTTTCCTCGGAGATGACGTCCAGCTAGTGCTCCTCAATATCCCGAGACGGTGAAAACCCACAAAAATGCGGGAGTTGGCTTTTAAAGTGTCGCTTGTAACGGACGCATGGTCCTGATAAGAAATTATTAGTTCGTTCCACTGCATGGCAACTTTTGTGAATATTTGTTAAAGGCTCCTTCGAAGTCAAGGAAAATGCGGCATGCGTATTCCCCGCATGCAAGTCCTTTCTAAATACGCCTGGCTACATAGCAAGCGAGACGTATCTTGAAGAACTAAAGATTTCTGCTTGAAATAAAGGTCTTACAAAGAAAACCATGAATCAGTATTTTTTTTTTGTATACAAAATATTGACTTTATTAACTATTCGCGAATATTACTTTTAAATTTAAGTAAATAAGAATGCATTTAGTAGAAAAACACGCAGTTCAGTATAAGAAAAATACTTTTAATGCGCCTCGTTGTCGCATTGTGCTTGCTTTAATTTTTCTTCTTTGGCTTTTTGTCTATTAATAAATGGCATGAAACTCCAAAGGCTGGCGCCACCCAACAGCGTAAGTCCTAATGTGTGAAACAGTGGACTGTAATCGCGCACTGCCTCATACCAAGCGCCGCATATTGGTGGACCTATTAATTGCAATATTCCATTCACAAACAAGCTGATACCGTACGATGATGTCAAACGCTCCTCGCCCAACATATCAGCCATAATAACGGCCGTAATACCCACGTAGATACCGGATGCAAGGCCGAAAACGGCACACCAAAAGCTCAACATGCCATAACTGGTAGCGAATGGTAGCACTGCAAGTGATATACCGGAAACTGCGAGACCGCCAATAAAGTACCAAGTCTTTGGTATAAGACCGAGATCCGAGAGTGCTGAGCCACCAATGCGACCAATAAGATCAGTTGCCGACACAATTGAAATCAGGTAAGCAGCTAGGGATTTATTAAAGCCCAACGCTACGCCGTAAGCGGGCAGCAATATAATAAAGTTGGTGTACCCAATGGCATTTGTTGAGTTCGAAATTAGTATGACCAAATATGTGGGATCCTTTAAAAGGCCAAGATCGAAAAATTTTGAGCGTGTAGACGTTTTCTCTGCACCATCCTCAACTGACGCTTCACCCATTAAACTTTCGTTTGCTGCTGGGCCTGTATTACTTGTCATCGAACGCAATGACAGATGTGAGGAGAATTCTTTTGGTTGAAAGGATAAAGTGCTGCCGTGGTATGGTGTGCTTATATATTGAAAACTACTCGTCGAAGGTGAACGACGTGAAAGACGATTTTTCGAATTGTTACGTAACGCGCTGAGGCGATCAAGCTTATGACTCGAACGACCGCCTTCGGGTACGGCATATAACGATGATTGCGAATTCAATTGGCCGGGTGTAAATGTTTGGTTGCGTTGTGGCAAACGTACGGGTGTGCTGATTTTACGTGTACGCGATGTTGGTGTATATTCATCCAGATGTTTGCCACAGTTCTGTACTACCGCCGCCGATGCGCTGCGTACAAACTGATTATCCGGTAGCAGTGCTGGTGGACTATATGAGGGGAATTGTTTTGTGCCGATTTCACTGCCATCATGAGATTGCACATCATTATTAATTGAACCAGCTTCGTCGACGGTTTCGAATTTCATAACAATCCCTATATCCTCCTCTTCGATATCTTCAAGAGCATTCTTATTTTTAGGCACACGTATCATGTGCTGTTCCACGGGCTCGTAGAATATTGCAGCCACAAAGACATTTAATGTGATACCGCCCATTATTAAAACTGCACCCCTGAAACGGATTAAGAAATGGTGTGGGAAAAGTGTTACAAACATTAAATATATACAAAGAAATTAAAAAATAAATATTTATTAATACAAAAAAAAAAAATAAATAAAATCGTTTTAGAGATTTGCTGGATAATAAAAGTTTATATTATTTCAAAAAATATTTCTCAACTCACCTGTAACCATATGTCTCGAGCAGCCAACGCAATACTGGCGGCAATATAATTGATCCAAGTGCACTACCCGATATGCACAGTCCATTGGCTAATCCACGTAATCTAACGAAATATGATGTCACTATATACACGGTTGGAGGAAACGAAAGACCGGCACCAATCCCCACTAGAACTCCATAACTATGGGGTGTGTTTTTTTTTGTTTTAACTGTAATTAACGCATCCATGAAATTCTCGTTCATTTACCTTAAGTACAAATATGCTACAGATGAGGCCCAAAATGAAGCAATCATGCCAAATGCAGCTGAAGCGCCACCCATTATCGTAACAGTTCGATAGGAATACTTAACAGATAATATACTGGATACTGGACCTAAAATGAAGTTGCTTATAATATGAATAACGAGTACATACATATGTAAATGCTTAAATTATGTTTAAACAATTATAAAACGCAATCTAACCTAACGAACTATATAGGAAATAACATAGAGCCGGTATCCATGCTCCTGTTGCGGGTGATGCATCGAACGCTTCCAAAAACTCAACAAATAATACACCAAAACTTTTTATGGTGCCCGGTATAAGGATATTGACCATCATCGAGCCAAGTAATACCAGCCAACCCCAACCACCATCGGGCGGTACCAAGTCATATTCACTACTGTCTACATTTGGTTTGGAATCCAATAAACTAACTGTAATAAAAAAAAGGGAAAATATACGGTTAAATTTTTGTTATAAAAAATGTTTAATATTTAATTAAGTATACAATAATGGAAATTGGTTAGGTTACGATTTAAAAAAATTTTTTTTAGCTTATATTTGCACGCATATGTATGTACATACGTTTATACATACTTATATTTATATTTTAAATGGACTAACCTGCTTTATCACATGATTCGGTAGCTCCGTTAACTTTCAATTTATTGCTATCCACATTAGAATTCTGCTTTTTAGTCACAGATACGTCTTCTCTTGCCATTATCTGCCAAAGGAAGTTAAATAAAATACATAAAGATATTAATGAAATATTTTAAATTGCCAACTAAATATCTATGTATGTATATAAAGCGGCATATGGACGCCATAATGTACGCAATTTCAATACAAACTTCGATCATTTCCATTTCTTCGCTAATTTTTTTATCATTAAATGTTTACACTTGATTTAAGTGCGTTATAATTGAGCTTCGTTATAAAAAAAATGTTACAAACAAACTATTTAATTATTATTTCAATTGAATAGTAATGGTTCAAAATATTCAAGCATGTCAAGTATAGTAAAAAAATTAAATTGATCAAGGTTAAAGCGAAACAGTGCTATATAAATATGTATATTATATATGTATGTTTGCAACTTTGTAAATGTTCCTTAATTACAGCTCGTTGGAATTATATTAAACATGGAAATACATACAATACATGCACATATGTATATTTGTTCTTGTAACATTTTGCTAGTCGGTACATACATATGTTCATACATACATAGCTAAATGTAGATTTATTACAGTTTCCATTGTGAATTGTTTGTAGACATATCATCATACATTAGTTTTTTCTGAATTCCTTTTATATGTATGTATAAAAGCATTTTAAGCATAAAGTTAACAAATTCAATATTTAATTAAAAAATGTATTTAAAAATAAAATATATGCATATCGTAAATAAAAATTTGTATTAATTAAATTACTGTTTGAAAATATTTAAAAAAATAACCTTTTTATTTTGGTTTACAAATTAATTCAGCAAGGTTTTTTGTGTTCAAAAAAATTTTTTTTTTTGACATCCGCCAAAAAAGGCAGTAGTCTAAAGAAGCAAATCCGAATGGATTTTTCTAGGTTAGGTTGTTGCAGAGGCACCTTGTCAAGCCTTTCAATCATTTCTGGCCGGAAACAAATTAGTTGTATTTCATAACGGTTCGCATGAGTGCGTCGAAACCACTCTTTGCACGACTTAGATATCGGCGTAGATTTACCATACGCTTTTAGCTGCTAATTTCTTCAATTGAAATAGAAAAACAACATTTTCGAAGACACAAAAAGTCATTTTTGATTTCGGAAACGGATGCAAACTAATTTTTGTTGCCAAATATGAAACCATTCTAATGAAACAAGTGCCGCTTCCAAGATTGGTCATAATTTCCAGGTGGAACCATCTTTGGAGAACGGACCGAAATAATTTGTACCCTCAATAATTCACTACTTTTTTTGATGTAAACCTAATTACATGGTTATCATTGCGTACTGCCGTTTGGAGGGCTAGGGTTCAAATCCTGGTACAATCAACATCCTATAAGTTAGTTAAGATTGTATTGTATGGCATGAAATAAAGGCTTCTCATAAAAAACCATCCCGAACGGCGGATTAGTAATAACGGTAGATTCCTTCATTTGGAAAACATCAACACCATTACCAACTGGAGGAGGAGCTCGGCCGAAAATCGCTTCAGCGGTTACAAAGCGCCAAATTTTATTTTTATACATACGTACATGCGTATACAAATACATACAATATTTATGTACATAATATTTTATCATTATTAAATATTTGAGATTTTTCAGATTAAATTCAAAAACGGTAAACATAAAATAATTTCACTTTGCTATAAAAAGATAAGATTATACAATAGATAGTAGGTTAATGAAAAAAGATTATATTAATTGTATATATTAAGAAGTATGTATGTATGTATATACCACCCGCCGTAAAATATTTCATTGATTTAAGTGATGTGGTCTTTGCGGCTAATGCAATGTCACTTAAAGATAAGTTGTAAATCTTGGGAATATTGATAATTGTTTTATCTCACAACTAATCAGTCGTTTATGCGCTTGTATGGCTAAGAAACTATGTTTCTATATGCAGTAAATATGTACAATATATAGATAAATACATCAATGAGCGATTGCTTGTTGTTGAGAGAATTTTTGTATGTTTGATAACGTCAACGCGCTAGTAGTGTTATCACTCAAAAACAATACACACAATTACATAATTGAGTCCGCTAAAAAACTAATTGATACGACAGCTTGTATAGGCATCAATTATAAAAATATAATTGATTTGCTCGTGCTCAATAAAATCACTATTGATATACGTATATACCTACATACATATGTACATAGTTTGAAAATTTTTGATGAGTAATGCCTTTCTTTAGATAAATCTTTGTAAGCTTTAAGTTGTAAATGTTTTACCTTATCGAGTGACATTTCATAGGCATAACTTATTAAATTGTACTTCGTTTATGTGTGTATGTATGCATATAGGTAACCTCAATGTTTTTTTCATATCTTTGCAATCTATTTAGTTGAATTGATAATCGAGGCAAATACGTTAGTTGTGCTTACATAAATTTGTGTACTTTAAGTCATATACGCACATTTATCAGTAACATCAACATCAACAACAATACACCACAAAATGTGTATGAATGCGGTTTGAAGCGGTTGGCGGCGGATTTTTTACCCCCTTCTGGAAATGAAACTCGTTGTCTGCTTCTGCGTTCAAAGAAAATGCTACTGACCCCATTACGTCTACAGCGCATGCCCTCTATATATTTTGCGGCAGAGATAAAGAAGGGAAGAAGCAAACATTCAAGTGGTACAAAAGAAAGGAAAGCACTTCATATTGCTGTCACTTGATTCAGCTGTTTTTATGCGCCAATCAGCCTATGTAGCCGTTACCATTAATAATAATATATGCGTTTTGAATATGATTCATTAGTTAAAAAACAAAAACTGATATATGCGTACCATATGCATACATATGAATGTTTATAGAGATTTGTAATAACACACTACGGTTATGTGTATGTACATATGCATATCCATTGTATACAGAAATGATTTATACAGTAAACAAGAAATTAGCAAAATATAATTGTTTTTATACGATACAAATACGCCTCACGTATTCCAGGGTCATCTACACTACAACAAACCATGTATGTACATATGTATGTAAATACTCCCCTTCCACTACACTTCCGTTTGGCAAAAACAATATATATATATATATACATGAACATATATATATATATATATATTTATATAGTCTCTTACCAATTTTTCAAAGACGTTTAGTTAAATTTTCAACGTTTTTCACTTGATATTTAAAGTATTTAGAACTGGTTTAAAAACTTATTGTCATTACGTTCATAACCACGTCTGTTTGCTCACATGTTCATATTTTTGTACTTATAATTGACACGTTCTTGATATCCTTCCACCAGAGTACGAGAAAATCACGACTCGTTACATTATCATATAATTTACTGAAAATGTATGTATGTGTGCACACCGTACCACCCTATTACTTCATAACAACTTACCTCATTTACGAACTTCAAATTCGTCCAGTTTCTCTTATTATTATTATATATTTAAATTTAATCCTTCTGCATCAATCGCATGAACAAATTGTTCGTCAGATCACCAAAAACATCACTACACTATGCGAAAATAAAGTGTTACAAAAATAATAAAGTAACAATGTAATAATGAAAGAAAAATCACAATCACTGTTCTCCTCGGCTTCCACGCATCTTCGCTGCTGCTGCTTTTGCACAATATTGCCGTACCGGAATACTATCAGTAAAGTATAAAAGAAGATTTATATTTTTTGAGTGCAGCTCACTTAATACGCCACATAATAATTGAACAAAAATCAATCACAACCGTATCTCATTTCAATTGCAAAGAGGTACATAGAATTTGTAGCTTATATAAATTCCGAAGAAATAAATGAATACTGGCATCACCGCCGTCACAATTCACAGTAAACAAAAACAGTGATGCAACAAAAAGTATTACTAATCTCAGTTTGTGTTTTAGGTAAAAAAATTGGCATTTAAATACAAGAAAATCTTTAAGGCTGATTCAAATAAGAGTTTCGTCGGCTGGCTGGACAAACGAAATTCTAAATACAGGACCAATCAAATCGAGTAGGTCACAATCAAAATCTTTACTATTTTAAAAGCTACCTTTGCATTTTTGCTGTCTATTAGAATTGTAAATAATAAATATTTGGAACAAACGCAACTGTGACAAAACGAAACTTTTTTGATATATCGGTTGCTTGAATTAAGTTTGGTTTTCTATTTGCTAACGTGAAAATCTTAAGAATTGTAATTGTGGCTTGAGTGAAAAACGAGTGGAATGCTTTGCTTGTTCTAAAAGTCAATTAACATTCCAAACATTTGTGATTCACTATTTCAAAGTTCTTCTTCCTTCCGATGGTCATTCACCATGTGTGAATGGCGTTAACGTAAGGATTTCTTATGCTGCAACTACTCAACTCACGTACCAGCCCTTAGCGCCATGTAAACACAAATTTGTCACCACTTGCCCATGCCGTTAGTGACGGCTGTCCCGCAGAAGCCAACGGAGATTTGAATTTTTCCGTACAACCGGCTGCGCTCATTTCTTGTTGCTATACAAGGTTGCCAGTATAGCCTCTCTTAAAGTTATATTAAATAATCGCAGATAATGCGTAGTTTTTTTTCAAAAGAAATGAAAACTAAATGCATAACTAATTATTTGTTACCATATAGATCATGTATATTTGTCTTGTGTTTATATTCAAGCATATAAATTATGAAATTCGTTGACGAAAATTATGAATTTGTTCGAAAGTGTGCAAACACACTGGCAGCTGGCAACATTTCGCCGCTCTCAGCAGCGTCGATAACTCGTGTATGTATCTCGCCTTGACGTCGCCAGCTATGGACGGCTGTTAAGTGAAATGGGTAGTTGCAGCCTTAAGGTGAGGATAGATACAACTTACGTCAACGTTTTGTTATAAATTGACATAGACGCCTGAAATGTATATATGTACATATACAATTGTATAAAATTTCTCACATAAGCAGTGCTGCCGCCAAAGCAAATCCATAGCCATGTTATCGATAAACATATTGCAACAGATTAGTTCTGATGCGCATAAAATAGAATTTGTTTGTAAGAATGAATATGAAAAGTTTGCTTAACTCAGCATCTTGCTAAAGTTCAAATTCTGGAACATCAAATAATTATGATTAACACAGTCTGTGACCATCTGTTTTGATTAATGTATGTACACCTCTTTTTTAATTCTTAATTATTATTATTTTATTAAAAACGCTAAGCGTTTATAATCCAATCGACATGTTTTTCAATTTTTTTATATATTTTTTCGGAAGGAATTTAAAAACTTTTTAATCATCAGGGCGAAATTATCGTTGAACTTTTCCCTGTTAGCCCATAATATTCTGATGTTTATTCACTTGATCAGCTGTGACACATGTAGGTATAGCACTGGACCATTTTGCATTTTTCAAACACTTGAGCACTTTTGAGCCCCGTAGTTCAAGGCCAGCATCGCAGGTGAATGTGATACTCTCACCAATTGCATAATAAAATTTGACAGAAGACATGCGACCGCTGATAGCCGTACCTGTAACAAAAATTGAAAATTAAAATTATAACCTCAATTACCGAAATTATAAAAATACCAGGATATGAACACGCCTGAACACATTTCGGCAAGCCGCCTGACCAACGTCCATTATCCTGACATGCTATTATCGGTTGCCCTTGCATCATATATTCTGGATTACAATTGAATTGTACAACATCTCCTGCACGATATGGCGCTGAACCCTGCGCATAACCATTAAGTGGGGCGCCGGGATCTTCACACTGCACTTCAACACAAGTGGGGAAGGGTGTTGCCCATTCACCAGTCGGCAAGCAGATAGCCTCAGTAGGACCACGTAGACCATAACCTGAAGCACAAGAAAATGCTGCTCGGCCGCCAACTTCACGTGATAAAACCGCAACTCTTGGTGAACTTATATTATTCGGTAAAGGAATATCGCCACATTCAACACTCTCACAAACTGGTAGTGGCGCACTCCAATTACCGCTGGGTAGACAAAATAGTTCTGATGCGCCAATCAATGAATTACCATTTGCACAAGAGAGCAAAGCACGTGTACTCAGCTTTGTATCATTTGTATTTACGATAAGACCCCGCCGCTGCGGTATCTCTGGGCAATTAATCGACTTAACAACCACTTCGACAGAGTGCTCGTGCCTAGCCGGTGTCTGACAAGAGTATACACCAGTGTCCTCGTCGATGGCATTAAATATGGTTAAACGATATTCTAGCGTGGCGTCACGACCCTCATCAGCTTCAGTAACCCAACCTTCGGAGTAATTTCTTAAAGTAAAGATATTAAATACTGACGAGTAACGTTCAAATTATTTAAAATTTACCTAAACTCATGGCTAACGTTCCATTTTGGATTACCGAAACGTCTCATCCAAAGGCATTCCATGTGTAAAGTTGTGCCAGGGTATACAATGAGCTTGCCATCATTACTTTGCGCAATCGGTCCATTCTGATGTCGGAATAAAATAGTTGGCGCCTTTTCCACTATAGTTCGAGATGTGCAAAGTTGGTACATACGTGTATGTAAATAACGGTGTTTAAGTTAAGAATTTTGACAAGTGACTTACTTGCATAATCATTTTCCTGGTTAAGCCCATAGCAAGCAGGTTTGTTACCAGTCCACTCGGAATGTATACAAGTTCGTTCATTGCTTCCAACCATAGAGAACTTACCAATGTCGACACATCTATTTGGAAATAAAATTTTTTAACCGTTTTCTTTTTGTGTTTGGTTGATTATGAACTTCTTACCTTGATATTATAGTAGCACCCGGTGGAAATTCCACAACATCTTCCCGAATTTCAAGATCATTATAGAAACTAACAACGTTTGGCTCATTATTTTTAAACAAACATGTGCCATTTGCTGAAAAAATAAAATAAAATAAAAAAATAGTTTCAATTTCAATTTACTTGTAGATACAAGGTCTTTTCTTATGAATAATTATATAAATAAATAATTTGTTTAAAATATAAAAATAGTTGTTGATATATAATATAGGTATAATTGTTATTTAAAACATTGTATTGTTAAACTTAATGCAGCCAAGTAGGTTTAGGCAAAGAACGTATACGTTCTTTGGTTTAGGTTTACAGATTTTAGACAATTTTTACCATTGTGAATGTTTCAAATGTGAGCTAAATAAAAATGTTTAGCCGAGTATAAATCGTGATTATTTATTTATTCGACCGATAGATTTGATATTTTGTTAGATTGTTTCTATGGATGCTGGAAAAGTTGGTCCGAAAATTTTATCGGGAAGTGAACTTGAGATTGATCCATTCAAAAAAACAATCGTACTAATGGTTAGATTTACTAAAAGTTTGGCTCGTAGATGGCTTTTTGAAACCTTTTTTTTTACGGGAAGATAATCGATTTGTTTAAAATGGATTTCTTTAGTTTCCTGGAAATGGTTTAGAGACCTCGGAGCAAGTTCGACTTGCTCGAAATATAAATAATATTTTCTCTACGTTTGCTTACTTCATGGCATTCATATTGAATGTTAAAATATTTAAAAATTAATATTATTAAAAAGAAGTTAAAAAACAAACATTTTCATTGGAAATATTTGATATACTTGTATGTATGTCGAAAAGCTCCAGCTCGCGCTCGTGAGTTATCGTGTGATGAGCATCAAGCAGTGCGCATACTTATTGACCAAATTCTCGATTGTTCGACAATATTGAACCAGAAGCTATCGTTATTTCCAATAAAGACTGCTTGCGAACAAAAAAAAAAAGAAAACATTTATTTTTATATAAAAGCATACCACAATTATAGGATCGTCCAATCCATTGACCATTTTCGCATATAATTTTCCATGTATTTCTTTCGCCAGCGGCACTAGGAATGCAATTAAAGAATATTTCGGTACCGCTTTCATATACACCTTCGACATCGGATAGATCAGTGTTTCTGAAATGTTAAAGAAATTTTTTTATTCTTGAAATAATAAAATAAGAGAAAACTATTAAAATTTCGAAAATTAAGATTTATATAGTAAAAAAGTATTTATATGAAGAAGTTAAATAAATATTATATAATAAAAATGCTGATGCCCTTATTAGTTAGGTTAGGTTATATTACAATGACAATGTTGGTTCTTCGTAGCTCTCCATTTGACCGTCAGACTGATGATTTGGCTTGTGCTAGTACCGTCTACGACTACCTAAGGTCCTTCGGCGCCTATAAATGATGCTTTAAGCAATATACCCGAGAATACTACACAAAGGCTTTGATGCAGTCGTTCGCGTGTCTAACCAACCAACAAATTCTTTTAATAAAGTAAGTTTTAAGTCAAATCTATTAGAAAAATCTTATTCACTCATTCATTAATTTCGGTTCTGATCGGTAGGCGACTTCGTTCCTCGAAAAGCTGAGTCGTATTAACGATGCTGACAATCGCTAAAAGCAACCGATAAAGTCAGTAGCAAAATAGAAGGGAAGTTTCGTTGCTATATAATCTCTACAATGATATTGACAAATATTGTATACTCGTGAGAAAGTAACTATTTTAAGTTCAAAAACTTCCATATCTTCGGCGCTCGAAACCGTGATACAAAAATCTATCAGGTAGTTTCACTTTGAAAATTATTGAGACTAAACGTGTTTGCTCAGAATTGTTTGAACTTGCAACTGATAAGATATTCGACTTGGAGATTTTTTTATCAGGTGTACAACTTTGCTTCCATCGTTTTTTTTTCCAAAATTAAAAGCTTTATTGCAAAAAAGTGCTTACAGATATATTATGCAAAGTATTGTCCTTCGCTAGCGACAACTTTCTCCCATCTTTCCGGCAGTTTTCGGATCCCGGCTCAAAAAAAGGAGACCTTTTTTGAGGCTATCCATGAAGCAATCCATTTTTCCAATTCTTCGAAGGATTGAAAATGTTGATCTGCCAGGCCATGTGCCATCGAACGGAATAGGTGGAAGTCAGAAGGGGCGACATCTGGGGAATACGGCAGGTGGGGCAAGACTTCCCATTTCAGCGTTTCCAGGTACTTTTTGACCACTTTTGCGACGTGAGGCCGAGCATTTTCGCGCTGGAGGATGACTTTGTCATGTCGCTCTTGATATTGTGGCCGCTTTCCATTTAGCGCGCGACTAAGGCGCATCAGTTGCGTTCGGTAGCGATCTCCTGTGATGGTTTTACCCGTTTTTAAGATCTCGTAGTAAAAGGTTGAAGGTTTTTTCTCTTCCACCATTTTTAAAACATTGAAACCACTCCCGACACATTGTTTCACTCAGAGCAGCATCACCATAAGTTTCTGAGAGCATTCGATGCGCTTCAGCTGCATTTTTTCTTTCGAATTGTAACAGAAAAGTAAAACTTCCCGCTAATGGCGAGAATTAGGCACATAAACGGACATTTTCGAGCGTGAATAATACGAAAACAAGAACAACTGTCACTGAAACGGCGATGACAATTCGTTAAGCACTGTCCACACTCACTTTAAAGGCATTATCATCTATGTATTTCGACCAGCCTCAGCCGGTACAGCCACCTATCGGAAAACGGCGGAAGCAAAGTTGTACACCTGGTAGTTACTCTTAGGACCATTTTCTAAGCAGCAGCTATAATATTGAACATGTATGGAGCGTTGTAAAATTGGTTTCAAACCAGTTTTCTAAGGTGGCCAAATTGAAAAATGAAATTGATATCTGCTGCTTTCTATAAACTAAAAAAGTTTGAAAACTTTACGAAACTTCGTTTTTTAATTCTCGATATACCTAGTTAGAGGTTAGATTTCAAAAATGCTGACATTTTTAAAATCAATTTTAAGCATGCTCAGAATTTTTTGAAATACTCAAGTAAAATATTAAAATTCTCCATAAATTTTTTATCTAAAAGTGATAGTTTTTCTTTCAAGAAGAAAGGTAGCACGAAAAATACGAAACGCGTTTAATGTCAGATTGCTATGAAGTCGACAGCGAAGAGAGAATGAAACTACCCTTAATTATTGCATCAGGCTCGAAACGTCTTCTTCAAGGCACACACACATATGTATGTATGTATGTACATATGTATTATATTACAACATAATATAAAATAGGCAAATAATTACTTGTATACCAATGCGCCATCGGATATGCTGGGTGGGCCACACATTTTCGATTCCTCAGTGACATTTTCTTCTGTTCCATTTACCGCATCTTCCGCTTCGGAATTATCAATTTTCACTGCCAAAATATTATTCGATTTTCCACTTGCATGCGCTTCCGTGGGCAATTCCTCACGTGATTTACGTTGACCCGTTTCGCAATGTATGGATTGTGGATTCAATATGCCTTTGTTACAACTCATTTCGATGGGCATCGCATTGGTTGAATGATCACAATGTGCACTCACTGTACTGCCATGTCCAATAGTGAGTCCAGGTCGGTAGCCACCCTAAAGCAAAAACCAAAGATAATTCATGAGAAACACTTTGGCTGAAAGAAAACGTGAACGCCTTACCTCGTATATAACGCCGGCTAGAGCCGGTAGGGTACAAGGTATGGAGACACATTCGGAGAACGCATTCACCGACCAACTGCCATGTGCGCAACGCAATTGTGCTGAGCCCTTTTTAATGAAAATTAATAATAAATAAATTCCTTTTTATTGGCATTCTTCACCTGTATATTGAAACCATCATCACATTCGAGTGTTATGAATTCGCTGGAGTCAATTTCTTCGTATGTCGTTAGCGGTGTCATAGAAGGCTTGTCGGCGAGCATTTTTGTACTCGCATCCACTTTGAAATATTTGCCATTTTCCACGGCTGGCACCAGACAAGGTGCTGCAATAGATTTAATTATTATAAATAAATGTACATGTTTTTATTGTAAATGACTTTCCTGGGCATTACCTGAAAGGCACTTAGGCGTATCAGGTTTCCAAATACCACGTATGCAACGTGCTGTCGCATTTTCGCCTTTAATATTCAGCTTAAAACCAGCGTTGCATTCCAAGTACAACATAATGCCGACACTATTGCGACCGGGCGCTTTGCCGGGTCTAACAACTGTTATATTGGCAAATTGCTCCCAATTTAGATCCTCGCATGGTCCGCGTAAACGTTTTCTACCTTCTTTCGATTCCAATTGATCGTTGGTGTCTTCATCTGGTGCCTGTGGTATTGGCGTAGACTGATTGGTGCTGCGACGTCTGCGCACAATTTGTGATTTGAGTTGCTCTATTAAATTTGTGTCATTTTGCGGTTTCGGTATTTGTCGCAAATTGTGAAAAAAATAAGTTGGTGAGTTGCTGTCGTAAAAGACATTCTCATTGGTAGTTGGTTTATGGGCGCTATAACGAGAATTCTGATTAATATTTGGTAGTGGTATCTTGACAAACGGTCGATGTGCCAGCATATCGTGTTCGTCGTTTTCGAGACTTAAAAAGTCATTATTCGATGTACGTGATTTGTGTGTGGCTTTGTAACGGGTGACTAGCTCGGGATTGCTGTAGGTATTGTACCAACGTCCATCTTGTACCTGTATGAAATTGGCGGGATTTTGAAAATCTTCCGTGTTGTGTATTCTGCTGTAGCCTAGTAAATTCTTTACATAGTTTTGATATTTTTGCTTGATCTTCTGATAGTATTTTGAATATGCTTGATCGATCTCGGATGGAGTTCGTTTGATTCGGACCTTAGGGCTGCTGGTGATGTCTATAAAAAGAGAATTTTTGGTTAAAGGTTAAATTGAAAACGACAAAGATGTTAGCATCGGCTAATACATTAAGTGAGAACAGTTCGGAATTTGTAGTGAGACCGAAACTATTTTTCGAGCTCCTCCGACAGCTGGACAAGTTGACCTAAGTGTATTGGGAATCGATTTGCCGTTGGCTTAATTTTAAACATCAAGCGAGACATCCCTCTCTTAAGCTTAACGTAAGTAAAATCAGAAGTGGAAATAACATTTGATTGGCCGCTGTAGCCTAGCGGGAGGTATGGTGTTACATACTAAATTATATTATATAAACAGTGTTTTCTGAATGCTCGCATTTTGGTAGAGAATGTCATCGATTCAAGTATTGGATGAGTGCATAAGTTCGTGCCCGATTTCAAGTGCAAACTAAAATTGAAATTTTTTGAAGAAAGCGCTTTTATTAATCAATTATGTATTCGCCATCATGTTCGGCAATCCACTCCCAACGTTCAACCAATTTACGGATGCCTGATTCATAGAAATCGCGCGGTTTCTCGTTGAAAAAGGTGTCAAGGTGGTTTTTGACGTCTTCCACATTTTTAAATTTTTTTCCATTCAAATTGTTCTGCAGCGATCGAAACAAATGATAATCAGAAGGTGCAATGTCGGGTGAATATGGGGGATGCGGCATGATTTCCCAATTCATCTCCTTCAGTTTGGCCAGGGTCGGTTTTGCAACATGTGGCCTGGCGTTGTCATGATGGAAAAGAACTCCTTTGCGATTGGCCAAAATCGGACGTTTTTCATCAATTGCTTTCTTCAATTCGACCAATTGCTGACAATACTTGTTGGCAGTGATCGTTTCTCCAGCTGGCAAGAGCTCAAAATAGATCACGCCTCGGATATCCCACCAAATGCACAGCAGTACCTTCATCGGATGCAATCCACCTTTCGACATCGGTTCCGCCCCTTCGTGTGCCTGTTTCCATGTTCTTTTGCGTTGAACATTGTTGTACAGGATCCATTTTTCATCACCAGTCACGAGCCGATCCAAAAAAGGTTCGTTTTTGATCCGTCGAAGCAAAGAAATTGCTGTTGACATACGGTCCACTTTGTTTTTTTCACTCAACTGATGTGGCACCCATGTATCGAGCTTCAAAGTGTACCCAACCTTTTTTAAACGACGAAACGCAGTTGATTTGTTGACGTTCAATTCACTGGCAACCTCTTCCGTCGAAATACGTGAGTTAGTCGCAACTAAAGTCCTTAGAACATCGTCATCAAGCTCAGAAGGCCGTCCACTGCCCATCTTCGAGGTTAAAATCTCCAGAACGAAATTTCGGGAACCATTTCTTTACTGTGCGAAGTGCTGGAGCACGGTCCAAATAAACTTCGCAAATATCTTTAGTTGCAGCGCCTACTGTTTTTCCTTTGCGGAATTCGTACAACATAATATGACGCATACGATCTTTTTCGTTGTCCATCTTCCATGCGTCTTTTCACTAAGCAACTCAAATCAAAATGAAGTTATTTTATGCTTGATTTACAGTTTGAACTGTCACCTTTCCAACGATATATAATATGTATATATTTCATTTACGAGCGCCACTCTCAAACGATTCGAACGGCATCCAGCGGAGTCGGGCACGAACTTATGCACTCATCCAATATATTCCTGACATAAAATAATAACTACTCATGAAAATCCATTACCCGCTCGATGGTAGCTTAGAACAATTGTAGTCCCTCTTCGATTAATATATCAGTAGTGGAAAGTTTAGTATTTGCGATCAGCCTGAAACTATGATTAGAGCTCCAATCAAGTTAAACGTAAAAAAATTCAGAAAAATTCAGAAAAATTCATTCATATATATAAAGGGATGGCAAGTTTAGTGTAAGCGGATCAAAAGTGGAATTAAATTTCATAAAAAGAAATCTCTGATTATAGCCGGCTGTTACGAGTATGTGGAGAATCGTGGGCTCGAATCCAGACAAAATTAACATTCGCAATTATAGAACATTTTTTTTTGTAATCGCGCTCGTCCTTAAGTTAATGTCAATCTCTCCGAGCATATTTCTGACACGAAATACAAATATATATAACTGGCGCTTTGTACCCATTGCAATGATTTTCCGCCGAGCTCCTTCTCCAATTTGTGGTTTTTGCGTCTTGATGTTTTTCCAACAAATGGAGAGATCTGCAGTTTATACTTAGCCGCCACCGAACGGCTGACGGTTTTTTATAAGCAGCTTTATTTCATGACAAAAATACACTCGGAATGGTTGACATTCCCTGTCGAGGTGCGACCGCAATTAGAAAATTTAGCTCAATTTTTTATTTAAATGAATATTCTATAATTTTTTGGATGTTAGAACGATACCAGGACTTGAACCCGAACCTTCCGAATGGCAGTACGCAATACTAACCACTCGGCTAAGGCGGGGTCGCCGCGAAATACAAAGCTTCTCATAAAAACGCTTTAGCCATGGGGAGGAAGCTTCCAATTGCACTGCTAGCTCTCTCCATTTGACAGCTTTAAATTAAAATACCTCTTACCTCTGCTAAGCGACTTAATTGGTTCATATAAGTTTCCATTGAATATCTCATGCAATTTCCTTTGTAATTCCCTTTTATTACGTAGCAGATACTGTGAACGTAGGTAACGCATTTCAATCGATCGTCGTTTACGGTTCCAACGAAGTCTTGGATGCTGGCCGAGTAAGCATTGTGGTAACTCCAATGGACGCCATTTGCCACCGACACATGTAGCACCCGGTGGTCCCACTTCCAGCACATAACCTTTATCGCAATCATACATTATCTGTTTGTTATTGACGATCTATAAAGAGTATAGTGTTTAGAGAAACATCAAACGGTAATAAGTGTTAATTGTGTACAACCTTTTTCACATATGGCCTGTAATCGTAAAGACCCATGTTACCCACCAACAACACTTTGCCGTTTGGTATATAGCCAGGAAATGAACAAAACACTTCCTGACATTGTGGTGTCTCGCCCGTCCAGTTGCCGAACGAGCATGTTAGCACATATTCATTTGGATCGGTAATGTCTTTACCCTCGGGGCTAATGAGTTTCCAACCATCCTTACATTTAAATCTAGCCTTCATGCCATGCTCTGTCTTTGGTGCGAGCACCATGCCGTGTTTAGGTGGTTTGGGCATATTTTTACAACGTGCCGGCACACAGCGTGGTATAATACTCCAGGTACCGTTATTACATGTCGGTGGACTTAATAATGAAACTGGAAATTCATAATTTTCGTCACATTTTACCTCCAAAGCTGTGCCATGTTTAACCTTTTCAACACCCCCACTACTCGACGATGATGTTGATGGGGTTTGCGTGGTGGTTGGCGTTATAATCGTGGTGCCATTTTCATCAGTTATAATCTCGACAGGTATTACATAACCCTGTGATATGGATGGCACAACGCAGGGTGCCAAACATTCGGGCAATGGATTTCGCCAACGGCCGTCTATTTGACACACACTTGACGAATGTCCTTGTATTAACATATCCGGTTGACAGCGGAATATAATACTCGCACCGAGTCCGGTACCAGCTTCTATATTTTCAATCCAACCATTATATAGCACACCGGGATGGCCGCAGTTAATTTCTGTTTAATGTTTTTTCCATAAAAATATTATTATTATTATGAAGTATTATTATTATTTTTTTTCAACTCCAATTATTTTCGCAAAATTTCATACCTTTACAAGTTGGTAAAGTGCCACTCCACTTACGATCCGCACCACATCTACTACTAGTTTCTCCAACCAAAGTGTAACCGTAACGGCATTCATAACTTACCACCGAATTGTAGGCCATAGTCGTGTATGTAGCTTTGCCATTTCGTGGATTCTCCGGCGTGGGGCAGACAACAGATGTGACCACTTGTGGAGAGATATAAGAGTGGTTAAAATGGTATTGACACTAAGGGGGTTTCTAAAGAGGTGGTTTAGGTCTCAAAAAATGATGGAAATAAAAATATTACTTAAAAATTACTTATTTATTCCTTTAATATGCCCTTAATGTATGTATGTATCTCAGAGAGTTTCAGCAAAGTTATAAATGACACTCAATAAAAGTCTCTCCTACCTGTTCCTAGGCTCTCAGTTTGATTTTCTGATTAAAACTTTCCTCTTGGTTAAGAACACTTAATTCTTGTTGGTAGCAACGATGTGTCTACATAAAAAAGGTGAACAACCTCAAAAGTCAAGGCTCTTCAGACTACTCGGCTTTCGCTAAAGTGATTTTCGGTCGAGCTCCTTCTTCAATTTGTTCGTATTGATGATTTTTTCTAGCAAATGGAGGGGTATACAATTTAATATAAGCCATCTTCGGACGGCTGTGACTATAGCTTTGTATTTCAAGCAGAGGCTTTACTGAAGATTTCAAATTGGCAACCGTCTTTTGACGCCGACAAACCTAGCGTTACCGCCCAATCGACCGAAGTGCTCGCTTGAAGGATAAGCGAAAAATTCAAAAGACCTGTGACTGAAAACCAGTGACAATACGGACTGCCCTGAACCCAAGACTTGGCTTCTACACTAAAGAGCTACAGATTTGCTCATCAGCTGCTATAAATTACATGAAAGAAGAAGAGGGAAATTCCTTAATTATTCAAAGCTCTTAGTATGTAGGTTTTGATACAGCAAACCGAGTCAGATATCTAAAGGGTCGTGCATTTCAATAGGAAAATCTGTCAAGTTTCTGCTAGACAGTCAAGTCTAGCTGGATTAGAACATGCGGGAAAACACAGTGAAAATCACTAGAGTGTCAGTTCACATGGATGTAGAAGGCAGTGATAGGCGGGCGAGCTAGCTCACGGCTGGCGTGGCTGTCACCATTGACTGACTGCATTCAGCGAAGCGTACCCAAATTGGACGTACTACTAAATTATTTTGGAGCAACGTGGATAGTAGACATATTAAACTACTACTTGCATTCAGTTAAAGAGAACTTAGCATTCTTATGGGTGTATTACAGGGCATGTGCCCCTGATTTATCAAAAGCTACAAAAGATAAACTGGAATTGGCTGTGTGTAGAGCATGCACAATGGATGAGGCTGAACTGGAGCACTGGTCGATTGAGACATCACATCTCCACGGTTGGAAGTTTTAGAATCGAGCGAACTTTTCGCAAACGTTTAGTTGGTATACACGGCGGAGCACAACGAGTCTGCTCGGGTCCTCAACCTGCTTCATTCAACCAATGGCCTAGTTTAAGAGACATATCTTCTGCCACCTATTCTTGTAACTGTGCTCAAGGCGTTTACGCCTATAAAACAGCTTATTTTGTTATTGTGAAGTTTTGTGACGTCAACAAGTTACCGCAAATAGAAAAGAATTTGCAAAAACAAATGCAGTGCAAATGGAAGTTTTGCATGAATTTCTTCGTCTTCCTCTTCTTCTAGCCAAATGTGTGAAACTATGAATAAAACAACATTTTTTTTACGTTTATAGTATATTCATATATTATATTTGCGGTAACTTTATTTGTAACATTGTTAATTGAACATTTAAACCTGACAACAATTAGAGTTTGAAGATTTTGTTTCTGCAAGCAACAATTATTATTGGAATAAATTTATATGGAAAGAACTCTCGAATTAACTAGACGTAGTGTTTTTTAGGTAGTTTTTCGTTTAATAATAATTTTAGTTTCTCGTTTTTGATTGGCATTCCATACATACATATGTATGTATGTATATGGGTATCTCTACTGACACTTTCGAAATAACTGTAACTGCTTTTTATAGCGACTTGTTTGCTACGACGGTATTATTATCACTTTTTGCTAATATAAAAAAATAATTAAAAATAATAACTTTCAGTATATTTATTGATATATTCTTTTTGTTTTACTTACAGACACATGTGGGCAGTTCTTTTGGCACCCAAGATCCATCAGATTGGCAGTAGCGCTCATGTTTACCCACCAACTCATAGGTATTGCCGCAATTGTAACTAATCTTACAGCCGAAAGTGTAACATTCACCAGCATGCCAGCCATAAGCTGGATCTGGTGGCTGTCCGCATGATCTTGCTGAGATTAGAAAACAAAAATTTATTAATAAAAAATATTTTCAGTAAACATTTCCGCTCTAACTTACGTTCGCATTGTATGTCCGGTCCATACCAGCTAGCTTGACCATCGATAGCTAGACATTTAGCGCGTGGAAAACCATTTGTAACGTAACCAGTGTGACAATGATATTGTACGGTGGAGTCCAAATCGAAAGTTTCCTGCTCGGGCAGTGCAGAATGGCGTGCGTGCTCTATTTGTGGTGGCTTGAGACAGTAGACTGGAAGTAGATAATATATAAACAGAGATATAAGTAATCATGCATTGTACGAGGGTACGTTTGTATGTTTGCGGAATGCGTGTTAAGGGGTGGAGAAAAATATTTTTCCTTATATCTATATATATATATATAAATAAATCTTAAAAAAATATTTTCCTTATATAATATATTTATATATCTTGAAAATGGAGCATATTTTTTCCACCCTTTGGCGCTTTGTAACCGCTGAAGCGACTTTCGGACGTATGCCATTTGATGCTTTCGCAAAAAAACGGAGTGACCTTCTCCGACCGATGATGGCCGACGATGGATTTCTTATGACGAGTTTTTATTTAAGTCAGAAATACATTCGAAGTGCTTAAAAATCGCTACTGAGTGGAGACCGCAATTAGAAAAATTAATTTTCTATAATTTTCGAACATAGACTTCAGCATGACAGTATGCAATGCTATCCTTTCGGTCCTATTAAAAATATGTTTTCGCTTTATCTTCGAAATACGCTGGACTTGCCTCCTTGACTTCACCATTGGTGATAAATTTTTTGCTGCGCAGCTCCTTTTTCATGTTTGCTAACAGCTTATAATCACTCATCGTTAGGTTTGTAATGGATGGTGACAAATATCGAGGGCCACCTTTCGTAGGGCAGCTAACTTCAATGGACGTCGCATTGTCGTGCGAAGGCTACACTCCTTTCGCCAGTTTTTACCCGTCTTTTCTCTTTATTGGCTTCCTTCAGTTACACTCATTGACATACATATATACATATACTGTTATAAAAACACTTTTATCTTTATAATTGATCAATAACTTTACTTCCGAGTTCCATAAGTACGTTGCCATGCATTTCCCAACTGGCTGCTGCACCTTAAAGTTCTTGGCATGGATTCTTGTTTCGGCTCCATTAACAATTCGATTTAATACACCATCCTTGTGCTCATTACAGAGATCTAAAAAAGGCAGTAAACTCTATGTGTTGTTGTTTTTCAGAAGCGTGAGCATTCTCAGCACTCAATTCGAGTTTGACCTCAGCCATACCAAGAAGAAGTGCGGGAATTTTCAAAATGGTTGTATCGAATACTCCAACCATTTGTGTGAGTGTTTTCTTCTATAGTCGAGCATCGTCGAGCACAAGTTTTTCAGCTTTTTAGGTTGATTTCTGTCGTGGTCACCTGGATCTTCCTGTCTGGCCTTGGATCGCACCTTGTTGTATTAAACTGTGTCACTTGTACATCATGATTTTTCTTGGACAAGAGCTCTTTTTTGGTTGAACCCGATTTTCCGGATTGATAAGTGACTTTATAACAGCACGATTTTCGATTTTTTCTTTATTTAATTATCCATTGGTCATTCCTTCTTTCCATCCTTTCGGACGGCACGACCTACCCAGTCCCTTTTATCGCTGAATTATATCAATATCACCGTATATCTCGAACAGCTCATCAGCACATAATCGTTCCATCGTTTACGATGTTCGCAAAGGGATTTTGTCAACACTTTTCTCTCGCTTTAAGATAAGTTGGTTTTAGTAGTGTTTTCTCGTTTGTCTCGCAGTTTTCTTCTCTGTCTCTGTGACCAAGTAAAGGGATAGTTTGTTCTGTCATCTCGTGAGGAGATCTCCGAAAATTTTGGATTCTGGAGTTTGCTGCGGCCCACAGCGAAACAATCTCTGTCCGCCGCTGAAGATCAAGCTTTCTTTTCCTGGGTATGCGTTCCTAATATGTCGAACAGCTTCATTTATAGCAGACACTTCGGTCTGGAACACACTGCAGTAATGTGATAGCTTAAAAGACGGTTTCAATGTAGGCTAACTAAAGAATACTGATAAAAATTAATCGCCCTTTGGCTTAGAATGTCAACCTATTCATGTAAACTTCTGACATCAAGCAAAAAGATTCACATACAAATCCTTTAGGGGTTCTTAGTGGTTTGGAAAAACTGCAAATCACTTATAAAATTAAAACTTACTATTTTGCTTGCAAGCTGGTTCAGCGCCAGCCCAATTGCCATCGGCTTGACATAAGCGACTCTGTAGTCCAACAACATGATAGCCATGTGGGCATGAATATGTGGCACGTGCGCCAAAATGCCTGCCTCCGACCGAAACTTGTCCCAGTGATGGTTGAGCCAATTCAGGACATTCTCTATCTGAAATATTATAACAATGCAACTATTAATTGCTATAAAAGTTAATAGTGACATTTTTTGATATTATTTTTTAAGTATAAGAACTCCATATTGTTTAACAAATTTTTTAAATTTTTTTCTTTCTCTTACCTGGCTTAATACAAGACATTCCACATACGCCGTCACACAAGCACTTTTTCTTTTTACTCTTACAATCCTCATCCGAGGAGCATTTCCTCAAACATTTCTGTCCAAGTAATGTTGCTTGCTCTTCATCCCTTGGACATTCTGTTGATGGTGAGTTTCTGGGGTTCTTATAGACGCGACCATCATCATCTACTTCAGACGAATCGTCATCTTCGTCCCAATCATCATCTTCGTCATCTTGAGGAACCTCTGTTTGTGTTTGCGTTGGTACGGAAATAACTGGCGAGAAGGGACAGAAGAGAAGAAGAAATCATACAGATATAAAAAAGGAGAATTGAAGGAAATTTCTATTGAGGATATGAATTTTTGAAACTAAAAGCAGAATTTCAAACACTCTAGTAATCTAAGTAATGTTGTTTGAACTGATAGTGGAGCTCCTGCATTTAAAGTACTCCTTGAAGTAATCGTTGTTGGATCAGCGGATGGGACTACTTCGAAAAGATCAGTCGGAGAAGCATTTGCAAGGTATCTCTCTACGACAATAGGTAAAAAAGTCATGGAATATTGAACAACTCGGCGGGAATCTTCTATCAAAATTATCAATTGACGGGACTGCAGACTTCCAGACAGCTAAAGTGCTTTTCTGGCGAAGATTGTGGTTATCGATAAAGTGCTAGATATACTGCTTCGGAGAGTGCGGTCTGTGGTAAAGCGGACTGGTAAAATATACGGCTTAGGCTCAATCATGTCACCTGTCGCCACTGTCTATGACATCGATTTATATTAGTATTAAAATCATACTGGGGACCGGGTCCCAGTAAAATTGCTAGCAACCCCCTTGAAGAGCTTCTGCCAGCTCGGATGTGCCAGTTTACATTAATGTTACATAAAGCATAAATTCGCGCGCCTATATGTCAGCTTACGATCTCCTACTGTATAGGTTTCCATCTTCACTCTACGCATTGAGCACTGAGTTCGCACCACCAAGCGCGAGTTTCTACTTGTTCAAGGTGAACCGTGGAAGGTCAGGGTACATTCTTTCGATTCCAAGATCAAAGCTCGCGGACTCAGTGTGAGATTCGATTGATATTCTTGCGGTGAGGCTTGCGATATTTTATTTCCGAATCAATATAGTCGCAGTTGTCGGAAGTAGAGGTGGAATCATCTATCATCTCTTATGAACTGTACTGCATTTGTGAGGTTGGGTCGGACAATTGTTGAAATGCTTACGTTTACTATCTCTAAGGAGTACAGTTGAAGAAATGTCTCCTCGTATAGTCATAACTTTGAAGTTGTAGATAACTTCGCTCAACTTGGAACCGGCATTAATATCAGCAACTTGCTATATAGTGCGGAGGCTTGAACAACGACAACATTTGATGAGTCGGTTGAAAGTTAGATTTTACGTATGATATATAATCCTCTGCTGTACGATATATTGACGGAGTTCGCTGGCTAGCAAATGTGGTCCAGATGAATAAGAAAACTCCAGTATGGAAGGCCAACACTCTGTTAGGAAAACCAAGTGGAGAAGAATCTAACTGTACTCGGTATTTCCAAACAATCAACGAAAAGAAGATAACTCGGCTATAATTGCGTAAGCACTGTCTACGCCTGTAAGAAGAAAAATTGGCGCTTTATAACCGTTGAAGGGATTTTCGACCAACCTCTAATTTACTGTATGCGTTTTGATGTTTTTCTGGCATACAGCTTATTCTCTCTAAACCGCCTCCGAGCGTGCGACGGTTTTTCATGAGTATCCTTTATTTCATGTTTGAAATATACGTGGAGTGCTGAACATTTCTTGTCGATGGGCTACCACAATTTGAAAAAATAATTTTCCATAATTTTTGATGTTGGTCGGACAAGGTATTGTGCCCGGGCCTACCGAATATTACTACGCAATGTTAACCTCATGACTATTACGGCCGATTTCTGATAAGCTGAGAATATTTTTACCCTTTTTTGGACATCACAACGTTTTGGGATCAACCACTTCTAACTAATCTAACATAACTTAGGTGCTTGGAAGGAGTGCTCAACGTTTTTATGAACTTTCACATGTGAAACTCTTAAGATCAAACTCTTATATTTTCTGAGACAGTTCTTGGGTCTCGGAATGTATCAGAAAATTAGTGAAAAATATGCGACTTCTGATAAATGTATCAAAATGGTAGGACGTTGGCAATTAGACCTCACTTCTTTGCTTACGTACGTTTAGCCAAAGGACATACGCACTGTATATTTGTGTATAGTAGCTTCTCATTACATATTTTTGTTGTCAAACCATATTTTTGCACCATTGCAACTGTAAACTTTGACCTACATACACACGCACACACTTCCTGCGACATACATACATACATACATACACGTACATATAATACATATGCATGTGTTACTTGTAGGAGCATGTAGCTGAATTTTTTGGTGGCGAAGGGCGACCATTGTACACAGTATTGACAGACTTGCGCACAACCAAATCTTGCTTATATAATGGGAGTATATTTTTATGCATTTTTTTACTAAACAAAATAAAGATAATACCAAGTTTTATGTTATTTCTTTTGAATTTTAAAATGCGAATTTATAAACAGCGCTTGCCTTATATAGTAAATATGTACCTTTATATATGAGCACTGTCAGCAACAGGAAATAAATTAGTAGTTTATTCATAATTACGTTTTAAATTTTTGTTATGGACTTTTCAATGTACATTAATTGTGCAGAAATTTAAAACGTCTCCTTTCTATTAACTTTAAAACGTTATATCTTATATATATTTAATCCTTTTATATATGTATATATATATATATATCCTTAACAATTTTATATCCTTAACTTTTTCAAAGTATTTATTGATAATGCAATCGATTGAATTGACTTGTGTTTCTGTTGATGCTGTAGCTTTAACTATTTTGATGTCGTGAGATGAGTAGAGAGCTCATGAATTGTCAGCAGTCGGATGATATGTCAGTTGAAGCTGCGAGTTGTCTTAGAGATGACTATTATATGCTGTAGTTCATTAAAAATAATTACTTAGAATTTAATTTTTTATTAGAATTTTTTTAAAAAAAAGTTGCACAAAACTACAATATAATTCTAAATGAATTAATAATAATAATAAGGCTGGTTGAAATATAAGGATGTCAAATATCCCTTCCGCTTTTTTGTCTTTTGAATATCGCGGCTATGTACAAAGCGCTACAGAGCTCGTATCTGGCAACACTATACATAATTTGAAAGGTCTTGACATAACCTACAAAACAATGCTATGCATGATTAGTTTGAATATTACAGTTATAGACGTGTAAATTCGCGCTTTTTTAAAGTTTTCCTTCGTTAAAGGCAAATCCGCTAGAGAAACGTTGCGTGAGATTAATGGTGTTTTGGGGGATGGTACTCTATCACTTCGAACCGCGGAGGAATGGTTTCGACGATTCAGAGCCGGTGAAAACGACACCATGGATAAGCCAGCCGGCGGAAGACCTGTGAC